AATTCATTTATCTTCTCTTTCCTTCTTCTTTTGTTGCTCAACTGATTTTTGTGTATTGTGTTTTATACTACTTATTAATATTCAGTAAACAATTCTATTTCTAATAATTTTTAAACGTATGATGTAACCTAAGTTTATTTGTCGTATAATATTGTCAAGTATTTACATAAACTAATTATATTTACCAAATTTATTATCATAATTAGTTTCTCTCAAACGTTGTCAATGTTACTCCCAGTGTTTTACATCTTTTAAATCCTTATTTAAACTTAACTGTGTTCCATATCTATGTGCTCTTAGTTCCCATTTTGGTTGTTGATAAATTATTGTTCATACTAGACCCAATTATAAACTGTGATTTACGCTATTGTATGTTGCGTTTTTATCTTTATATTATTGTTATTATTTAAAAAGCCTTTCTTTTTCCATAAATATAGACACATTATTCGCCGCAGCTACCTCACGAGTTAAGGTTTTTAACCAATCTATGTATATTCCATTATCATAGAACTGTTTTTTCAACTTTGGTTCCACGTGTATCTTAATTGTGTAGTGGGACTCTTCATTGGGATTACCAATTATTATCATCATAATACTAGGGGATGGTCTAATCTTATAAAACTAGCTGAGAATCAAGATGGTAAGATATATAGCTAACTGATCTCAAATATCCACATACCAAATACTAATAAATAGTATAACAATTAGACAACTTCCAGTGAATCCTAGTAGCTGACACCTTTCTGTTTTCGTTTTATTTGCTAGACTAAATCGGTTAATGAAAATGCTTAGTAGTAGTTTAGAATAGTTTCTAGTTGGTTCTCGTCTAAAAATAACCTCGGATTTCTTTAATGAATTTAGTATCAAGAGTAAAGTTTCAGGCATTACTTCAGTTTCTGTTGAACTCTGGTGGAAGTATAGAAACTTTATAGTGTATAACAATTGTTGAATGTTTCAAAATTAGCTGACATTAAAGTATTTGATGTGTTTAGATAGGAAATACAACACTAAATGAAATCAAGTATATTATCACTGAAGAAAAACACAACAAATGAATAACTGTCTAACTCTGTTAAGGCATAAGCGTTATCATGATTTTTTGTTGTTGATTTCTCAGAGTAATCAATATTCACTGTTGTAACGTGTGACTGCAGATTTGATGCGCAGCGTATTATCGATCGGATCAATGACACGTTAAACACGTACGAACGACCTAGAGTCCCGATTGGCCCTGCTTCCCTGTTTAACCCAACCAGTTGAGTCCAGAATGCAAGCCTCAGCCTCTGAAATATGAATCATTATATTTCAGACATACTCTGTTTATATACCAACCAAACAGACCACATCGTACCATAAAATAGAAAACAACATTTACACAATATTTAACAAGTGGAATAAATACTGATCAATGGGAAGTGTTCATTTAAAGTCCAAGGACACTATTAAACTTAACATGATAATTATTGGAATATATTTTACCGAATATCCTAACATTCACTAAAACAATCCACATCACAAATCCATTAGTAAATGGAATACACTGATTAAGACATTAAATAAGAAAGATTAGTTCAGTGAAGAGTTCGCCCTTTTTATGGCGAATTTATTTTCAAAACTGTACAATCGTAGATACGGATACTTATTTTTTCAGGATGATAATAAACTTCTGTTAGACATGGTGAACGTGAGGTTAAATAAACGAAAGTATTTAAAAAAAATTTTCTAGAAAACAAGGAAAGTTTAATAATCGTTTGATTGTTCATGGCTTATATATTCATCAATAGATATATAGGGAAATTATCATTGGGAAAGGGTGGTTCAGCATGATAAGATAAATTGTTGAATTTAAGATGAAATATGATGTGAACAGAGAAACAAGAAGCTACGACAAACCACGGAAGTTATTTTCAAGGGACGTTATTTCATTTAATTCAAAACTTGTTTCTAGGCTATTCTACAGAACATAAGCTTTCGTTTGATGTATGATTCATTGCCATGGTCTTTTTTGTTCCAAAGGTATTGTAATTTAAACGTTATCATTTGTATTCTATTTTCTACGCTAATCTCCGGTTTTGGACATGATTATATTTTCCTAATTGTTGTACGTTGTGGTCGGGTTAGTCAACCTATTTAGTCATGTATCTTTTCCACATTGATCTGAAATCGGGAATCAGATCGGAATTGGAAATAAATCATGTAGTGTTCCAGTTAACTTGTCTTCTCTCACTTGCGTGCTTGTCAACCAATCAGGTGATAGAATAGTATTCTTCTCTCTACCCCACTTCGAACTCATGCATATTAACCTCAAGGTTAAGCTAGTCAACCTATCACGTCAAGGTCTTAATCTAGATTGAGACAAATAATCCTCTTCACAAAGTGGGTGAACAGATCAAAGATGTAACAAATTGGAATCAGGAGGATCGTGGAAACAAAAATAAACCAGTTGGGGGGGGGGGTAAAAGATGTAAAGGAAAGCAGACGCCTGTAAAGGAAAAGGAGTATGAGGAAAAAAGAAAACGAAAAAAGAGAATGAAGAAAGAGAAAGAGAAAAAAATGATTGGACATTAAGACTATGTTAGAAGAAGAGGTTGCACCAATCTATTTTGCGCACACAATTCTAGTTTTTTCAGATGTATGGCTATTGCTTTGGTAATGCAAAGAAGATACGATCTAATTATCTTTGAAATACTTCTACTTCGGTCGGTCAGCTACAAAGTAGGACCACGCATATATATGTATCGGTCCAAGTCGCCATACCTCACTAACACAACAAGATGAACATCGAATTCATAAAAGTAGTTAATTCAATGGTGGTAATATGTAAGAGAAGGATTGCATATAGGGATAGAAAGAATTAGTTCGTAGAAAGAAAGATATAAAGTAATTTTAATCTCACAATTTAAGGGAAAACAAAAAGTGTATATACCTACGCCATTGTGATCCATCCTGAGCCACCCAGAGTCTCTAACAATTGGTTACGATAGTCACGCGGATCCCAACCAAGTAGTCTGCGTCTACCCAACATGGCTCAGACCAGAAGTTAGTGACTTCAATGACTGATGCCACGTTTTGGTTTAGCCGCTACTAACTTTCTTCCAGCCGTCTCTAACACTAGTCAGGATTGTGCGTTGTTGCTACCTTAGCGTAGTGGTTGGTCTTGCCTATCATGATGAACCAACCGAGCTATAGTGGCTGAAACAGTCGTTCCTCAAGGTCCTACCGTGCCAGACAGGTCGGTTGAAGAGCGGTAAGACTAAAAGCAGCAAACCCAAGGTTTGAGGCCGAAGTCGTACTGCTGACTGTACAGAGGTGTGACGGTAGTAAGGCGTTTCCTTCAGACAACCAGCATAACAGCGACACTACCTCCCCACAGGGAGGGGTAGGGTTAGAAAAGGTCGACTGTAAAACTGCACACCTCGCCTTATCCCACGGATATCCTTCTCCGGCGGTAAGGTCTCAACAAGTACGAGCTAACACGAAAATTGCCCATAATAAGGTCGTGTGTGACCGACCTCAAGCAGTTGTCCCTTGGGCACTGCGGTCACGTTCTCAGGCCATTAAGACCACCAATAATGCAATTTCCTTTTCAGGTACCTCCAAAAGAATCCTTCCGTGATGTGGGCAAACGGGAAATGGTAATTGCCTCCAACTTACCTTCTATTTACCATTATAGTATAAATAACTTAGTTTGATTAAAGAACAAAAATGCTATTCAACTATGAATTATGATAGAGATGAGGATGATGATAACAACAACGACAATAACAAAACAGAAGTGAAAAGAAACTAATACTTGTAATCCATGTTCTACATCAGGACCATTTTGTTCTTTTATTGAAATCGGTGAATGAAATATTAACTGTAAACGATGCCATGTTGTATCTGTTATTGTAATTAATGGACTAGACCATAATAGATTTCTTTTATCAGCATATATAAATATTTGATTATTTGATAATATCACATAAATATTACCATCATCTGGACCAAAATTAAATGTAACTAATAAACTATATACATCTTCATTAATTTCATCTAAATTAGATAATGTTAAATGTTCACCATTGATAGCAGTATTAGCTAATTGTGCTCGAAATCCAATAGTAAATTCAAATGGTGTATTTCTTTGATTTGAGAAAAAAAAAGAAAGTTAAGTAAAAATTATATATATGAATGATTATACCGTTATTATGATGTTGGACCACCATTGAAAACGTGGAAGCACTGGGCCAAAGGCCTTGGGTTCGAATCCCGCTCGCGGGATTGTGAATATACAAATAAATAAAGCTAAGTCGCTTTACAGATTGAAATCATGAGTCAATTGAAGCTAGACCACAATGGAAAATCCGTAAGTACTGTACGGCCGTTTCGTCTCATTGTCGGACTCCTCAGTAGTGCGCATCCACGATCCCGCACCCCGTGAGATTCGGATCCAGGACCTATCAGTCTGGCACGCGAGCGCTTAACCAACAGAGTACTGAGCCGGCATTCAATCAATCCACGACGTTGTGCCACCGTATACCATTGTCTTCAGTGAGTTCCTATCTCATAACAGACCTGGTTGAACTTCACTGGTAACGGCTTCTCACTAGAACCTCAGGAGTATCTCTTGAAGTCAGTCACTAGTGAGCAGATGATTATTATCAGAAGGGGTTTGTGGAGATTTTAGAAAATTCCCAGATTGAAATCATGCGTCAATTGAAGAAGTCCCATACTAGGACGAAACGACCGTCCAGTGCTTCCAGGTATTCCATGATGGTCTAGCTTCAATTGACTCATGATTTCAATCTGTGAAATTTTTAAAATCTCAATAAACCCCTTCTGATACTAAGTCACTTTAATTGAACATACACTTGAAAGAGAATATACGTTAAATATGAATAGATACATATACATATATATTTTATAGGTTTTATTTAAATAACGTACTGTTGTTGAATAATTGTACCAATATTACCAATTTCCCAATATGAATCTGGATACTGATCAAACCATGCAGTATTTTCAGCATTTTCAGTACAATCCTTAAAAATGATCATAGTGAAATGAAGAACTTATTCACAAATATAAAATGAATGAGAAGTAAAAATGTATTGAAGTAAATTTATATATGAGTTTAATGCAGAAGCTATAGCGCTAAAGGTTTGATTAGTGATGTAATAAAACAATAAGTGCACTTAGTAAATGACATTTGCAAAATGATAAGATTGTTAGAAGTGTTTGTAATCACTGTGAGTTTAATGATCTTATTAGCACCATCAAATGAATTTTTTTTAATTGAGTTATATTGTTTTGTAAGAGTGGATGATAGAGAACAAGGATTAACAGTACACACTAAACTATTTCATATTAGTATTAAAAGGGGTTTTGTGGAGATTGCAGTAATTACAATAGTTGAGATCATGAGTTAATTGAAGCTAGATCATTATGCAAACCTAGAAACACTGGAGAGCCCACGATAGGACGAAACGGCATTCCAATGATTCCAGGTATTCCATGGCGGTCTAGTTTCAATTGACTCATGATTTGAACTATTAAAATTACTATAACATCCACAAAAAACCCCTTCTGATATTAATCTAGAGATGTAATTGAATAATTCACTACTTTGTTACTTAATTTGTTTTAGGTAGTATAAATTTTTAAACATAAATTATCACCCTTGATATACTATAGCAAAAGCTATGGCTCGTGAAAATTGTCAACATGCAGTGCAGTAAATAAGAGTGCATCATTAATAAAATAATTGGTGAATCCTAACACCGAAAAATGCACATAAATCGTGAATAGCGACATGTTCAGTGAATGTTTTGTGAAAAAATCGGGGAGTAGAAAAACAAGAACAAAAGTATTTTTTCTTTAAATAATATCCCAGTAATTCACAAAAAAGTAATACATTATTAACAAATAGGATTATGAAGAAACATCTTTACATCCCATCAAAATGACCTGAGACATGTCAAGGAGTGAAGACAGATATATTCGAATACAATCTAAATATAAAAGGCTGTATTCCAGTGTAAAATTCATTCCAGTTTTAAGTTCATTCATCAACATTTAACCTGGTTCTCAGTTGAATAACCGGATTATTTATTGACCGTATATATCATGTAATTAAATAACACAATATATAGTGTGTAGCTCTTCTAGAGTTACTGCCGGTCCCAAGCCGGGCTAAAGGAAGAGAGTTAGGCATGGGGTTAGCGACCCTATCCCGTAGAAAACTAACTCGTTAAATAAACGCTAACCATGAAGTTCTAGTAGCCTATTATAGTTTATTATACAGAACGCTTTTTATTTCCTTCTCAATAAGGAAGGATAGAAATTGAAGTATTGATCTTTTTAATATAGTATAGAATCTATTAAGTTAAAGGGAAACTCATCACTTGTTATAATTGTTGGTAATTCGTCGAAGTCAACAAGTAAAACTACTAACTGTCAAAAATCTTATGTTGTTGTTGGGGTGATCCAGAAAACTTCTCGCAAAGGCCAAAAAAGGCTCAGGAAACACTATGAAGCATTTCATGCAATCAGCGTTCACTAGAAGTTTTGCCAGAAATATCAAGAAAGTGAGAAGTCACATGTAGAGTTCCTGATTGGCTGATTACTATACTGTTACTATGTTTAGTAGCATTCCAGAAGTTTCGGGAGACTCAAGGACATCTAAAATACTATAAAAATCCTATATTTTCTGTACTAGAACGAACGTTTAGATTAAAGTGCTTCTCGCGTATTTCGCGTCTTTTCACTCGTGTTCAGGTCTCTGTGTAGTTCTAGCTTTGAGGTTTACGAAAATTGCTTAGGAACGGAATATAGCGTTTAATTATCAAGACTTATCAGTAATTTAGTGGATGGGATTAGCAAAGAAATTGTTAATTAATATTTTCACTTTGTATAAATATGTATGCTTGAGCATTGCTTACTGTCTACGCATATATTCATTCTGTTAGCTTTAATGTTATTCGCTTAATCGATTCAATATTACATTCCACTATGTATATATATATATATATGTACATTTTAATTCTGTTCATTTTGACTCGCAAACTCTCACCCTTGCTTATCGACACTACTCTTTCATGCTTGTTTAGCGTGTTTGTAATTTTGGTGATCTGTACATCGTAGTGTAATAATAAATGTAATCAACACTTCGTATTCGCCGTTAAGAGATGTCATTTAATGACGGTTATCAGAATGAACTGTATACAAAGTTTAAGGATTATATTGATGAATACCGACGACTACAAATCATTTATACATTTGAAATGTATTCATTCTCTTTGATTATTAACATTATTTTAAATTACTATCTTGATTCTCTTTGAAACTGCTGAATTCTTAAAGTAAACTAAATTATCTTTATATGTTTCTATGGGTTAGTTTTTAATTATTTATATGAATTTGTGAAATTGAACTCATCCATCAATGTAATTGCAACTATTCACTGTTAGTTAATCCAATTGTTATATCCGAGCGAAGATTAAATCATGAGTAACTTCTGAGACATATTAATTGATCAATATTATCTATACATTCTTATGGTATAAATATCCAGTAACTAGATCATGTATATCTATATTCCTCTTATTATAAGCTTTATTTTGACCTCTATATTATTATTGTACGACTTACGGTACTTAAGCTATATTCAGTTTATTGACTACTGACTCCAACGTTCACAGCCACTTTTTGGCTTTATGGTATACAAATGTTATTTCCCATTTTATGGTGCATTGCAGTCTGTTTGGTTGATATATAAACACAGTATGTCCGAAATAAATGATTCGATTCAATTCGCATAGTGGAAGCTGGTATTGATGTTGTGGACTCAAGTGGATGGGCTAGACGAAGATAGGATCAATAAGGACGCTAGACTGCTCATACCGGTAGGACGTCATTGGTTTGACATAGTGCTAAGATTGTATAAGTCGTATTTTGATCGGTGGATAAATCACGTGATAAAAAGCTGGACATAAAGTCATAACACCAATATGTTTGTAAATAATTTCAAGAAACATTCATTTGAGCATAAGTTTAATATGCTTAAACTCTTTTCAAATCTCATGTATTAAGATTTATAAAATACATACTACTTATATTATCATTAATAATAGTGTAGTATGTGCTACTGATATCAACAGTTATAAGTAGGATATATCATTAATTAAAAGTGAAATACCTGGAGGTAGAAAGTTAAGAAGTTCAAAAAGAAAACAAAAGAGAACGAGAACAAAGAATGATTAGTGTGGAAACAAAAGAAGAATGAAGTTTGAGATGATTGATCGATATTTTGCAAATGAAGTATTTACTATATAGTTCTCAGATTTTACTATGGTGTTTTGTAATTTTGTACTCAAATATATCCGATTGTCCCCACTTGTGTTCTCGTTCACTAAAATAGTACTACATTGAAAATAATACTTTATAAGTAACTGAACCTTTTTACTGGATTCTCAAACTTTAACAGTTTATTTGTATATAGTTTAGAGAACAAAATCTTCAAGAAGATATCTCATCCTCGAGTAAATCTACCATGTTAGTTAGAGAAGGATAGTTGGAATCCGGAACACACATTCCTTCCTTCTTAGGACTCGTCTGTTTGGCGTATCTGAACTCAAATTGATGTTCACCCTCAGACTGGTACCCAGTAACTTTCACTCTGAACGCCAGAGCAAGACCTACTTAGCTACTAAACTTGAAAAACCTCTTCATTGTACAAAAGGACGAATTTTAACTCGGTTTTATAAATCATCCGGTGAATGTTCAGGACTGAAATTGATCACCTTCTCTTAGTATATATACTACTAAGCAAAAGGCCTAGGTATTGCTATTATGTCATAACCTTTTTAACATGATTTATATGATAACTAGCACTGAGATTTAAGATAAATGTTTTGTCCTGTTTAAGATTCGTTAGAGATAGGACAATACAAGCGTTCTAGATTCCACTGTTAGTCACTATCCAGTTTTGACCTAAAATGATTGTCACTTAATGATAATACCTAGACAATTTGTTCATAATAAATATATCTTAAAAAAGACTGATCAATTCCATATTAATGACAAGAAATTGGACAGTATAAATTTCTTATCATTAATATATAATTGATCTGTATAAGGCCCTCAAATGCCCTGGTATGGCCGAGAGTGGGATGGGCCCTCCCTCCCTCTCGAAATGCTCTCACACGACCGCGCGTATACAGCCTCTACCAGGGAAGTCCTACTCACTGCCTTCTCATGGCGGGGGTGTTGTTTACGAAAATGAGAGGACGAAAAGCGAATATCTGACGCTTTAACCGGATCCCAAACCAATGGTGCACATGAGCTCCAGTGTCCTGCGGGAACAAATGTTGTATGAACCAATCGTTGGTCACCGGCTACCATGGGAATGCATCTCCTCACGATGCTCCACTGCCTTGTGGATCAGACCTTTAGGTCAAAGGCTCCGAATGTGGCCCCCTAAGAAAACCACCTGTTTCGGTTCGGGCACCCGTGGAGTATCATAGCCCACACACACACACAAATATGGTGTGGCGCATATATATTTGGTGCCCTCTTGTAGTAATGTTTATGTGTTGAAATAAATAAATGAACAGTATAAAAATATGACTGACTTACTATGATTTTATACAACTTCTAGATCTACTATTCACAACAACAATATTTATTATTCATACATTGAATGATTAAATTCTAATTATAGACAAAACTATTTATACAAATGAATTAATCAAGTATCATATGATTAATGTAATACTTAATTAACAACAGCATAGATCCACATAGACTATGTAAGCCTATCCAATATGAATAATCAAAATGATAGATGGTTGTTATCATTTAACATATTCAATTCAATTATAATGCTCATATTCATTCATTTTGAGATATTTCAATCTTATCAGTGATTGTGATTATCATTGGTGTGTTTAAATTCTATTCTGCATAGATACAATTTGCTTGTTTGTTTGTTTGTTTTATCAATATTTAGATTACACATGATATATTTTAATGAAGAAATTTATAAAACAGCTCATCTTTTTTTGCTTGATGTTTTTACAGCTACGCCTGGAGTTCCCACCCTAACCGAGGCTAGTGCCGGCCCCAAGCCCGGATAAAGGAGGAGGGTTGGGCATCACGTTAGCGACCCCATCTCATAGAAAAGTAACTCGCCATAAAATGCCTTTAGAATTAAAAAGTAATTTCTTTAGTTGTAGTGAAAAGTCATGACTAGAGAAGAGTATAGACAATTTGGTAATGAGGTAATTACTAATCAATAGTACTGAAGAATAAATTCACTTGATATTGTTTTACTAGAATCTTTTTATTGATATTTAGGACTGCAATTGATCAATCTATTAATGGCATATGTTCATACTGTGCGTATTGCCTTGAAATAGCCTTAATTAACAAGCATAGATAGTGGCTAGCAGTGGAATCCAGAGTGAACATCAATTTTGAGATGCAAGTACATCCAGCTGACGAGTTCCAAATAGGATGAAACGCGCGTCAAACTGGATTTCACTACTAGCCACTATCCATCTTTACTTATAAAGTATGGAAGAATGATTGTACAGTATTGCAAATTGACTGAAATGAAGATTGTAATGGTCCAAAAGTTGAGCACTCACAACAACACCTTGAGATTCTGTGTTCTATCCCAGGGGGTAGGAGGTTGCAATAAGTCTCACACTTAGGCGAAACAGGCAAGTCAATGTTTAACTATAGATTTTATGTGAATAATTTATTTCTTTCTAGCGGAAAGCATGTATAGAGTTGACTGTATTTGGAATTTAGTTTGATGTAGGTTGTTATCAGAACATTGTGAGAGATTTAATTTGATGAATCTAGTTGTTTAGATTACTTCCTTGTAAACTTAACAAGCCTTCTGATAAGTCACAGCAGTACTATTGATCATTTTCTTTTCGGAAAACATAACCAAACGCCAAAAAAAGATAGTTTGTTTTTAATCTAAACGGTTTCACACTAAAACCTTTACCTGACCAAAATTTGAGTGTTTATAATTTGTTTGTAAAGGTTTGTGATTCCTTATTATGTTAATTCAGGATAGTAACTGATCCGTGGTGAACACAACCTTATGCAAATGTGATTTGATCGGTATACATATTTGCCATTAAGAGACCAATCAATTACAATCCTGAATTAAAACAATGAAAAGCAACAAAAACTTCCAAATACTTTCATACCCGTTGAGGAAACTAACGACTGTCTGAACTTAGCACCATAGTGGATAACTCTTTGGGTATATGAAGATAAAAGTACTGGGTTTGGGAGTTGATGTGACTATCAGCACTCGGATCCAAGTATGCTAACCTGACGATACACCTATCCTGATCCCACCACTGGTCGAATTCTAAATAAACTAAAACTTATTTAAGGGTGTATTATTGAAATTAATTAAAAATACTTCTACCATTGATTAGTACTTACATTCTTTTTACGAATCTTTCCGTCACCAGTACGTATATTTTCTAGAACCAATTGTTCATCATAACTTACTCCTGGAATAATTTGTTTAGTCATTAATTCATTGAATGGTGTAAATATTAATTGTCGTCCACTTGGTGGTGCTGTTAATTCAAGTCCTTGTAATTTACTTGTCAATAGTCCAGCTAAACCTCGACGTTCTGTAAATCGTGGATATAACTGTCCACCACATATTCCAACTTGACTACCGTAAGGATTATCTTTACTTACTAATTCAGTTGCAAAATCCACTAGGCTATAAACAATATCATGAATAAAAAAATATTACTCATTATAAGTAAGTAGTAAAATTAATTTTAACGTTATTTTGAGGAAAATATATGAAAAATGCATATTAAATACAATCAGAGATATTGTGATGGCTGTGAATATGCACTCAAAAGGATGAACATTATTCAAATGTCGACTTCTGAACAACTGACATCTAACCGGCAATCACTCACCACTTATTGTCAGAATCGATGAAGAAATAAGAAAAGGAAAAATGTTGAAATACTTTGTGCTGAGAATTCTATATTATACCAATAATATAATATTGAGTAATGCCATCAATGTCTACGCAAAATACTTCTGATCCGTTGGCCAGACACTATTAGCAACAACCTACTGTGGGAAAGAACAAACCAGATCCCAGCAGAGGAAGAAATCAGGAAGAAGCGCTGGAAGTGGATAGGACACACATTGAAGAAAGCACCCAACTGCATCACAAGACAAGCAGCGCTCACATGGAATCCTGAAGGTCAAAGGAGAAGAGGAAGACCAAAGAACACATTACGCCGAAAAATGGAAATAGACATGAGAGAAATGAACAAGAATTGGATGGAACTAGAAAAGAAGGCCCAGGACAGAGTGGGTTGGAGAATGCTGGTCGGCGGCCTATGCTCCATTAGAAGTAACAGGCGAAAGTAAATAATGCCATCAATAATAATAACATTAATGGGATGGATATATTTGTGAGAGATATCAATGTAAAAGTAGCAAAGTGAGTAAGAGATCCTGATTTTTCAATGTTCGTCTTACGGAGGATAATAAGTATTGATTAATATACTTTTGATTGGTAGACATTCTAGTTTTACATAACAAGTGAGTTTATTTATTCCTCGCAACGATGTAAGTGATCGTAACTCTTGGTTCATAATAAATTAGTCATCACTAAACAGAACCATTTCTTCCTTGCATTGTATTTACATATTTTCTACTTGAGTGTTTGATCACAAAGAATAATACAGTTAAATCGATAAATATCAGATTATGTGATGTGCTGCGGATCAAATAACTGCTTCCGACTAGGATTACATTAAGATAAGCAGGCATTCTTTAATTAACCTATGATCACATAAATAATTAATCAGTACTTATTCAATTTAATTATCTGTTAATTTCAGGTGCACAGGTAGATAGTGATTTTATCATCATCATCAGGGTAGATTTATGATATTATTTAATGAGTTTGAATACATTTTTCATGATTCCAATGAATAAGCGCTTGGAGAAAGATGTGAAATCCACGGGCCTGACTCTTGGTGGAGTTGTGGATACTTAATATTTAGGAACAAAAAATGAGAAGAAACAGCTGCCCTGTACTTCCTGATTCTTCCTGTTATCCTAAATAAAATCAAACTGTTGCAGATACTATAAATAAACACTTCCAAAAATGACATCGACGGTGGTTAATAGTGGGATCACCGGCTGGAAGTACCTACACCTCGATTTTGGTGTCCATTTCAGGACTCGAACCTAATATCATTCGCTCCAAGTGCTATCACATTATCTACTAAACTACTGAATTCGGTTAGCCGTAGTTTGTGTAATGAAGTGGATTTTAATGTACACCTGTTGATCGTTTAAATCTTCCCATTGAATATTAGAACTCCAGTTGGTGGAGTTTGAAGTGCTGGAGTGAACATTAACTCAGCTGAATGTACATCCAACTGATGATCTCAAAATAGAAAAAAAACGAATGTCTTGAATTTCACTGTTAATCACTACCCAACTTTCTTTCTAATTCTTGTAACCTAATATCAACATCGAAGCAATCCGTACACGATACACATATGCCAAATGAGACTTATCAATTAAAGACATAAACATCAATCGAATGATTCAAACAACCAGTACAAATCAGTTAAACACAATCTATAAATATTAGTTTAACGCTTATGATAACTGACACCATCGTATATTTAAAAAAAAAAGATTGTTAGAGGGTTTGAACCTCAATGAGAACATTAACACTCAACTGTACGACTATCCATACCTCTTGGGATAAACTTGCAGTTACTATCCAATATATATGTATATATAATCAGACACTTACTGTTTCCCAATTATTAAATATTGTATCGTAACAGGATAAGCTGGCATAAATTGTGGTCCAATATATATTTGTCGAATAGTTTTATTATCTGGTTGTTTTGGTATAGTCCATGTTTGTACAATATGTTGATCAAATAATACAGTTAATTGATCTGTATCAATTTTACCAAAATATAATGTAACAACAACTTCAATTTCAGCTTGTTTTGAATCAAAAAATTGTTTCTTGATTGTTTCTAAATTTATTGGTGTCGTCGAAGATGATGAGGATGACGACGACGATGACGACGATGACGACGATGTTATTGTATTTGATGTTACCGTTGAAATTTGTTTCTTTAAATTATTCCAAACTGGTAAAACTTTTGTTAAATTCAAATATTCTGTTAATTCTAAATTTAATAAATTTGTATATGGATCATTCATAGCACGTGATGTTAAAGATGTTCTAGTGTATAATGTTTTACTGACACCCGGTAAAACAATACCTAAACGATGATCTTCTGTAAGGAATATACGTATCCATTCTGCATGTCCCTGTATGTTTTTATTTTAATTTGGAAAAAATATCAGAAAACATATCAGAATGGTAATAGAACATAAATATTAATTTACTTTAGTAGTTGAGATCATGAATCAATTGAAGCTAGACCATAATGGAAAATCTCTAAGCACTGGACAGTCGTTTCGTCCTACTTTGGGACACTTCAGAAGTGTGTATCCACGATCTCGCCCCTATTACACAAGCATGTGGCTATCAGGACTCAGTAGTTATAAGTGGGTAACGCGATGGCGTTTGAAGAGAACGGTAATGGGTTCAAATGCCAGAGTGGACATCAACTTTGATATGTAGGTACATCCAGATGATGAGCCCCAAATAGAACAAAGTGGCAAGTGTACTGGATTCCACTACTAGGCACTAACCAACTTTGCTTATAAAACTTATGACTTAAAACAACATCGAGGCAATCTCCACAGGATGCACATATGCCAACAAAAGACTGATCAATTGTAATCTTAAGCATCAATGGAAAGATCAGTTAGTCAGTCAGTCAGCTACAACGTAGGACCATGCACATATATGCATCGGTCCAGGTTGCCATACCTCATTAACACAACAAGATGGACACCGAATTCATAAAAGTAGTTAATTCAGAGGTGATAATATATAAAAGAAAGATTCCAATAAGGATATAGTACAGGAAGAGAGAATTAGTTAGTAGAAACCAAGATATGAAGCGATTTCAATCTCTCAGTTTAAGCGAAGACAGAGAGTGTATACATCGACGCCATTGTGATCGATTCTGAGCCATGTCACCAAGAGTCTCCAACCATTAATTACGACAGTCACGTGGACCCCAACCAAGTAGTCTGCATCTACCAACATGGCTCAGACTAGAAGTTACTGACTTCAAGCACTGATGTCACTTTTTGGTTTGGCCGCCCCTAATTTTCTTCCAATGGAAAGATACAAGTAAACAATACCAAGTAAATTCAAAAGTATTTCATTGTGAAAATTCAATTGACTGCTTTAATTTAATTATGAATGTTTGTTTAGTTTGTTTGTTTTCAGTTAAATCACTTACAGGTTGAATAATTAATAAATCCATATCACCAGATTGTGTAATTAATGGATTAAAACGTAATGTCATACTGATTCCTGGTTCAAATGGTGAATATCGTTGTGGTTCTTTTAATTCTGATGCCATATATAAATGATGCGGTTTTAATTGTAAACAATATTGATAATTTGGACTTGTATTTTCCTGAGAAAATTTGACAGAAAAAAAATATAGATTGGTGTTACAATGGAAGTTGGAAATAGTTTTTCTGAGATGGTGGAGAACAATGGTAGCTCAGGTGGATGATTTTGGTGATGTTTTGTTCTTTGAGCCGGATGGTTTGGTCATGAAGCTTCCATCGTTTTTCTGGACGACATCATCAGCATAAACTTCAGTCTACCTGAAGTTCTACCTGAAGTTTGTGCTGATGATGTCGTTCAGAAGAACGATGAGAACTCCACGACCAAACCACCCATCTCTGAGAACAAAACTCTTTCAAAATAGTTTTTTTTTAATTATTGAATTCTTATCAATTATAATTTTAATTTTAATAGTTGAGGTCATGAGTCAATTGAAGCTTGACCATCATGGACAATCTGAAAGCATTGGACGGCCGTTTCATTTTATTGTGGGACTCCTCAACAGTGCACATCCACGATTCTGATATTAATTGTCATTTTATTGTATAATTATTAAGAAAAAATAGATTACTATGTATGTATATCCCATTCATCATTAATTTTGGTATACTCAATAACTTCGGTTGCATAAATTACTATTCCTAATCTGTAGACAATCTATTAATTACAGCCTCTCCTATTTCACGGCCACTTTTGCCTAGTTTATGTATAATTGTTTATTTTCATTTTATGATATATTTGGATATAAACTACATCTGGACTCAAGCCTGAGTCCTTACTTACTTACTTACTCACTTACTCACTCATCCACTCACTTACTCACTCACTCACTCATCCACTCACTTACTTACTTACTTACTTACTGACTGACTTACGCCTGTTACCCCCTCGTGAAAGAGTATAGGCTGTCTACTAGTATTCTTCATCCGATTTTGTCCTGAGCAATCCTTTTCAGTTGTTTCTAGTTTTTATTCATTCTTTCCATGTCTACTTCCAATTCTAAGTGTAGTGTGTTCCTTGGTCTTCCTTTTTACATCTACCCTTCAGGATTACAGGTAAATGGTCGCTACGTGATGAAGTTTGGTGAGTTCTCCAATGTGTATCCCATCGAAATCTAACATCTCTTCCTAATTTCTTCCTCAGATGGAAGCTGATCTTGCTGATGGTATTTGACCAAGGGGTATTGAGTATCTTGCGTAGACAATTGTTTATAAATACTTGCATCCTTTTGATGATGGTCGTAGTAGTTCTCCAAGTTTCAGTTCCGTAGAGTAGAACTGTCTTGGTGTTCGTATTGAAGATTCTGACTTTGATATTAGTTGACAGTTGTTTTGAGTTCCGCTTTCCCTCTGCCAATTCTCTCTTTTACGTCTGGATCAGATTTTCATTGTTGATTAATGATACTGTCCAGGTACGTGAATGTTTCCACCACTTCCAGAGCTTCTCCATTAAATGTAACTGCGTTGGTGTTCTCCGTGTTGCATTTCAAGATGTTGCTTTAACCCTTGAGTAGGTTGAGGCCTAATGATGCAAAGGCTGTTGCCCCATTGATTTTAAAAACAGAACCGCTTTACTTTAATTATTTGTTCCATAAATTATTTCTCATCTTGTATGGATTGTTGATTTCGTAGACAATTTTCATTATATATGAGTTCCGATATAGTAAACGAGAACTTGATGGAGTAATTCGATTAACAGTTGAGTGTATAATTACAGAGTACCTTCGTACTATATGCAAATCATACAATAAATATATTATTTGCACACCTTTCTTCAGTTGTCGTTTACATGTTTCATGACTCTTCCAATTCTGTTGTTATTACAATTAATCTCTGTTTCCCTTCCTGTTCTCTTTAAATTCAATCTTCTTAATCTTCTGCTATCAGATATGCCACTTCCAATTGGTGCTACATACTACTCATATCTGTCAACATAAGTAGAATGCATTACATCACAAACTTAAAGTTTTAATTATAATGGGTTCATTTGATAACATGAAATAGGTCAAAGTATCTTTTGGCAAAGTTTATGTTTTAATGTAAACACTTGATGAGATTCAATTGAATTTTTCTGGTAAATTTTAGATTATTTAAAATTTCATTGTTTGGTAACATAAATGCTTACTTGAATTCGGTTAGTTTAACCAAGAAATAATTACACAATAATGATCGCGACTGTGATTATTGCCTTGATCTAATCGTTAGGCTTACTTACAGTGACTATATAATAGAGCTATATTGACTGGAATAAGTGTTTGTTTAGATCCTAATATACCACGCAGCTCAGTGACTTAAGGTCCGAGGGTGAAGTCAAACTGCTAGCTCTGCTGGGATGTGGAGGCAATAAGGTATTTCCACTACCTAGCTATACTTGCGATGATGCTATCTACTTGCAACAGTAAAACTTTTAGAACAAATCCTGGTCTGAAACAAAAGAACATACCCATGAAACAACATCGTCGACGGTAAGGTCTTTAATGTACAAAACTAACAAAGTAAGAAATTCTTAGAAAAAGCCCGTATGTAAGCGGCGTCACTCAGTTGCCCCTTGTGCTCTGTAGTCATGCAATCAGGTTGCCAAGATCACTACTACTAATTCAGCTTACCTTTCAAGTATTTGGAGAAAAACTATTCTTCGATAATGTATGCAACCGAGAAGTGACAACCGCTCACACACTTATAACAACACTTGAGATCATATCGTTCACGATTAAATCCCTTCTAATAATAATGATATTATTATCACAATTATTATTGTCAGTCACTTACAATAACTCGAATTTCACCAAGTTGTCTAGAATCAGTAAACTGTGTATCACCAAATTGATTCACTGAAGTAATTGCATAATCAGCTAAATAGACTTCACCAGATTGACTTAGTTTACCATTTGTAAAACCAATACGACCGGCGAATGGAGTTAATGAAAAGCCGAGACTAAAAAACAAAACAAAACAGAGAATGAGTGAGAGATGGAAATTACTATACAATTTGAATAGGTTTATACGTAAACAATGATAATTTTGTCTTTTCCTGTACAATAGGGCAATATAGTTTAATCTCCTAATCTGAAATTTAATTTAACAGTGATTTCATTAGAGTTCATTAAACATGAAATGTGGAAATGTTGTTATACTCATCTCTACCGAATACATAGACTGTATTTGTGTAAATTACATTTATCCCTTCTGAAATATTCTGCATCCCTAGAAGTATTCAGAAGTCAGATTTAATATTATCGTTGTAGAGTCATGATTCATCAATTGTATTGACCCATTCAAGGAAGCCAAATGCTTAAATGATACTTTTCCATTCAACTGAATATTTTATCTTTTTAATATTTTGTCCAGATGTTGGACAATATGAGATAAAGTTTACTGAACTTTAAATATTTCATTAGAATTGGGCACATAGACAATCTTCTCGAATTCAGTTCATCAATAATCATCCCGTCATTAAATCAATAATCAGGAATCCACATGATATTGTGAGTAATTGATGTATTCATTAACATGATATTATCGATGGTCATCTAAAATTGACAATCTTAGTAAAATATTTATTAGATCGATCATTGTATATCACATCTTAGAAGACAAGTCGATAAAGTTTCACTATTGAGTAGAGCTAAAGCAACTTTTACTATGATTCTCAGAACTTATTGGACCTATCCAGCTAATAAAAAAAATGAATGAATTTACAAGTACAATTTCTATATATCATTAAGGGACTTCTTGGAATTGCCTATACGTTCTTCTGTCTTAAGTTCAAAAAAACCCTTCGATCAAATTACTGATAAATAAAAACTTCATGACTTCACATGACTACTTTCAAGTGAATAGTTTCCTAAACTACCTACAATACGTCATACATTTTTGGTATATAAAGTTTTGATTCAGATCATGAACCGATTGATGTTAGACCATCATTGAAAACCTGGAAGCACTGGGCGGCCGTTTCTTCCTATTTTGGGACGACTCAGCAGCGCTCATCCACGATCCCGCTCGCAGGATTCAAACCCACAGCCTTCAGTCTTACGCGCGAGATTCTAACCTACTGGATCACTGAGCCGGCATCTAATGGTGTTAGTGTCTAACATCAACCAATCCACGAAATTGAGCGACCATCTTCCATTGTACTGAGGTAGATACCTGTTTCTACCCGACACGGATTAGCTCCACTTGTAACGGCTTCTCACCAGAACTCTATGAATTCGCTTACGAAGCTGGTCACTAGTGCGCACTGCTGAGGAGTCTCAGAATAGGACGAAACAACCGTTCAGTGCTTCCAGGTTTCCAACGGTGGGCTAACATCAATCGTTTCTTGATATTAATCAAAAACTTAATGATCTCCACAATCCTACACTTATATAAATAATAAATAAATTGAAATTACATAATAAAGAGATATATAAAAATTACTTTTGCATTCTTTTACGTAATTCATAATGACTAGGTGGTATACCACCTAAAAATAATATCATATCATCATTACAATCAGTTGTCATAAAACTATCCAATCGTAATATACGCATAGATGGATCTAAAATATTTAGGTTTAATCGTCGTCTATCTTCATCATGATAACCACTACCACTGGAACTAGTGGATTGACGTCTCCAACGTGGTTTAAAATTGAATGTTTTAAAACGACGTCGTCTTATTATTTCCATATCATCATGTTGTTTAGTATCATCTAATCGATATAATTCACGACCAGACCAATAATTAGCTTCAGGTCGACCATTAATTAATTCAATTGTTATACCATAATCCTTTAATAAGATGAAATTAAAAATTTACATGGATTAAATACAGTATGAAATTATTGTACTTGAAAGGAGTAATAAATCTAATATCTAGTCTATTTTGTAATGAAATACTACTATGCAATATAATGAATTCTGATGTGTGAGTGAAGAAGATAATGAATGGTAGTAGCTATATCATACTAGTAGTAGTAGTAGTAGTAATCTGTTAGGTACAAGATGAGTTATATATTCTCTTACCCTCATCATTATTATTATTGTGATTGTTGTCGATTTTTGATCAGTCTAGTCATGTGTTCATGATCTGAGTTGTGTTAAAGTCCTGTAGAATAGACACTGACAGGGAATCTAGTGTAGATATTCGTCTAAGGTAAATAATTAGCGTCTTATTCGTGTAGACAAGTAAAACAGAACATTATAACAAATTTAATTGTTATTTATTCATATAAACATCACATGGGACATTCAGTCAGTACAGTACTTTTGTCGTGCTTTAACTTTCTGAAATATTGAGGTGAAATTACAGAAAAAATGTGGGTAGATTTTGGATTACTGATGCGCACTGCTGAGAAGTCCCATCATAAGACGAAACCGCCGTCCAGTGCTTCCAGGTTTTCCAATGGTGGTCTAGCTTCAATTGACTCATGATCTCAACTGTTGAAATTACAATAATATATGTTCGATTTCAGTTTGTATTCAACTTATACCTATTTTTTCCCCATAAGTATATACAATCTCGACCAGATCAATTATAAAGTATTACTGAAAGCATTAACTTACTTTATCATAATTTATAAATGTCATCACTGTCATATTAGATCGTTGATATTCTTTTAATGGTGTTAATTGAAAATCGAATTGATCTTTACAAAAATCTAAATTATTAATCGATTTTAAACGTGCATAACCACCGGCACCATTAAAATCATAGAAAAACATTCTAGTTAATGATAAAGATGGATCAATTAATTGTGATGGACGTGCTAAATTAGTTAATTTATCTAATTCACCTTGTCTATCCCATATATAACCATTTCGAACAAATTGACGATTTTTACCACTATAATAAACAAAAATGATATTGAGATGTAAGTTTCAAAATAAATTATTAATTTAGTTAGCTTAATGTGAATAAATATATATTCCTCTATGGATTCATGGTTTATATTATACAATTCTACATTCTACATTACAATTCATCATTGGATGCCGACTCAGTGGTCCAATAAGTTAAGCGTTCGCGCGCGAGACCGAAGGATCTGAATTCGAATTCCACGAGCGGGATCGTGGATGCGCACTGCTGAGGAGTCTCACAATAGGACGAAACGGCCGTCCAGTGCTTCCAGGTTTTCAATGATGGTCTAACATCAATCAGTTCATGATGTCAATCAAAAACAATTTAAATAGCACAGTCTCGACGTGCCTGACTGTGAAGCTGTGTAACATGGATTTGAATCCTTTAAGAAGTATCACAGTCTACATTATTTTAGATTAATATATGCGCCATAACCTTGAAGTTGCTTTCTCAATTTTCATTGGTTCAATAGTACACTTAAAATGATTTAAATTCAATAAATTAACAAACAAATTAATGGCTATAAAAAACTCACGGTCTTTTTTGTCCGCGATAGAAAACATCGTTTGATGTACATAAATAAGGAAAAGAAAAAAGAAATCATATAGAAACAGAAAGAGTTCACAATTGTGAATGAATAAAATTTACTCTTGTTGAACTATCTATCGTCATGGAATAACTGTCAAAATTGTTTGAACTATTTGCTTAAACAAGGTGGAATCTTTAATCACGTCAATGTTAATACAACATTCTTGATTTTGTGTAGTGTTTGTCCATCAATTCAGAACGTCAGTCCTATATACAAGGATTCAGAGATTATCTGAAAGAAGATAGTGAGCTATTGATAAACGTTTTGAAATTCATGGTTTAGTTTATTACGGAAGTGTTAAATCTTATGTACGACAAGAAACTGCCTAAGCCTCCTGTCATAAGGAAGAACTAAAAGTGACTGTCTCAAAATTACATAATAATAGTAATTTTTTATCTTATGTAACTTCATTTTTCTTATCTTCTATAAAACAGAATACACAAGGATAATTCTATAAACTCTTTAAGCTAAGAAATTACTATCTGTCAGCTGACTATTACCATTAGAAACTAATGGAAAGTCGTGATTGAAATTCCATCTGTCAATTGATCCGAATGTAAACTGGGTCAACTGAGAGACTCCATCGATTGGAATAATTCAAAGTACCGAACCTTCTGCCTTTTCCAAAGACAGTTCTGTCGTAGTTGAATCAAAACATTTTTTTGAATAAAAGACTGTCATTTCATCTACTATAATTATTCTAACTATTGTTGCTTAAATTAATTTATCTGGCAATGTGAGTGACTTGGAACAGAGTACTGAATTCATATTTTACGTCACATAAAACTCGTGTTAGATGAATGCTAAAGCTTAAACTAACTGACTATCACTAAAAAAGTTAAAGCCCTATTTATTCAGAGGGAAGTTTTATGAATATTATAGTAATTTAATAGTTGAATTCATGAATCAATTGAAGTTAGAGCACAATGGAAAACCCGGAAGTAATGTATGGCCGTTTCGTCCCATTGTGGGACTCCTCAGAAGTGCTCATCCACGATCCCGTACCCCGCGAGATTCGGATCCAGGACCTATCAGTCTGGCGCGCGAGCGCTTAACCAACAGAGTATTGAATCGGCATTCAATGGTGTTAGTGTCTAACTCCAACCAATCCACGATGTTGTGCCACCGTACACCATTATCTTCAGTGAGTTGATATCTCACAACAGACCTGGTTGAACTCCACTGGTAACGGCTTGTCACTAGAATCCCACGAAATACCTCTTGGAGACCATCACCAGTGAGCATATGATGATTATCATCAAAGAGATGTTTTCTGGGTATTATAATAATTTCATTGTTGAATTCAGTCTATGAAATGATGATAGCCACCGACTTGTTCAGAGTATTAGTGATACATCCAAAACATCTAAACTGTGATTGTTTAGTGAGGGAAGACAGATCAAAAAGGCAATTATGATTGATTTACACGTAGTATCATCTTGATGATAGTCAGACAGACAGAGGAACAAATAAGTAGATATAAATTTAGAATATCTGTCTCGAACTTTTAAGAGCAATATATTTTCAAAAGTACATTTATTGTCCTAACATTTATTGTTTTAGATTTGTTTTGAACTAACTAATGATGTCTGCGAACCATATTGTCTACATTCATGCTTTTATAAAACATGTTACAATCTGATTACTGAAAATATCCATCATAGTATTTCGTATATTTCCCTCCTTCTCTGTCCTGTAGGAAAATGAAAGGTGATTACTATAGAATCCATGCACTAAATTTACCTAACAATAGAATGAGATATCATAGGAGTAGGACCAATCTTCGACATTAGCCAGTGAGTATGAATGGCAGGTAATCATTGTGTGAAAAGTAAGTAATATTTGTTGAGATCTCACGAGAATTCCTGTATGAGATCTCCAGAAGATAGAAAAAAGGCTGAGACCATTTCGTAAAATAAACATATTTAATGAATTCTTCTGGAAAATTAATTGGTTATGTCAAACTTTAACTGGATGATTACTTACTCTGCTACTTAATTGAGAATGTTTCAAGGAGTTTCTAGAGTTAAACGGCTATCAATAAACCTATAGATAAGTTTGTTTTTTGTACATAAATGAACACTTAAGTAAAGCTTCTATTCTTACTTTACTCTTTTCATTTACTATTCAAGGTTCAAATCTAAAAGTATTTAAGGATCCTGTGATGCAGATACGAAGTTAGTATCAAGTGTTCGAGTAGCAGGCATATCTTTATTATGAAATTTTATTCAACCAGTCCCTTATTTCAAAGCATGGTATGATCTGTCACAAATGTACATTGGTTCAAGTTATCACATCATATTAATTACCAAGACAAATAACAGGATTTTAGCTGGAGTAACAGTATGAGTGGTAGTAGAAAAGACTCTAAATACATAATGTGAACAGAAAACAGAGAATGAATTTGTAGTTTAATATATATAAAACAGTTTCAAAACTTAAGATTTAGAGGGGGACAAATAGTCAGTGCATCTGCGCTAACTACATTAGACTCTGAGTCATATCAGCCAGCATCTCTAACAATGGGCTAAGGTATTTCCATAAATCTCAACCGAGTAGTCTGTACCTAGATCGCACTATAATTTGATAATCTAAAATTCTTACAATATTATTTTCATTAAGCATATCATTCATAACTTACAACTGACACTGATATTCTTTTGGTTTAGAACATTCAGGATTAGCATCAGCAAAATTAGCAATACTAATAGGTGTCCCACTTAATCTTAAGTTGAACATACAAAATTTAATTGATTCCATTGACATAAGTCGTGACCAGAATTCCTCAGCACCATTATCACCCCATGCTTCCGGGTTACTTAAACGACTACTAGGTTGCATAACTCCTCCAATACGTAATTCCATTTGTCTATCCATAATAAGATATGCTTCTTGATCAAGTGTTCCATTTGTTGTAGAAGTTTGTTTCATCTCGGGAAATACATCACCATGATCTTGAAATGATCGTTCCATAAGTATCATTCTTGTCTCACCGCCAACTGATGTAACACGTGTATGATACCAAGTATTTTTAGCAATTGGACCTAATTCTAGGATTCCATTTGGAGTATTCCATGAAAAGCGTAGTCTAGTATCAGGTGCTTCAATAGTGAATGCAAACATTTGTGTATGTCCTTCAAAAGCTCTACGTCCAACCATTAATACACTACTTATACTGGATAAAGTTGGTAAATTATTCAAATTAAACCAAAATTCAATATCAAACACTCGAGATTTTGTTAGACTATAAGGAACCAATGTGTATACACAATCTTGACCTAATTGTAAAGGTACTGGATCATGAGATAATGATCCATAATTCACATCAAGTATTAAACGTGCTTCATCAGCTAATCGTCGTAAATTTAACAATTTTGAATCTAATTGTTTTGCAACATGTTCAACTTCATCAATTGATTTAATTAAATAGGACTGAGTAATATTTGCTCGATCAACTATAATTTTATAAGAAAATAATAATCAGATTTAATAAAATAGATAGGGATTTCATGAATAATAATTAAATTTTACAATAAAATAAATCTGTTTCAGTATGAACTTGGCTTTTTCTTGTCCTAAAGTATGAATAGTCCCCAAATGCCCCAGTATGGCCGAGGGTGAAGATAGACTGCTCTCCCTCTCCAAATGCTCTCACTTGGCCACTTATATACAGCCACTACCAAGGAAGCCCCAGTCACTGCCTACTCGCAGCTAAAATGTTATTTATGAAATTAAGGAGACGAAAAGCGAATGTTCGACGCTTTAACCAGGTTGGTAGATACGGAGGATCCACCTGAGGGAGTTACAAAACCACAATTCAAACGAATGGAGCACATGGACTCCAGGATCCTGAGGGGAAAAAGGGTATGAACATATTGTTGATCACCGGCTGCCATGGCAGTGCATCTCCATTCGTTGATTCACAGCGTTGTGAATTAGACCTTCAAGTCAAAGGCTCGGGGTGTTGCCCCCTAAGAAGACAACTTGATTCGGTTTGGGAGCCCAGGCAGTATTACAGCCCTCACACGAATCACTAGTAACTGCTACTAGCCTCATTGTCATCGTGTGACTGATATGTATTTGGTGCCTCCTTGGAACATTGTTTATATGTTCAAATAAATCATAAAGTTTGGATATTGTGTAAGTAAGTAGGTGAATGCATGATTGTGCTTAAAATGTAATTTCTTATTTGGTCTGCTGTATGTTCAGATATTTTTAGTATTTTATTGTATGAGCTTTGAGTCGGGATTGAATTGGGTACAATAGGGAACTAAACAGTCACTTGACATCGTCTTCTAATTGGTCATGTGGTTATAAACAAACTCGAAGAGCAATAAGTGTTAAGACCTTACTTGTCATTCATTGGTCAGTATGTATATTCGTGGAATTAGTTACTCCTCTGAGTGCCGACATAGTATATGACCTTAATTATGAATTCTCAAACTATAACAAATTCGAGGCGGACCTCTTCTGAAGATAAAACAGTTTCACCTTAAAGTGGGACTCCTCAACAGTATCATAAAATGGTAATATTCATTGATGTAGAAGCTGTTTATATAAATACTTAGTATGTTTATTCCTAAAATCCATGAAGTGATTGAACAAAGTCCTAAGTACATAAACTGATTGAATGAGTAATATATGGTACTTGTTGGAAGCCATTAAAAACTCATTGAAAAAGATGCTCTGGAAGTTAAGAAAAATTGTTGAAATTACCTCAACTAATCAACAATCTTTGAAATTTTCCAAGAGAAACCTAGAAAATAACCGATTGAGCTTTCGTTATCCCGATTGGATAGTTACCGAATTTTCTGCCATTTTCAACATGCTTTCTAGAAGTTTCCCTAATCGCGAGGTTGTGTATAATCTTATAAGTATTTTGATGGAGTTTTCTTCTCTGAGCTGGATAGTTTGGTCGTGGAGCTTTCATCGTTCTTCTGAACGACATCATCAGTGTAAACTTCAGATAGAAGTGAAGTGTTTGAATTTCTCCATATGCGTTTCATAGCTTGTTCTGTACACCTCGATGCTGATTGGTTCTTATTGACCTTAAATTTGTCACTGTTACTTCCTTGTTTTGGTTGTGTCAACCATTGGTTTGATATTTGTTCCTATATTTGTGCATAATTTTCCTAATTGGTTGATAAATTGGATCGATTTCAATGTGCTTGTTGATTGCTGATTGACCTCAGTACCAGGCTTTTAGAAATTCTCTGGTGTTTTTGGAATTTCCTCTGTCCAAGATTTCTACATTGTTCCAATCGAATGAGTGTCCGCACTTGTCCAAGTGTATTGATGTAAGTGAGGAAGTATCATGGCGTTTGACTACCAATTGATGTTCATGTAGGCGAAGGTGAAGGGGGCGTCCGCTTTGTCCTATGTAGTGTTTTCCGCAGTTGGCACAATTTATTTTGCAGATGATGTTTGAATTGTCTTCCTTTGTTATTTCATTCTTTGGTTTGCATAGGAATTACACCTTGTGCGTAATCTAATCTCCTAAGTAGGGCTTTGTCTATACTATATGCCTTCAATTTTGTGTTCAGAGATCAAGGATAGGAGATTTCTGGGGATTAAAAAGAGGTTGCTAAGTAGGGGTCCACGTGTTCACAAATATAGAAACAAACGTTTTTTTCAAATGTAAATTTTTTTAATCACATTAGAAAAACAGTAGTTATAATTTGTTAAAACTAACCTAGAGTTTTAGCTGTTCCTTGTATTTGAGAAAATCGATTCTCCATTTCTTGTAAACGATCATGTAATTCATTATAACGTCCTAACTGTACTTGTATTTTATCTGAGGCATTTTGAACCAGGGGCTTTGTATCTTTCAAAAAGTGTTGTATTGAATCAACTAGAATGAAAGAAAAGGTTGAAAAATAAACAAAATAATGATGACTGGTCCTGTAAATGTTTGTCCGTATAGCTTATCGTAAGCCTGAATAAGATTAGATATTGTATTGGCTAGAAATCGACAGTAATAATCAGATTGAAGAATTGTTAATTTAAAACATACCAGGTGGATGGAGGTAACTGGAAGGAAATCAGAGATCAAGCTTTTACACAAGATGACCTTCGTCAACAATGTATGCTTAAAATTCTGATTAAACGAATGGTTGTCGGGGGACATCAGCCCGTGTCACCCTATATGAGATGTTACCACTGACCTACTTGACCTCCTGTAAGACTCAGATGTGTACATTGATTGATCACTGAGTGGTGCACAACATCATGTTTATTTGATGTTTTAGTGCTGATTAAATTCTATCAGTCCAGTTGCAGTGTGGCCATTAACGTTAGTGACTTAGAATCGTATGAGGTATGTTAAAATGTTTTGCGGTTAGAGGTAGTTGATAGGAAACTCCAAATGTCATGCTCGTTGACATTCCACCAGCAAAGAAATATGTGAATTCCATCTATGTAATAAAGTAGATATTGAAAAACTAGATGAGCATGATAGAGTCCATTACTCAGTGAGTGCTAGAAGTCGACAAACTGTCAAGAAGTTAACTCTATCTAATCAAGATCTCATGCAAGGATTGAAGCTGGAATTATAGACCACTTGATCAAAATTCACTGATCTGAATATATATAGTTCTAGATGTGAGAGTGAATGTTCTTGGTTCAGTGCTCAGTGATTTAATCTAAATTATTTCCTAAGAAGCTCACAAACAGAAATATTGGCATTACTACGTAGTTTTTCTTTGCTTTGTACCTACAGAACTATTTCCACACATCAATCTTTCTGTATCTGTTTTTTTAAGCCTACGCAATACTACTGAATAGTAGTTAGCAGTGCAAGTAGTATTGTACAATTTTAAAACCTTTAATATAATTGTGTAGGTTTCCGTAATGTTGCTATAAATTTCAACTGTCAATTGTTATAAATAAAAATAATATATTTGTAATATCCCAATGAGTAGAAAAATTAGATTTTCTGACGTTTCGTGACTTACTGTAAGTCACTTCTTCAGAGAATAAATAACCAAATTAATTGATAATCAAATTGATTTTAAAAATATCAAAATATTGTAAAAAGGCTTTTCCAATTATAAAGAAAAGAGAGTAGCTGAAGCGTTCCATATAATGCTTAATCCTACTTCTCACCATATATCCTACTTGAACCATCTATCCTAACCATTCAGTCTGATCGTATTTACAATTTCACACTATCATATTACAAATTTAAACTTTATCCTTTCTTACCATAAAGGTCACACAAGTTTTTTCATTCTTAAACAATGCACACATACATACATACACACAAATTTACATACATATCACCTATGAATCGCCTTGACCGAAATGACATGACATTAACTTGTTCAGACCTGTTTTTGACTGATCCAATATTATTCTTGCATTGTTCCGTTGTACTATGTAAACTTGGATTAATTTTAATTTGGTTATTTATTTACTCTGAAGAAGTGACTTACACTAAGTCACGAAACATCAGAAAATCTAATTTTCTACTCATTAGGATATTACAAATATATTATTTATGTATTTATAACAATCAACCCAATGCTCAATTTATTCGAAATTATCAAATCAAACCTTGGTAATGATACCTAAAAACACTAAAAAAAAGTTTGAAAATAAAAATCATTTGACTTCTTCTCTACTGCGACTAGATTCTAAGTTCCTAGTTACTGACATAGATGATAGATGATTTTTTTAAAATCAATTTTTATCCGTAGTGACATGTAAAAAAAAATCCACCAAATAATATAATGACCTAATATAGATTGTTTATTTTCAAGAAAACTAGGGTTCTAGTTTCAGAAGAACCGTGTTTCTAGCTTCTTGACTTCATTTGGCTAGCCTCAAATACAACATTCCAATAATCATTTCGAATATAAGATAATCCAATTCGAATAATATACATAACTTTTAATATATTTTTAAATTTTTTTATCTTTTCGACTCAACTATAAGTATTGAGTAGGTGATATTCATCATGAATTTATAACATTCATTGGTGTGGTGTGTGCTACTTATATTGACATAAGTAGTATATGATGTTAGTCGTAAACAGAAGGTCTGGCAGTAGAGAGACAAGAGGATCGAACAGTAGACAATGGAAACAGAATGCAATTTGTATGAAAATGCAAGAATAATGAAGGATGAGTCTTTATGAAACAATTAGTGGACAGTTTGCAAATTACGTATTTACTATTTAATTGTTAGATTTTATTAACAAGTCCTGTAATTTTGTGTTAAATACATTCGATTGTCCCCATTGGTGTTCTTGTTCACTACAACCGGTACCAATAAGACTCGGCCAGTACAGAATTTGGACTAATGAGAAGTTTTAAATTAGGACAAAACAACTGCCCAGTGTCTCCCTATTTTTAGTGATACTCTAATGATGTTCGATATGGAAAGTAAATATGATTGACCTCTTGTTGATTTCTACTCCGAAATCATTGAGAGTGACTGCTTGTAATTATGTGGAATACAGTATTGTCTACCGTATACTGTGGTCCAATATTCTTGGTCATGAATCGTGTACCTGGTATGACGTGACTTAGTTTGTGCACAGCGTATCGATTGTGTATCTGGTCTAGTACTGTGGTGTATGCTACTTATGTTGACAGATATAAGTAGTATGTACACCAGTCGGAAGTGGTATACCTGACAGCAAAAGATGAATAAAATTGAATTAAAGAAAGGAGGAAAGAAAACATAAAACAATTGTAATAACAACAGAAGTGGGAAAAACTGTGCAAATAATGCATTTATTGTATGGTTTGCATATATTCCTAACCGACTCTGTAATTACGCAATCAATCATAAATTGGTTTATGCCGTCAAGTCTTTGTTCACTACAGTATATTTCCGCTCACCGGTTTTATCGTCCTATTATAGCAATATCCTGTACAAGAGAAAAAAATTATCTTAATTCCTCCTTTGAAATACCTAAGTAGTGCCGATCCAGGATTAATTGAACCTGCAAAATAAAATATTTGTCGTAAAATGTAAAATGATCTCAGGTGGTGTTGGAGAATTTGAAGCATGAATTACAAGAGTAGACGATATGTGTACGCTGCAAGCTATTGACCACAGGTCTTACTCGTGTGTTGTCTAATAACCTAATGACCAATTTTGAGGTTAGGCACAAGATAGTAGGTAAATTCTGGTAAAAGACTGATGAAATTTTGAACCTTAGTCTATTAAATTGGTCAGAACATGTATTACTTACTCCTACCTAGACTAATGATATCTACTGATGTGGGTGTAAGTTGGAAGAAGTTAAGCTCAGTCAAACTAAGATGTTACACTAATCCAAAAAACCAATGACTATTGATTAGAGCTTTATGAGTAGATGATAACTATCTGATTAATATCTACCTTAATATTGCAACCAATAGTTTTAGATATCGGGAGAATTAGCTCACAATTAAGCACAGTGGGGGCAAATTAATTCTTTCTTTACTATTCATCCTGATAACTTTGTATATTGTTACGCTGTTAATGCATAAGAATATGTGCCCGAATAATACTAGTACCGGATTGTACTTTCATTATAACTTATTTTATTTATTTATTTATTTAAACACAAACATTGGTATAAGGGGGCCCCAAATAGATATACACCACACAAACCATTCAATTTGTGTGAGGGTTGCGATACTGCTCGGGTGCCCAAACTGAGGTGGACACATCCCGAGCCTTTGATCCAAAGGTCTAATACTCAAGGCAATAGAGCAACGTCAGGAGATACAGTCCCATGGTAGCCAGTGATCATTTGTTCCTTCAGGATGCTAGAGCCCATACACACCATTGATTTGGAATCAGGGTTTTCCAACTTCCCTATGTATACTTCTCATTTCCACCAACCCGGTTAAAGCGTTGGATATTCGCTTTTTGTCCTATCAATTTCATAAACTACACCCCTACCACAACAAGGCAGCCAGTACGACTTTCCTGGCAGTGATTGTATGCTCGTGGTCATACGAAAGCATTTCGATAGGGAGAACTTACTTTCCCCATTTAAGAGCTGGAACACATTTTTTTATATCTGATTTCTAAATATCTAATAAGAAAATTGAATGGTTACCTAATAAATACTTACCTTTATTAACTATATTTTTAGTTAATTTTAAATTATTTAAAGCAATTTGATTTAATATACTTAAATCATTATCAGTAGTTTCTAATTGTTTATCAATTAAATTTAATGTTTCATTATGTGAATTATAAATTATTGATTGATTATTTAATATATTTGTAATAGAATCACGTTTATTAATAATTAATTGTAAACGATTTTGCCATGTAATTTGTTGACCATCTATTGTTGTAGTACTATTCAGAAATGCATTCTCTGCTTCATTTGTTGCATTCTCAGCTAATTTTATATTATCTATCATTAATTGATAGGCATTATAAGCTAAATAAGTACGATTTAATTGTTCTGTTAGGATTAATTTATCATGAATAAGTTGTGATTCTTGTTCTATTGGTTCAATGATATTTGTATATAATTCGGATGGGATAGAAATTTGTTTGGAATTAGGTAATTGTATTTGATTTAATTGATGAAGAAGATTATTTAATGTTTCAATTCGATTCAATTGTTCTTGATTAGGATGTAATTGTTCCAATTGGGATAATTGTTCATTTAAATTCTGTGATTGTTTATTAAAGGATTGTAATGTTGTTAAACTTGTTGTCGTTTTAACAGTATCGACTAATGTATTCGCCTTTTTCTAAATAATATAATAATGATAATAATCAAATTAGGTAATAAGATATGACCGTAGTAAAGTTTAGTCATATACTTTAATGTTTGATCCTATAGTATGATATTTACTTGTGATAGACTTAGGAAAGTTGGACAGAACACGTATGGTAAGTTAACGATAAGTTTAAATAAACTATATGTATATGTGAATTATGAACATATGGAACTCAGAATAACTGTCAACCAACATCATAGTTTGAATCTTCAATATGAAAGTCAAGACAGTTCTACTGTACGGAGCTGAAATTTGGAGAACTATCACAATCATCATCAAAGCAGTATAAGTATTTATAAACAGTTATCTACATAAGATACTCAATGTCCTTTGTTAGGATACTGTCAGCAACAGTCTGCTGTGGGAGAGAACAAACCAACTTGCAGCTAAGAAGGAAATTGGGAAAACATGTTAGAGATGGGTAGAACATACAATGCGGAAATTATCAAAGTGCATCAAGATGCAAGTGCTAACTTGGAATCCGGAGGAAAAACGAAAAAGATGAAGGCCAAAGAACCCACTGCACCGAGAATTGAAAGTAGACATGAAAAGGATGGATAACAACTGGAAATGATTACCTAGGACAGGGTTGGATGGAGAGTGTTGGTGGACGGGAAACAGGTGTAAATAAGTAAGTATGTGTTATGAACGGTATTATTCTATCGCACACGCACCAGCAAATGCAGCAGAAGACTACCAGTGTAGCAGCAGCATCAACAACAGTAGGTCTCAACATACACAAAGGGAAAAGCAAGATTCTCCGATACAACACAACATGCACCAATAGAATCACACTTGACGGAGAAGATTTTGAGTATGAGTAGCATCATTGATGAACACGGTCGATCTGATGCAGATATGAAGAGACGGATTGGCAAAGCAAGAAAAGCATATATACGACTGAATATCTGGAACTCTAAACAAATGACAACTAACACCAAGGTCGGAATTTTCAATACAAATGTCAAGGTATTTTTACTGTATGGGACGGAAACTTGGAGAACTACGAAAGCCATCATCCAGAAGATACAACTGTTTATTAACAGTTGTCTACGCAAAATACTTCAGATTCATTGGCCGGACACTATTAGCAACAACGTACTGTGGGAGAGAACAAACCAGATTCCAGTTGAGGAAGAAATCAGAAAGAAATGTTGGAAGTAGACAGGACGCACGTTGAGGAAAGCATCCAACTGCATCACAAGGCAAGCCCTCACATGGAATCCTCAAAGCCAAAGGAGAAGTAGAGGACTAAAGGACACATTACTCCGAGGAATGGAGACAGACATGAGAAGAATGAACAAAAATTGGATAAAACTAGAGGGGAAGGCTCAAGCCAGAGTTCATTGGAGAATGTTGGTCGGTGACCTGTGGTCCTTCATTGGGAATTACAGGCGTAAGTAATTATGACTATAGAAATAAGAAAGCAAAGCCTTAAGATAACTAACTGAATACATTATGTCCGTAGTTGTCTATCGTAAATAACTCAATCTACATCAACATATTAGTTTTATAATCAGCACTCTTTGCATCTGTCTCTAATTATCGACGATAAACTCTATACTCTGATTAAATTTCAATGTCCAACTAACTACTTGTGTTTCTAAGGAAAGACGTATGGTGGCTAGTAGTAGAATTCAAGACGCCTGTTTCTTCCTATCTGGAACTCGTCAGCTGGATGTACCTACATCTCAGAGATGATATCCACTACCGGACTCGAACCGATTACTGTTCACTTGAAACGCCATTGCATTATCCACTTACCTACTGAGTTCAGATAGCCACTTCCTTATGCAATATGCACAATATTCGCATATGTTAATTGGAGACTGATCGATTCCAGTCGTAAGCGTCAATGGGAAGATTTAAGTAAACTATACCAAGGGATTTTGAATTTCACCCCATTACACAAGCAAGTGACTATCACAACTCATTACCTAAACGGATAACGCGATGGTATTTCAAGTGAACGGTACCCGGTTCTAGTCCCGAAGTGAACATCGACTTTTACATACAGATACATCCAGTTAACATCTTCCCAATTCATAATATGAATATTATATTATTATTATTATTATTAATCACTTACTAATGCTATATCTAATTCATTTATTGCTAATTTAGTACCATTACTAATACGATATATTTGATTGGTTTGATAATCAATTAAAAATTTTTGTAATTCCTGATATCGATTTAATTGATTTAAATCATTTTGTATATGATTTTGATTAATTATTGATTGTATTAATTCATTAATTCGTTGAATAATTCGTTGAATTTCTATTTCTATTTCATTTAACCATATTATTGTTTCATTTAATTGTATATTACTTAAATTAATATAAATTTGTTTAGAATGTTCTTGCCAATTTATTAATTCATGTAAATTCATTGATTGTCCATATTCTTGTTTAATTAATCGATTAATCCAATTATGTAATTGATTTTCGATCAAATTAGATTGATTATATAATGTATTGATTTGTTCTAAAATATCACAATTTGATTGATCAAATACTTGATAATTATTGAATATTCTTATATAACTTTGATTGATTTCAATCAATTGTCGAAATAATTGTTTTGTACGTGATAGAATTTCATTTTCTAATTGAATACGTGATGGTATAAAACGTTTCTTATTCATATCTATTTGTTGTTTTAATTTAGCTAAACCTTGATAAGCTAAAGTGGTAATATTTAATCCATCAATTTGTAATTTGACATAATCAGATTTATTAAGTAATTCACCGGTACATGGACCACGACAATCTAGGATTACAAAAAAAAAAGAGAAGATGAAGTGACATAGAAATTGAATTCTAAGTGGAAATATGAGTTACCATAGTAACTGCAAGAAATGAATTTGATAGACGTTTATTGATATAAATAAAATATATGAAAATAAATCTTCTTCAATGAGATCAGGAATTCATTAGTGTTAGATCACTATTGAAAACCTGGCAGCACTGGACAGCCGTTTCGTCTTATCGTAGGTGTAAAATGTGATCGATAAACGTACTCACCAATGATAAAGTGAAACAATCACCACCACATTAATTTTCTTTGACCTTGTATGACTATGTCTTGTTTATTCGCTAATCACAATTTTATGTTCATTATAAAACAATACTTGCCTTGTTGACTCATTTTTCTTATCCTCTAGTTACTGTTCGGTTTGTTATTTATGTCTCTATTTTTCCCTGTGTTAATAGACTGTGCTGTTTGTTTTGTACACTAACGATGTTAATTTATGTTTTAGAAACAGATAAAGTTTATCGAGCCAAATAGCTTACTTGTTCTGACTTTGGCTAAACCATGACTCTGTGCTCGACAGTCTAGAGAATAGCTTAGAGTTACACCTGTAGGAAATCGCTTCCTACAGTGGAACTCCTCAGTAGTGCGCACCCACGACCCCTCACGCCGGATTCGAGCCAAGGGCCTTCATTCTCGCGCGCGAACGCTTAACCTCTAGACCACTGAGTCCCACAATAGGACGAAACAGTCGTCTAGTGCTTCCAGGTTTCCGATAGTGGTCTAGCATCATTATCTCAATCAAAAACTTAGTAATCTCCACAACCCTATACTGATAATAATTTTTCTAATGAATTAACAAAAGTTGAGAAGCTATTAAAAGCCATGGTAGATGATTCATGGGCGTTTTTGCCTCAGTTTAATATTTTTAAGCCTTTTGCGGTTTATTCATAACCATAATACTTGTAGTGGCTGATAGTATGTCAAGCCCCAATAGGTTATTTTAGGCTTTGGTACGCACCAATCTATTCGTTCTTCTCAAGCTACATTTTAACCTTGTCACTCAGTAGCTTATTAACTCCGACTGTTATTTTATGTGATCGTGTGTGTGTGTGTGTGTTAATTACTTACCCTATTCATCATGTGTTTGTAACTTATTTTGGTTTGATTATAAATATCGATTCATGGTTGACTAAATCGAGTTGGTTCCTATGCTTTCTACGATCCGTTTCGCTTCGTTTACCTGATTGTCTGTTCGGATCAACGATTGTATGAAATATACGTATTCAAACTCCATTTTCACATTTAATTTATTTTATTCTGTTATACCCTAACGCGACTTAAGTCGATGAAAATATACCAGAGTTGGCAACATGTAAATTTCAGTAGCCATCATAAGACGATCAAACTGAAGTCAGATATCGGGCCACCTAAAAGCTATCTTTTAATCTTATATTGGCTCAAAAAATTACCCAATGATCATATACTTACTAATAACTAGTTTCGAAAGATAGATTTTTAATGTTAAACAACTAATCAGCTCATCATGAAGTCCCAATTTCCTAGGTCTTATTTCTGGAAGGGGGAATTAAAGAAGTTTTCAATCTTAACAAACCACATGTCCAGTTTTACATTTTATAATTTATATCACGGAGTGCCCTTAGTCCGATAAACACGAAAAACCAGAAAGCACTGAAAGACTGTTTCGTATGGGAATCCCCAGTAGTGTACATCAACTACTCCACCAGAAATGGAGAACAGGACCTCAATGTCTCAAAAGCGAGCTTTTGACCTTTAGACCACTAAGTCTTCACCGAGTGATTCACGTTTCTAACTTTAATCAACCTGCCATATCTCACAGACAATCTACAACGCCAATGGTAGGTAACTGCTGTGCACTCAACAAATTTGAATTCTACTGGTCACGTCTTCTCAGTCCAGCACTCCTTCAACTAGTATCAATCTATGACGAAGAGTATCTTCAAATTGGACCAATTTCCATAAATCACTCAATAAAACGTATCAAATAACCGAATTAATGCTGTCGGGAGCTGCAGACTTTGTTTTAATAAACTTGGTTTACGAATCGTACGAGACGCGAATCGTGGTACAATATTTCTGTAATACCAGTCATCGTAAACTTAGACAGTTTTGACAATATTGACTTATTTCGATAATGTAATAAGAAGACGAAGATTATCAGAACTACGTTAACTTAATAATTGGTTTTAAAAACTTGGCAGAGCACATCGTCCAGTTGGGAGGTAAAGCATAGATGCAGCGTAACGTAGATGGTCAGTTGCATTCCTATATCTTCTGTACATGGGATCAGATGAACACAGCTTGTCGGTATACAGTCATCACAGGAATTGACGGCACCCGTATATTTAAGAAAGAAATTCCAGTCTACCAGTTGGTGTTATTGGATGCATCTATGAAGCTGATTTCAATAGCCTTTAGATTTCTGGCTTGAGAGCCATCTGATCTTATTGGAAGGTTTCCAGCGTTTTTCCATGTTATTATTTTGTCTGGTATACCAGTCCGAAAATATTGGCATAAATGAGCCCTCTGAAACTCCAGAACTCAGTAAAGATTCTGATGATAATGACAACGCCTTCTGTGAGTGTGTCACCTTTCTCTACCACCTTGCAAAGAAGAGAGTTCCAGTGAATGGACTAGATGCACTCGATACAAATTTAATTACCGAACCGTTTTATTATGTAAATAAATCCTTCTGACTCAAGCAAAAACACTTAAGCTAAGATCTTGATTAGGTTTTTAGTTGATTTCCTCCAAAATTATAGGTCGTTTATAACTTCTCACTTGCGGTTTGACTTTTAGTTGGTATATGAGGACAGGCGTGTCATACGTCTGGTATTAAACCAGCCCGTTAACTTATCGGCCTAAAATTATGTTCTCTTTTAGAGAGATTAAAGCACGTAGGTCAAAGTGAGAGGACATTATCATATCGCAAGACATTTAGTACAACATCAGTTAAGGTTAAATAGTACTATTAAAAGCTTATCGTCTGTTCTACATACCACGACATGTTCCATGATCAACAACATGATCTTCTTCGCATTGGTCACATCTACGCCCTTTAATACCAGGCCAACAATCACATTGTCCAGTGTCTTGATTACATGTCTCCGATCTTGATCCTCCACTATCGCAATCACATGCTTGACAAGCAATCATGCTTGTTGGATCACCATAATAACCAGGAGCGCATTGTTCACATCGTAAACCAGCATAGCCTACTTTACAAATACATTTATGTGGTAAAAGTGAAGGATCAGTTGATGGTGTACATGTGATTGCATAACTATAGAAAGTGAAAAAAAGATGGGAAAATAAAGGAGATAAAAATTACTTTGATACGAAAGATACAAAAGAAACATTACTATAAAAAGAAAAACCTTAAAGGCTTCATCGTATATTGACTAATGAATTCCACATTATGACTGATTTACTTAAAATGGAAATAAAAATAAAAATTTATCAATGTACAGATTTTGTACTTCGTTTAGTTGTAAGCCAGAGATTTTATTAACAATTAGATTGAAACTCCTCAGCAGCACGGGATCGTCGATGCTTATTGCTGAGGAGTTCCGTACTAGGACAAAACGACCTTTCGGCATTTTCAGGTTTTCATTGGTAGTCTAACTTAGATCGATTCATGAATTCAACTATTAAAAGAACAGGAAGACAAAAAATGAATAATAGTTTAATGTAAGATTACTGGAATTGGACCAACTAAGTTCCTGTTCACAAATGATTCATAGTGATGCTTTTTTAGACTTTAGCTATTAAATCTAAACTATTGACACTGTATCATAATTCAGAAAATTTATCAACCATCAAGTGTAGCTGTTTTTCAGCATTCTCAAACAACCATGAATACGATTGAACCACTTAAGTAAACGGTTTTGTAGAAAAGGATTTTCATTCAAATACTAATCTATCGTTTTCGTATTCTTACTACGCGTTGTCGAATTCGGTATTTTTAACACCGAGCACAAGTCAGTTAATCATTCCACAAACATAACAGTGACAAACATCCCAATAGGTAGAAAGATGAACTTAATAATATATGTCGGAAAAGCTTAATCAGATACTATAATGTATGTTTTTATCAACAAAATACTTACTCGGTTTGTTCGGTAGGACATTGACATTTAACACATGGTTGTCCAATTTTTGGATCGCCCATATAACCTGTAGCACATTTCCCACAGTCTGGGCCTTCTGTGTTACCCGTACAATCCAAGCATATTCCAGTGACTGGATCACAATTTGAGGACATACCATGACAACGGCATTTCTGGGCTCCACCTTCCCAAATGATGTGTCCTGTTGGAAGAGTAGGATCAATTATGGCAGTTGGTGGTAGAATTTCACGTCCAGGTTTTGGTTTAATTGGTGGGAAATAAAATCCAGACGAAGCAATCTATCAGAATGAAAACAAGGTAATGAAGAAAGACATCATAAAATACTATATTATTACATAATGATGATAAATCCATCTCATGAAAACTATATTATTTGAAAGCTAATTGATTTGTCGACAACATGAATTGGATACAAGTAAGCTATATTCGATTCCCGGAATTGTGGAAATTCATTTAAACTACGTAGTGCAAATGATTGGTTATTAAGCAGTAACTAATATCATTTTTATACAATTATTTTATGCTGATCGAATGATATTGATCAAGTTATAACGTGGCCAATATTCAAATTGGCTTTACATACCATGTTTTAATGTTAGATAGATGGAGGTAGTGGACAGGGAACGCTGACTCCAAGTTACATGGAATTAAATTAACACTGGAAAAATAAATGAACATCACACTAATCACTACTCAGTAATAAATCAGTCCTACAGCATGTCAGTTAAGGCACAACTTCTTAAACTGTGGGGCTGAGTGATAAGAATTCTCGTTCCATATTGCGTAACAGTTCCCTCAAGATTGTAGGTGTAGGTTTAGCACGAAACCTGACTCAAACTTAGGCCCGGGAGTGAACATCAACTATAGGTTACAAATAGGACGAAATACGTGTCGTGGATTCCATTACTGGATAAGTTCTAGCATATGGTGAAGTGTTTCGAGAATTTCACCTACTATCCAATCTAATATTCATCAGTTTGAAGAATATGCTTGAATACGATTGTTTTATGTTTCGATTACAAATATTTGCTCATAGAAACCAAAATCTATATGTTAAAATAAACGTATTAAAACCATTTAAGTTATATTGCCCTCAATCTTGAGAGCTTCTTTGTTATGTCACACAGTTCTACGGTGATTTCCAGAGAACTGTGTGACATAACAAAGAAATTCTCTGGAAATCACCGCCCTCAATCCTAAATTATTTTTACCTTTAAACATGTAAACTTTTCACCTCAAAAGAATAAATAACAATTGGATATTAAAACAAAAATCGACTCATAATTACATTGTTATTCAAATCAAATAAGAGAAAAGATAACAATCCTAAAACATCTGCTCACTAATGGCTAGCTTCGTGAGGGAATTCTCGGAGTTCTAGTGAGAAGCCGTGATCAGTGGAGCTAATTCATGTCAGGTAGAGACAGGTATCTACCTCAGTACAATGGAAGTTGGTCGCGCAATTTCGTGGATTGGTTGATGTTAGACACTATCACCATTGGATGCCGGCCCAGTGGTCCAGTTGGTTAAGCGTTCGCACGCGAGACCGAAGGTCATGGGTTGGAATCCCGCGAGCGGGATCGTGGATGAGCACTGCTGAGGAGTCCCACAATAGGACGAAACGGCCGTCCAGTGCTTCCAGGTTTCCAAAGGTGGTGGTCTAACATCAATCGGTTCATGATCTCAATAAAAAAACTAGACTTGGTTGAATCTGTTAGTGATATTTTAAAGGGTATAAATAATAACGCTAATAACTAAGATATACATACCTCACAATGATCACCGGATGCAGTCGGTGGACATTCACATTTTTCAATTGTTTTAATTTCAATTCCAGATAGTGTTGTTATTTCTGTACGTGGTTGATAAATTTTATATTTTACACTAAAAGAAACAAAAATATGTTAAATTAAAAGACAAATCGTAGATTATATGTAAGACAATACATTAAATTTTATTTTTTTTTCTTTACAGAATATATTTTCAGTAAGTTATTTGATTATAAACAATGTGAAAGTCAGTCAGTCAGTTAGTAACAACGTGGAACTTTGTACGTACGTACGTACATCAGTTCGAGTTGCCATATCACATTAGCACAGAGATGCAGTTGACGATTCAAATCCCATAGCGGTAGAGGTAGTAAAAGTATAAGCAGTAATTGGAAACATTAGGGTTTGAGGATGTTATTCAAGGAGTATAATCCAGTGAAATAAATTTGGAAAGAGAAAAAAGAAAGGGACATGAAGAATTCAGAAGATTAGAATTTGAGAGAACACAAAGTGTGGACCTGCACCTGCGCCATTGCAAACGATTTTCAGGCATGTCATTCAAAGTCTCTAACCATCGGTTGCTATCATCTCGCGGTCCCCAACCAGGTAGTCTACACCTACCAACATGACTCAGTCCACTTGTCAGTGACTTCATAGATTTGTGCCATGTTTTGGCTTGGCCGCCCTTAGCTTTCTTCCAACCTACTCCTACACCATAAAACATCGCACGTCAAGGCAGTCAGTGGTTGGGCATACGTAACACATGTCCCAGCTATCTCAACTGATGAAGTTTCACTACTTCACCAATTGATTTACCATCCTTACCTAGTACCCGTTTCCTGACAACTGCATTACTTACCCGGTGGTCCCAGGTTATATGAGCAGTGCTTCGAAGACACCTGTGATCGGATACTAGTAACCTATGAATATCCCCTACTCTTACCGGCCATGTTTCACTGCCATAAAGTAGGACAGGGCGAACTGCTGCGCAATAAACCTGTCCTTTGGTTGGCAGACGGATATCTTACCTACGCCATAAATGGCGCAAGTTGGCAACATGGAATTCACCACGTGTATGTGTTTGTTCAAGTTATTATACCATACCAGGGTTATCACTTCTAAGCCAGATCATCCAACATATGCAATCTTTAGTTAGGACAATCGTGCTGCTCCTAATCAGATAGTTTTCATCTATTATCATGGCTCAGACTAATAGTCAGTGACTTCATGAACTAATAAAATGTTTTGCTTTGATCGCTCCAAATGTTCTTAATTCAGCCCATTGCGCAAGTTAATGGCCATCTGGACCCAATAGCTAAGTGGTAGATTTTAAAATGAACATTTCGTTTAACTTGAATTTTGTCAGTTTAATGTATTTGAATGTTTACGTTATAGATAATATTTATCATAACAGATAGACAACTGGTAACTATTTATTCTTTTCTACGACTACTACTACTGATACTGTAAATACTTCTACTACAACGAGATTGATAATATCATTTTGCTGTAGTAATGTAATGTGGCGACTGGAACCGACACACATATCTTTCAGGTTCCATTTTATGTATGGCTATCCGTGAAGGTTCAATAAGCTCGTGATCTACACACTAGCATTTGAAGTAATGAAGAGTAAGCACATGCATGTTGGTAGATGTCGACTACGTAATTGAGGTCTGGTCGCTAACTTAGATCGGTGGTTGAAGACGTTGCATGATATGACCCAGGACAGATGACAGTGACTCAGATCCATCCACCTTTTTTCGTCCTTTAAATGTTGAATTACAGTACTTCTTCGTGTATACCTTTTCATCTTGCCATACCAGTTCGACGATGATTATTTCATCTTGTTTCCTATTTATCATTTGAATTTCATCTCATTAGCTAGTGTGGTGTGATTACAGCTGACTGTCCAACAGACAGTTATCAAGGTTTCTATTAACAGTAACTCATATTATCAAAAAAGACTAACTTCGATTTAGTCTTTACTATCACGAACAAAGTAATATAAACTTTTATCATTAGTCAATCGGTAAATCGATGACCAAAAACTAAGTGATTTCGTTTGACTATCATACTGCTGTTTATTATTAGGCGGTTGAAGATAGTCAAGAGTAAAATCTGACTGGCCTAAGTGTCGTGCTAGTTATCACTCGTCAGTAAGCTTATACTCCCTATAGGATTTTAACTCAAGTAGTTCAGTTTCACAGTCTGAGATATTATCACTTTCCTATATGGACTGTAAATGTTGTTTACTCTTTCATAGAAGAATTTATACACTGAGAAATGCTTTTGTTAATTATCAAAGGAAACCTATTTTGGAATTTTAAATGTTAAGTTCCACCTAGCTACAAAAAACTTACCTTACAAGTTTGGGTCTTGCTTCAGGCATAAATAAACGTACACTGAATGATGTAACATTAAGTAAAGCTAACATTAATTCATTACGTGTTGGTCGAACACGTGTATCAATACCAGATACACGTGTTATTACCCAATCTTGTTCACGAAGCCAAATTTGACGATAACCATCCGCAATAGATGTAGGTGAATTTTCCTAATAATAAATAATAAAACATTATTGAATTGTTAAACTGATCAAATTCATTATTTGATATTAATCAATAATATTGAATGAGTCTTCCTTCATTAATATAAGAATATTTCAACTTGAATTCAATAATGGTGATGATGATGATGATGTTACAGGAACGGTAATGAAAGTTTGTCAATTAAACAACTTAGTTGAAAGCATAATACAACTATCATAAGCAATATTAACACCTAAATGATTAGTGAAGTCCGACTATGTTGGGTATGAGGTGATAGTTGCACAATACAACATAGTGATTGAAATTGAACACGTAAACTACTGAACAACGACTAAGTGGTCTAAAAATTACGAGGTCAATGTGAGAATTTCAGTTCATGAATCCGATCAGCAGTGGGATTGTGGTTTAGGATTTCCATGTAACCCCATACCAAGAGGAAATAGCTGTTCATCACTTATTACTTTTCAATGGTTATTAGACTAGAGTTAATTCATAATATAAACTATATAATATTTGAGTGGTTTATTTGAATATATCTTTTTTTGCAGAAACAAGCAAACACAACAACAATAAATCATTATCAACTAATCCATAATTAACTTACAGATGGTTGATATTCCATTTCGATATAACCATTTAACGCTGTCATTCGAGCATCTACAATATCATTTCTACGTATAATTAACCCTCCGGGTAAATCCTCTCTATTTGACAATATGTTAGTAGTTTGTGCATCTTCAATGCCAAGTTTACAATCACCAGTAGGTAGACATTCTGTCAATGCACCTATAAGTACACTTCCATAATTACGCATCTAAATGTGATATAAAAGAAAAACGCAGAAATATTTTCAAAGTATTTACTATAAAAAATGAATTACAGAGCTTATCATATGATATGTGGCTAGGGAAATTAAGATATGATTAAACATTGAACATGAACTGACAGATATTCAGCTTACTGACTATTATATATTATTACATCAGAAGGGGTTTTGTAGATATTATAGTAGTTTTAATAGTTGATATCATGAGTCGATTGAAGTTAAACATTAACACCGTCGGATATTGGCCGGCTCAGGGGTCTAATAGTTAAGCGCTCGCGCGCGAGACTTATAGGTTCTGGGTTTGAGTCTCGCGAGACGAGATCGTGGATGCGCATTGGTGAGAAGTCCCACACTAGAGCAAAACAACCGTCCAGTGCTTCCAGGTTTTCCAGGGTGGTCCAGCTTCAATTGACTCATGATCTTAACCAACAGAATGCATATATGTGATTTCCTTTGTTGTTGATGATTTCTGTTCTGGTTCCCAATTTTATTATTGTATTGTGATAGCATACTACAGAAATGAAAAGTATTTTCATTCTCCCTTTATATCACCATACTAATAATAGTAATAATACTCACTTCATTCAATACTATATGCTTGATTACAGTGAAGAATTGTCAACACAAAATATACAATGTGACAATAAGATTCTAGTTTAATGTTCATTTAACTCTTTCATAAATAAATAAATTTTTTTTAAAAAAATTCAAGTTTTTAAATAGTAGTTACTTGGCACTTATATTCATCTGTAACCATTTAAGATACAATCATACCTTTGAGATATCTTTTCTTCACCAGATAACAACATGTAGCTAGTGAGTAAAAACAGATGGATGTCTATCTATGCTAAATGTATGAAGTGCTTATAGGATATTAGTAAACTTTTCATTACATAATTCAATGTACTGTACTCTAGATTTCACATTATGATAATAAGTGGTTAATATAGCTTAAATAGTCTGATTTTTGATCATTGATTGGAATCGTATATTTGTGTATATTGTCTGTAGTATCATGGTCTAGTGGAGTCAATCGTATTACCCCGTCTTTTCATACATGAGGTCAAATTCATTTATTATTTTTGGCATTACAACAATTTGATTTATGAATTCTATCGTAATCATCCCTTGTTTCTCGAAGGCACAGTCCTAGAGAACAATGCACGAACTATCGTGATGGTAATTTTTGATTTTTTTTTTTCAGTATGCACATTTGCGATCCTTAGTCTTTCCTCCCTCCCCCCCCCGCACCTATACACACAATTTCTGATCAATAATGATAAAATATTATTCAAAACTTACTAATGAACCCTTTAATTCTGGTATTTCTAAATGAGTTGGACGATGCACAGAGAAACGCCAACTGAATTGACTTAAACCAATAGTTAATTCATTTATATCAATATCTTTTAAACCAAGTTTTAAATCAATTAACGGTCCACCTGGATAACGTGGATCATCAGTAGAAATTATCTTTATATTGAAATAGAAAAAGTAGACTTAATGGAAAAAGTGTATTTTCTATACAAATAAGGTGAAATATGGTAAAATTTATAAAATAACAAAGTGTAATTGTTTTTAAGTTTGTATCTTTATTCTGTTGAGTAACAGACAATGATTAGCAATTTGAATAGTCTACTGATATCACTATCATCAATCTAACAAGTGATAAGATAGAAACTGGAACCAGTTAATGAATTTGTACAAACCTCTTAGACAAATAACAATTATATGCTTATTAATAGACTGTTTTGATGATAAATTACTGACAATCTATGGAAAAGTTCTGAGTAGTATAATCTAATCATATGATAAATAAGGCAGTTGCTGTTAAACAGTATCATATTATAAATTGACTGAAGTTGAAAATTTGAACTATCGGATTTCGACTCAATAGTTTAGAGGTGACGGTCATACATTCAAACTTAAAAGTTTTCGGTGCAATCCATGATGGGATCATCAATGTGTACTGTTGAGAGGTTTTATATTAAGATGGAACAAATGTTCAGTGAATTCAGGTTTTAAAAAGTTTTACAAATAAAAGAAAACGTCAGTGACTAAATCCAGTATAAATGTGAATCAATCTCCATAAACGATAGAACACAAAATAGAATGCTTGGTAAAATAATGAAAAATTCAGTCAGTCAGTCAGCTACAACGTAGGACCAGGCAAATATATGCATCGGTCCAGGTTGCCATACCTCATTAGCACAGCAAGATGAACACCGGATTCATAAGAGTGGTTAGGTCAAAGGTTGCAATAAGGATATAGTATAGGAAGGAAGAATTAGTTCGTAGAAAGAAAGATTTGAAGTGATTTTAATCTCTTAGTTTAAGGGAAGACAGAGAGTGTATACACCGACGCCATTGTGATCGATTCTGAGCCATGTCACCCACTGTCTTCAACCATTGGTTACGAAAGTCACGCGGACCCCAACTAAGTAGTCTGCATCTACTAACATGGCTCAGACTAGAGGTTAGTGTCTTCAAACACTGATGCCACGTTTTAGTTTGGCCGCTCCTAATTCTCTTCCAACCATCTCTAACACCGGTTAGCATTGCACGACGTGGTAATCGGTGTTCAGGCATACGTAACACGTGGCCCAACCATCTCAGTCGATGAAGATTAACAACCTCATCAACTGATTTACCATCATTACCTAATACCCTGCGTCTAACCTCTCTTCAGGAAATGCTATTGATTGACATTATTAGCGAACAATCATAATACATATCTATATCACAGATCAACCCAGATAATTACTATGTCTATGCACAGAAAACATCCAATATCAGTTTAATGATACATTATAATGTCAAGCCGATGGTGTAGCTATTGAAAATCTTTTAGAATCGGTTCTATCCGATATATTTGTTAAAAAATTTAATAAGAATGTAATTAATGTCTACTATCAATAACATTGAACTTTATGTAAGGTACACCGATGTTACTTTCGTATGGTCTAACAATATAAATCTCACAAACAAGATACATAAGACTTTCAGCAAAGTTTATCCCAACATCAAATCTTCAGTTTAATGTGAAAGAATGGATAAGTTTCATTGCCTAGATCTAGATAACTTTCAAGGAAATGATGGAACCTGTCAGACTCATAAATCCGAAATAAACATCGAATAATATGTTAACTTTCATAGCTGTTGGAGAGTAAAATTCTGATAATGGTTTGGCGAAAACGCTCTACTACAAAATCAGAAAATTATCCTCATCATAAAATCAAGATGTAGTAATAAATAAATATCTTTAAGAAAATAGTTAAGCAATCATTAAGAAATATACTACTGATTGAAAAGAATTACATTCAAAAGTGACCAAGTCATGAATAGAATCCATCAAAGTCTTGAGAAATACAATTCCTTTCATTGGATATAATACTTTGTTCAATAAAGTAAACGAAAGTCAATTTATGTGTTCATACAAACCAAAGTATTTAGTTTTTCAAGGACAAAAAGATCAGTGTTCACATATTTTGTTGGATATATTCCAGAAAATCTATAATATCCAGGACAAAATATTGTTTACTTGTTCGAAAGTACAACACTAACTTGAAACAGAACGTAAAGTGGATACAATGAATGTATTCGAAATAATTAACAAGCAATATAATATTACAATTATCAGCAAAGATGGATAGTGGATAGCAGTGAAATCCGAGACGCATGTTTTGTCCTTTCTGGGACTTGTCAGCTGAATGCACCTGCATGAGTTGATGTCCGCTCTGGGGCTCGAACCCAGTACCGCTCGCTTTAAACGCTACCGCGCGACTCACTTAGCTACTGAGTACTGAGACGTGTATCGTGGATTTCACTACTAGCCAATATCCATCTTTGTTTGTAATGCTTGTGAATTGAGGCAATATGCACAGTATGCACATATGCCAATAAGAGAATGATCAATTACAGTTCTAAATAACAATGGGAAGATGCAAGTGAACAATACCAAGTGAGTTTGATGTAATACTACATTATTAAACTTTGCAGAAATCATAGTAGTTAGATAACCTGAATCTAACTTTGTGTTTGGAAAGGAGTCAATAGTTAATTTTCATCAATCTTGGAGACCAATTTTACCTTGGGTTATATCCCGATGAGAATAGTGAATGGTAACTGCTGGAATCTATTTATGGACTAATACTATACATGTATTTTTATCGTATAATTATTAAGTAACTAAACTGTTCATATTCATATTCCTCTTATTATGAGTTTTATTTTGACCTATGAACTATTATTATACGATTAACCATTCTTGAGCTATGGCTTGTCTATCAATTACTATCTCCCACATTCAAAGCTACATTTGGCTAATATCATGTACAAATGTTGTTTCCCATTATATGGTGTAATGTGGTCTGTTTGGTTGGTATATTAACTCAGTATGTTTGGAATCAATGATTCATATCGCAGAGTCTGAGATTGGTGTTGTGGACTCAACAGACAGGGTTAGGCAGGAAGCAGAACTGATAAAGACTAGTCTGCACGTACGGGTTCACGCGTCAGTGTTCCTGTCGATAAATCACTGTTCTCTAAATGGCAGCATCAACACGTTATACATTGATAGGGACACAGGGCACAAGTTTTAACACCTTGTCTCAATTTTATTATAATTACAATTTTGTTAGGCTATACTGTCTCTTCGTACTTGTCATTATAAAAAAAATTATACTATTGTGTTAAGCTATAAATTTAATTCATTAATTACTTCCAACCATGAGGTGTGTTGTCATATACAATCAATTTCCTACGGATCAGTTAAATAAACAACTTTATATTTTCTACATTAACGAATTACATAATACATATACATTATAATTTTCATTACTTACTTCAACTCCTTTCACTTTCCCTGGAACTGAACGATAACCAGTCAATAGACTACAACGAGATGATGTACCAGTTGGAAAACAGAAACATGTATAACAACCAAGTGGATAATCAATATTTAAACCAAAAGTTCCAGGTTTACATTGATCACATTGATCACCCTAGAAAAAAATATTGAAAAAAATAATAAATAGAAATCAATATTTTGAAGGCATCATAAACTATAGTTGGTATAATAGTGAAATGAAGAAAGATTCAATTTGATCAGAGCATTAGATTTGATTAGCTTACTAAAATTATTCACTGTTGAATTGAATTGTGTTAGAGGAGATGTAGATTCGTACAAGATAGTCATAACTTATAGTTTTAGTTTATAAATGACATGGCTAAAATTAGATTGGAGTAGGTTACATTTCACCATTCACAATCTCCCTTTAATTTTTTTTAATATAAATGTTACTATATGCTTCTCAATGCTCAATTTCATTCATTCTTCCCTAAATTTATATCGTATCAGTATATTTGGTAAGTGGTTAATAGGGAAATACAGTATGTATGTTTCGGCTTGTATAAGACTCGTCAACCGGACATATTCTTATCAATGTGTTAATATCCATGTTTAGACTCAAACTTAGTATAAACAAAATGAGTTTAACTCAAAAATGAAATTTGACTGATGGAATAGTGTGACATGAAGTCAAACAAGAATGTGATAACTGGTGACAATTGCATGTGCTTTAGAAAATCAAAATTCTACCTCAAAGTTTCGCTTATCGATAATAAGATTCTTATGAGTTTACAGGTTATTCGGAATAGATGTAATATAACTAGAAGTGGGAGAGAAAGGTACTACATTTGAATCTTGGAGTGAATATCAACTTTGAGATTACAGTACATCCGCCTGATAAGTCCCATATAGTATGAAACGTGAACCCTGAATTTTACTGAGCCACATTTCATTTATTCTGCATAAACTTACTTTATAATGACTATGTTGATGTAATCCACACAGGATGTGTATATGTCAAATAAGACAAGTGAAAATTTAATAAAAATATCAATAACGAGATAATCCAGTTCATTACGAATCCAATATACAAGTTCTTTTTCTTCAATACAGCTTTAGTAGAATAGAAACTTCGTTGCTGATGTGTTCTACCCAATTAGGTCTACTAATTTACTACTTGGATAAGGTATGGTCATTAGTTTTGGCTACTTTACATTGGAACAGCTGTTTTCTGATTGATTTACTTTGTTCGTTTACAAAACTTCGGAAAGTCAGTACAGGATAATATAAGTGACTCAGATAACTAATCTTCAATAATCGATATTAAAAACACATAAAAGTTCGTTTTAATCAATCAGGTGTTAATTTCTAGGAATTCTAGGCAGTACTAAACATAATAATGTAAGTTAAGAAATACTCAAAGTGAGAATTTCGTAATTCTCTCTTACTTTAATGTTGTGCTGAAGATGTTAATTAACTTGACACTAACCCACCTACTTCTAAAGATTTCGTACCAGAATACATTTACAACTAATCCTAGAAGTTGACAAATCCTAAACATCAATTATAATAATAGAGGCACATAATATTCTCAAAGTACGTTTTTATTATTAAAAAATGAAACTACTAATGAGTAGTATAAGATTCAAATGCAAAATGTTTTTTTCTACATACTTCAACATTTTCTTTACAGTTACATTGTCCATCAATTGGATTACATGGTACAACCGTATCTGATATGGATAGATTTCCCCATGCAGTACCACGCATATCACAGTTGCATTTTCTACAATAAGGATAACCATAATAACCCTTACTGCATTCATTACATACACGACCTGAAAATTCTGGTTTACATGTACATTGTCCTGTGGTTAAATCACATTGATCTTCAAGGCCTATAACGGAACCATCTATCGAACAATTACAATTCTGCAGTTTACAAAAAAAAGATAAGAAAAGTTTTAAAGGATTGATAATCGAACAGTATAGGACATAAGTGTGTGAAAAACGTCGAGACACATACATGAATGGTTTAGTCACCACTCAATACGGTTGTACAAAGTGTGCACTTTCACTGGAATCCACGATCTCTTTAAGCTTATCCATACCAGGAACGTTAAGCTAACGTGAGAATTGAATGGTGAACAGTGTAATAGCCTCTACTGTCTACCTATGTGTGAAATTAGTAGAAGGATAGTAACGTTGATGATTTGAGAGGATATATATATATATATATATATACTTTGTGTGTACAACAACACAGATTTAATGGAAATTCACTGAATTGTTCGTTGAATCAACGATTTTTAATCCTTGTGACCGTAGATATGAAACATAACAGAAATTCTTGAAATACGATTAAACTGCGAAAGGGAGTAAGGGTAAACAGAGACAAATAGGCTTACAAGTTATGCAAGTGAGTAAATAATGACTATTTCTATCCAGTTCATAACAGTTTCAAGCAATATTATTTATGATATCTAATGTCGGGTTTCTAGAAGTTAATAAACTTCAGTTAAGAACCCTACATTATACTAGAGTCCTCAGACCAAAATTCAGTATCTACAAAGGCCGATTCTCCCCGAACTTTATCCAGTTGACCTTCACACGAATCAGTAAGGCGAGAGTTAGAGGAAGTCCAAAGGAAACCCTGGATCTAGATTTTCTGCTACTTAGCACTCGTCATCAAGATTTAGTTCCAATTCTGAAGACTGATGCTTTTTTGACTAATTTGATCTCATGTAACCCAGACTTAAAGTCAGACTTGTTACCACTGAGCGGATCGAGAAGCGATCGACATCCTGTAAGACATTTGTGTTCACGATCGATAGATTATTGATTAGCGACCAGTGCCATGTTTGTTATGAACTTTTTAGTGATGTTCGAACTCTAGCAATCAGTAGAACACGTTCAAATACAAAACAAAGTTAGATATGTAATACATAACCAAGTAACTGTAAAACGTCTTCGACTGACTCGTTAGTCCTGCCTGGAACATTGTGCTTTATAATGAAAATATATACTTCGTGGTTTAACCCTACAGCAATAATACGAACGTCAAGACAGTTCTACCGTACAGAGCTGAAACTTGGAGAACTACAACAACCATCATCAAGAAGGTACAAGTATTCATAAATAGTTGTCTATGCAAAATGGTCAACATCCATTGGTCAGATACCATCAACAACAGTCTTCTATGGGAGAGAACAAACCAGCTTCCAGCTGAAGAGGAAGGTAGGAAGAGACGATGGGAATAGATAGGGCATACATTACAAAAATCACCAAACTGTATCGCAAGACAAGCCCTAACTTGGAATCTTGAAGGGAAGCGGAAAAGAGGAAGGCCAAAGAACACATTACGTCGGATAATAGAAGCAGATATGAAAAGGATGAATAGGAACTGGTAGGAGCTGGAAGGGATTGGCCAGGACAGGGTTGGATAGAGAATACTGGTGAGCGGCCTATGCTCCTCCACAAGGAGTAACAGGCGTAAATATGTAGGTAAGTAAGTAACAAGGTATATTTTCATTTCTCCGGGAACCAATGCTACTTCAAAGATTCGAATTTCTTTTCACTCGATGATGTAATCATGTTTTGATTCAAATAATGATGACCGTCAAGAAACACGAAGTACTGAAAAACTCTCGTCCTAGTGTGGGACTCATCAGTAGTGCGCATCATCCACGCCATCAATGTAGAGTTAAATCAAAAGCGTTAACTCTCATGGTAATCTCTTAACCCTAAGACCACTGTGATAGCCAGTGGAGTTCAACGTTGTTCAGAAAATCTCCTTTAAATATACATTTCTTACACTCATAATAAAACGATTAGACTAACTTTACAACCAATCACTGGATTATAGTCCCATGAACCAACAACGCATCTATCACATCGATCACCTTCAGTATTTGGTGGACAAATACATTTTCCCGTAATCTGATCACAAACTTGACCATTTGGGCAAGGCAAACAAGCTATAAAATAAGAAACCTTATTTGAGTATAAAAGACAAACAAAAATGTAAATGTTGTTTTAAAAAATAAAACTTTTCTTCCAAACATTCTATAACTCATTTTTTCTCCAACCATGAAATCTTGACATCTGACATGAAAAAAAAACACTAAGCATGATATTAGCATAAACAGCTATTTCGTGTTTAGATAGATGAACCTTTAGGAATCAGGTTGCATTTTAGAAATATTACTTCTTGATTTAGAACTTTTAAGAAGTTCATGCAAGCGGATCCACGCAGGATCGAATCCGGATGATATTCTTCATAGTCTTTTTGTTAGTTTTATTATCATTGATGACACTGCTTCTCTTCTGAATAATCTACTCTTAATGATGTTAATTTTATCTTGTTGTGTTACTTTCAGCCGATGATCATTTATGCTAGGTCCTACTATGTTAACTATGACTGATCGACTAACTCTATAGTTGTACTTGAAAAAGTTTGAGTAATGAAAAACGTAGTGTAAATTTTAAGTAATCTGTGATTAATGTGCAGGTTCATAGGGTGAAAGAAAAACTAGAAAGAAACAATAAGGACAGGATATTTATTATCAATGTCAACACTTACGTTTACAACCATTTTCAGAAACACCAAAATATCCTAATTCACATTCTGTACAGTCTCGTCCTACTACATGTGGAGCACATTTACACTGACCAGTATTCATATCACATTCAGTTAACTGAGTTAGTGTTCTAGTTAATTCAGTTCCAATTCCACAATTACATGGTAAACAATTTGATCCAGTGTTATTCCAATAGAATCCAGGCTACAATAAAATAAATGAATAGAAATTAGTTCTTATGAACATAGATCTAACATTTGAATGATTTGAAAGAAAATATGTATACATTAGCCTTAACTAATATGCTAAATATCATGATTTATGTAGTTTTCCTGCTGTAATTCTACTTCCTTTTCCTGTATTCTGTTCTACATATGCTCAACCACTGCCTACCTCGATGGGTGATGTTGTCTAGTATAGGAGTAAGATGAAAGAAAGCTAGGAGTGACCAAGTCATGATGTATCACCGATCCATGAAGTCACTGACAGTTCAATTGAACAATGTTAATAGATGTAGACTATCTAGTTGGTGTTCGCGTGATTATCTCAACAAATGATTAAAGACTTTGGGAGACATGGCTAAGTATCATTCACTCCTTGTCTTCCTCTAGAACCTGAGTCTTAAAATCTCCTCATTACTTTTGTCATTTTCTGTAGCTATTATTTTACCATTATTGCTGCTGATTTTGTCACTACTCGTACTATTCTGAGATTTGTCTTGAAATGATTTTAATTCTCTGCGTTAATGATTCCGTTTAGAACTTCGTCAAATGAACGATGTTGAAAATTTATTTCACTTTTGACTATAAGCTATTTGTAGCTAATCAGAAGTCAATAGAGTAAAAGGAGAGCTCAGTTTACTCTGTGAAAATGTTTCAGATTGTGATGTGAGTTCAAACCCTATGAGAGCATCATTCCCTTCTAGACTGCCTATATACTATAGTAATGAGTCCTGACTAACATGAAATCTAGCTCTAGGGTTTGCTGTAGAGTATTGAACCTCGTCCTAAAATAACAACTACGTTGAAAAGATTGAAAGGCAGGTATTCCCATGTCAAAATGCATATTACTTCAAAGAATCTACGAAAAAACATTCACATTTCAATTATGTATCACTCATTGAAGACGATACATGAGATAAACATAGTGAATCTATTCAAGAAATTTCATCATACTGAGTAACTCTGTCGTACAAAGATTTCTATTGAATATAACAATGAAGAGGATAAAAGTTGATCTTAGTACTTAAAAGGAGTTATTGAATTATCTTCAGATTACTTTTGATGCCATAAATAAGTAATCTAAATAACTCATTTCATTTGTTATAGTAATCAGATTTATCCATACATTCCAGTTACAAAGTTATCATTTCTATTTACTTGACTTGAATGTACATTAATTTGATGATTTCAGTATAAAGTTATTCATCTTTATCAGCATTATTTTCTTCACCATTTGTAGATCGATAGGATTATCATCAAACTAATTAAAATACTGTCAAGTGATCTATGATAATTAGTTGGAAACCCCACACCTAGATTATACTTTAGTTGATACTTTTCAACCAGGCGTACCTGTAGTCTTGGGTTAACTGATACTCTTTGCGAGATTCAAATTGGAGTCGTCGCCCACTATCATAACCTGAGACATTTTTCACTGAAGTAGTCAAGCTCTTGACTTAGTTTCTTTAGGAATATTTAATATTAATTGACCAATGTGCAGTGAGAAATTCCATGTTTATCTAATCCTTTAATACGAATCGAATTTTATTAATATGGTCACTTGTTTAAATTACTTGACATTACTGAAACACTTGAAGTGTCTTCTGTAAATCGACTATATTAAAGCCTTCAGTAGATTATCTGTTAGTCTTTTTTGTCGCTCACCTGTTACATTTAAATACCTTCGTTTCCATGACATCATTAAACATATAATTTACTGTTGGGAGGCTAAGACTTGCGTTCTGGACTAAACTGGCTGGGCTAGACAGGGATGCAGGACCAATCGAAACTCTAGGCCGTTCTTACGTGTTTACGCGTCTTTGGTCCGATCGATAATTCGCGCTCGCTAAACTCCACTCAGCAGTTTCTTTCACGTCATAACATTTACAATCATAAGTTATTTGTTCTGAATAATTAGGATTTATCGAAATTTATACATTTGTAATGATTAAAACAAAACTTACCAAACATTTATCACATGTATCCCCAATTACATTCTCACCACATTTACATTGACCTGTGATTGGATTACATGTTCGATCGATTGCTCTTGAAGTACATTTGCACTCTGTAAATAATGTTCGTTTTATAAAAAAGAGACATATATATATATATATATATATATATAATATGAACAGAAAAACAAGAAGCTACGACAGACTACAGGAGTTAGTTTGGGGGATATTATTTCATTTAATTCAAAACTTGTAAAGCAATAACACATATTTTTGTTTCTAGTTTATTCTTTAGAACATAAGCTTTCGTTTGATGTATGATTCACTGCCATATCTTTTTCTGTTTCAAAGCTATTGTATTTTAAACGTAATCTGTTGTACTCTACTTTCTACCCTAATCCCTAGTTTTGGACATCATTGTATTTTTTCTAATTGTTTGCACGTAATTGTCTGGTTTATCATCCATTTATTCATGTATCTTTTAACACTAATCTTAAAAACGGGAACCATATCGGAATTAGGAATAAATGGAGTAGTGTTCTAGTTGACTTGTGTTCTCTCACTCGCGTGCTTGTCAGCCGATCAGGTGATAGAATAGTTTTCGTCACTCTACCCTAAGTAGATAGTCTCAATTCGAACTTACGCATACTAGCCTCAAGGTTAAACCAGTCAACTTTATCGCTTGAAGGTCTTAATCTTGATTGAGACAAGTTATCCTCTGCATATTAGTGGACAGACGGCGAGGCTATAATTTATGGACGAACCAATCAGGTTTCGGATAACAGATCTAGCATTTTGGAGGGAAATTCATTCACTTATTTTTCTAAATAACGTTTTGGCATTTTAGCTGATATCGATATCGGTTCATGATGAAAACAATAAATCTAATTCCTAACCCTAATCATCAATTGTAAATTATGATCCTTATTCTTCACACTGCTTTATAACCATCATTCAGCCCTGGTAAGTAGGTGGACGTTCTCAAGGTTACTTTAGCGTTCCTCAAAGGTCATCCATGAATTATAATCTCAGCAAATAAAGTCTACGTTACAATTCGATAGTCCGTAATATCATACTTATCAACACTAGTTATTTTCTATCCATCTAATTTGGTCTTATAATACTTTTGCTTTCTTTAAATTGATAATCAAAAGTTTGGTGTGTGAAATAATCTTGGTTGAAACTAAATATCAAAATTATCCCCTTGATAAGTTGTAATTTAGCTGACAGACTATTAACATGACAATAACAATAGAGTAATTCTCATTGAATCTTATTAGTATAACGGATTTATGAAGATTGTTGAGTTTTATAGTTTACACCACTAACTAACCTTGGTAAGATAACCACTGAAGACAAAGAAGTACTTGATAGCTGTACTCTGAACCTAATGGGGATTGGATCCAGAAATTTCAGGTCACAGTGCGAGCGCTTAGATTTTAGGTAACTAAGCCAGCATTCAATAGCTTTACATTTCTAGTTTTAATCACAATGAATCTAACATAAATCATCAATGCTATTTAGATTTTGAAATGATGATGAATAATGTTTACTGCCAATAGAAGTAATTGCTGATGATGTAGTCCAAAGCAATAACAAAGGATTCATAATAGAACTGTTTACGTTCAGACAACGTAAAATAACCAGAAACACAAATAATCCAGTTTATTATCTTCAAAATCCACCAAAACACTAACAAATTACCTGTGACTTAAAATTTCTGTAGAGCTTCTAACTTAAACTATAGGTGAATGCTCAAAATAAATTACAGTTTTATCGTTATTCAATGCATGACCATTTTGAGTGTTCAGACATATTTATTAGATTTGTAAATCTTCATATCAGGTGTGAGACCACATCGTAAGTGATTGAAGTTGTAAATACACATCAATGCATGGCAGTTTAGTGACCGAGAGGTTAAGCATTCACGCGCGAGACCGAAGATCCTAAGATCTGTCCCCAAATATAGAGTCGTAGATGAGCACTAAATCATAATCATGGTAATAATCGTAGTTAAAGATGAGTCTTGGAGTGAATATCAGCTCTGAGTTGCAGGCGCATCCATCCAACGAGTCCTAAATAGGACGAAACGTGTGTCCTGGATACCACTGCTAACCATCATCCATCTCTGCTTGTAGTAGATGGTTAGAAAGACCCAATTGCTTTGATGGCTAAATTGATGAGACGTCAATCATTTTATTGAATAATCTCAAAATAATAAAACCGTTTATAAAGATAACAGTAAATGTGAGTGTGAAAGTTTGACTAAAATGGTCAATGAAGGTGTTATTATGATTCCATGACATTTAATGAATGTTCCTAAAGGTTACAGGTCAAACAAGCAACAACAAGGATTTTCAAAAGTATTTTGAAAGCAAAAGAAGAAATATCGGATAGAAGGTTAACAGTTAATTGATCATCACGACAATACAAAAGTGAACTGTAAATTCTTTTTGTAAACATAAACTGAGGTTCAGACAACGAACAGTAGTACTGGAGTCTACTGAACGTCTAGTTGGATATGAGTGTTTCTGATATTCATATTTAATACTATGATTTTGGTAGACAGACGAAGAGATGTGAAGCAGTGATATTAGGCATGCCTATTCAAGATAGTACTCATTGCAAGCATTGATGCAACTCAAAATAGACAATGAATAGTTTGACAAAGAAACAGGCATTAGATAAAACAATAAGTGTACAGGCTCACACAAATGAGATGAACAAGTGTGAAATTATAAAGACACAAATATAATAAGTATATATGTACTGAAAGTCACAACTTCCTATGCAACTAATAAGGTTATTAGCAAGGCGAAAATGATTTAATTGTTACTTACTGTCTAATCAAGAATTAGGATAATTAGAAGTTGGACAGATGTATCCTTTTTGGGAACAGTTGTTTGTCTTGCTGTTTCATATATGTTTACTTGAACCGCTTACTCATAAACTCAAGTAAGGTCTTAGAAACAAAGAAAATGAAAAAAAATAAACTAAATATATCTCAGATTTATTACCTGTACATCCATTTGGACCTAGATTATAATATCCTACTTGACATGTTGAACAGTCTAAAGTACCACCAACTCCTGGTTTACAAGAACATTGTCCAGAGACAGGATCACATGATGTTAAATATTCTGGTCTGGTACCAATAGGATCACATTGACATGGTGGACAACCAGCTTCTGTATTACCACGACCAGATATACAACGATCACATCTAACACCTTCATATGTTGATAAACAATTACATTGACCATCTTCAAGTCTACATGATGGAGAGATGCTGCCTTTTGGATGACAATTACAAGCTGAAATAAATTCAAACAAACGAACTATTTAAGGTTAATCAAATAAGCATTTAGGAAAAATTTTATTGAAATAACCGAGATATAGTCACAGCACTTTTGTTTAATAAAAGTTTGTATAAACTAACGTTGTCTAGTTTGTTCTTTATAACCCCTATATCGATCGAAGTTTATGTATATTACGAATGTAACATTATACATTGAATTTAGTATGTACAATAAGCAGTACTGGTTACATAGTTGAAAAGAAAACAAATTTCGCGCAATTTTGTGGATTGGTTGAGGTTAGACATTAACACCGTTGGATTTCAGCCAGCTCAGTGGTCTAGAACTTAATCGTCCGCGCGCGAGATCGTGGATGAGCACTGCTGAGGAGTCTCACAATAGAAGGAAACAGCCATCCAGTGCTTCCAGGTTTTCAATGGTGGTCTAACATCAATCAGTTCATAATCTCAATCAAAAACGTAATGATCTCCACAAGCCCATATTGACAAATTTCGCTTGATTTAAATTTCATACAATATTAGTATTCATTTTTGTGTCAGGAATTTCCGATTCCCAATAAAACTTAGTGTGATTCTTATTTAGTATATATGATACTGTAGTACTACAGATATCATCAAAAATGTACAGGTATTTGTAAACAGCTGTCTATGCAAGATTCTTTAGATTTGTTGGCCAGATATCATCAAGAATAACCGACTGTAGTAGAAAATAAACTAGGCTCTAACTGAGGAGGAAATTATGAAAAAACGCTGGAGGTGAGTGGGACGTACGTTGAAGAAATCATCAAATTGGATCATAAGCTCTAACTAGGAGTTCTCAAATCCAAAGGAATATAAGAAGACCAAAGAATACACGGAGCCAGGAATCGGTGCCAGACATCAAAGGAATGAATAATATTTGGAAACAACTGCTAGACACTAAAGTATGATGTTATCATTGTTTGTTGTATGTAAAATATATATCGATTTTTCTTATGTCATGAATGTGGTTGACTTAGGTTATTATCATAAATTATCAAGAAGGTTAATAATAATAATAATAATAATTTCACGTTTTAATATTAATGAAGGTTAGTTTCCACTTGAACCAATCAATATTTCACCAATTACTGACAAGATTGCCTAATTTCTACACTACGTTGCCTTTTAACGTTACCTTCAATGTGATTTGAGAAGGAAGGATGTCATTGAATATTAAAATTATTCTTGAACCAAATTCATCTACTAAAAACAATATGCTTGAAAGCCAAAACTATTTTTATTATTTAGTCGAAGGATCATGTTACAATTTGTGGCCTGATGACCTATTAATATATAACGTAATGTTACCGCCAATTAGAGAGCAATAATTTATCGACAGGAACACTGACACGTGAACCCGTACGTGCAGACTAGAGTCTCTATCGGTTCTGCTTCCTGCCTAACCCTGTCTGTTGAGTCCACAACACCAATCTCAGCCTCTGCGATATGAATCATTGATTTCAAACATACTGAGTTAACATACCAATCAAACAGACCACATCATACCATAAAATAGGAAACAACATTTGTATAAGATTTAGCCAAATATGGCTTTGAATGTGGGAGATAATAATTGGTAGACTAGGTATAACTCAAGAATGGTAAATCGTAACATAACAGTTGATAGGTTATGATAAAAAGAACACGAATATGAATAGTTTAGTTACTTATACGTATAGTATTAGTCCAGAGATAAATAAATAAATAACAAGTCAAATCTACATATTTGATGAATTTGCATTGACAAATATGTCTCTTTTGTTATTGTATCAGGATAAACGTAACCCACTGGACTGATTCACATTCATACTAGTTCTTTTGTTACTTACAACTGATTGATGTTGATCAGTAGGAAATTGAACTAAACAATGATCATTCAAAATAAGCTAATCAAACGTTTAGATAGTGAAAAATTGAGACTAGTTACTAGGTGAGTGAAAGACAGAACGGAACAACCATCATGTATTGGCTACCAATTGGTTTCTATACATACTGTTTTACAACTAATTATCAGAGTTTTCCTATAAAAAAAACACTGAATATTCACTTTAATCATTTGTAGTTGAAACTATGAAACTGAATTTAACAGATTATTAGGATGTGATCATTGTTATATCATTGTACAGGTCACTCATTAGTTATATAGCTACTTTTAATCATTCAATAGTCATTAAATTATTTTTAACCCAACCGACAGTATCATGTCAACGACGTTTTTCCTCAAAATCTAATTGATGGAAACAGTTTGAACTTATCTTTATCGAGAAAAAAAGTAAAGTAAACCCAAAAAAATATTTCATGGAGAATGTTCAGTTCCATAATTGGCATCACGAAATGACCTTAGTTTTGAAACCATAAAAAACGGGAAAGTATTAAACAGTTGTTGTTTCACAGTATAGAACTTTTCAGTAGCGCATATTCACGTATTCATATGAGATAGAGCTAAAGATCTTCAGGTATCTCAACGAGTAATTAGTTTTTAGACTACTGAGTTTAAAAATACCTTATGAAGTTCATTTTGTACATACACAAATGATGATCAGTCATATAAATGTCAAGTCATGAAAATAAAGATTGGGTCAAAATCACTGAAATAAATATAGTCAAACATACGTCTACATGGTTGTCCTCTAGTTGGATCTCCATGCGTTCCTTCAGCGCATGCATCACACTGTGGTCCAGCTGTATTAAATCCACAGATACAAGCTCCATTTGTTGAATTGCATCCTATAGCAGCGGGTCCACAATTACATGGACGACATGGCACTCCATTCAGTGGATCACCATAATACATTTCTGCACATACTTCACAATATCGACCTCGAGTACTAAGCATTAAACAGAAGAATTAAGACAATGTTTGCAAAGTAAGAAAATACTGTTAGTCAACTTTTAAGAAATTGAAACGAATAACTTTAAACTATTTCATCAACTAAATGTCTTCTTTCTTAAACTTAAGCTCGTTGACATCCTGTTATGGGTCATCACTTACTCTTTCTTCAGATAGGTCTAATTTACAGTGGTTAACATTTTTAAACATAATTGAAATGTTATAATGTTTTATAAACATAACATAAGCTAATTTAGGCTATTCTTATGCACAACTAAATGATCGATTAATTTAACATGAGTAATAGGATATCATACTACTAATCACCAATAATTCTCATCAAAATAACAGAGTACTGTATGCAACTCAAATAGTCTATTTTTAAGTACAAAAATTTTCATCTTAACTGTCAATTAGAATTATATCAAGAAAAAAGGTATGTAATATGATTGAACATTTAAGAATTTTCATATCTCAAAATTAAAGAATTGTCTCTAAGGTATATATATTTCAATAGTTGAGATCATGGGTCAGTTGAAGCTAGACCACCCTGGAAAACCTGGAAGCACTGGATGGCCGTTTCGTCCTATTATGGGACTCCTCATCAGTGCGTATCCACGATCCCGCCTAGTGAGACTCGAACCCAGGGCCTTTCAGTTTCGCGCGCGAGCTCTTAAACACCAGACCACTGAGCTGGTACCCAAATTTGTTAATGTCTAACTTCAACTAATCCACGAAATTGGGCGACACATCCACCATTGTCATCATTGAGTTGCTATCTCACAACATACCTGGTTGAACTCCACTGGCCACTGCTTTTAACTAGGACTCCAGGATATAGAAGGGCAAAAATATCTTATTGTGGTGTCTGTTACTATGTTAAGTCCATATAACTTATACTAGCTTCTGGACAGGTCAATTTATTCATTCTTCTTGAGTCACATTTTGACATTATTAATTAATCGATTATCAACCTTGACTGTTTTTATATGAGCGTATGTGTGTGCACTTCATATCTTACCCATCACATATCTGTAACTTAATTTGGTTCGACTATAAACATTGAGTAACGCTTAATTAAACTGAGTTGACTCATATACCTTCTCTAATTCGTTCCACTTTACTCTCTACACTTTTTCTTACTCAATTCTCTCTGTGCTTGCTTTCTGAGTTGCTTGCAGATTTTATCAATTATTAACAGTACACTATCCACAGGACTGGTATTCTAGCTTTTGAATAATCTCGAGTAAATGCATAATATTACCAGGAGATTTGGCATGCGTAAATGCTCAGTCAGCGAAATATTATTCAATGGAGTCGGATATAGAGGAAATTGGCCTCTACATTATTATAGATGTTGACCCATTTTACTGTGTGATCTGAATCATCTTGTTGAGTAGTTTAGTCTACAGTTGAGCCGATCAACATAATTCATCTGATCGTTTCTCGATTATTAGTTTAGTCAGAAATATAAAGAGTTGAATTTTCTCTTTATATATATTCTCATGGGCAACAGACTAGATGTTGTCTTGTGATACTCTCACAGCTCATTTAGAAATAATTCAGGACTCGATTAATTCCGAATGAATTTCTAAAATCACTATAAAAGTTGTCAAGCACAAATCTTTAGTGTCGCCAAAGTTAAAACTTAGTAAGCTATTTGGCTTTAAAAAGTTTATCTGTTTTGAACAATAACTAGTGAATACACAAACGAGTTGACAAAGCTTATTAACGTCTGTACAAGTTAATGATTAGCATATAAACGAAGCATAGCAGCATCAAGATCAAAGTAAGTCAAAGTGGCGAGTGTTTAATCATATCATTTGTAAGTTCGTTTGTTGAACACACTTGATACATAAAGTAATAGAAAAGGTAGGTATGTTTGTTATGGATCGATGTATTACCAGTGTAAATCCGTACTTATTAATGTTGTATCAGTTGACTCGGTTATATAAATACACAGTTCATTGAAGACTAAGCACATTCTTTTAACAAGATGAAAGAAAATTTCTTGAAATGTTTAATTTCAGTGGATCAAATATATAAACTAACTCACTTTTCTGTACAATCCAAACAAACATAAGGTTTTTCCTCTTTAAATACTTCTTCTTCATGTGCCAAACAAATTGTAGTCATTTGATAATCTAAATGAGGACATTCACATGATTTACATGCTGTTGGGTCACCGGTTCGTGGATCCCCATAAAATCCCGGTGCGCATACATCACATTTATCTCCTGCAGTATTATGAGTACAATCCTAAAATATAAAAAAAATTATTGATTCTATAGATTGATGACATCTCCTAATTCCTCTTTACATTTTATTCGTATCAAACAATAGATTTATTGGTTACGTGTATAGAATATTATTCTGTGAGTAAATTGTTTTAGAAGTACAAATTACGCGAATACAACTTGTTAAAATTCTATTAGTTTATCTAGTTAGCTATGATTGATAATGACAGTTTATAATGTAGACTAAATTTAGCTAACCAATCATTAATATCCGTACGGCATTTGTCAGTTGGTTTCATCCAGTCACAGGGATCCTGCTCAGTGTATATACATATCTCTACTTGAGATTTAATTAAGAACTACAAGATCCCTCAGTTAAATCATTACTTTTAAGACACCAAGTTTATGTGTAAATCAAAACATATTGTCAAACTCTGTCAAATTTGTATTGTAGTCAATAAATCAGTTTGAATTACTGTATTTTCCTAACATTTACGGGTTGAGATGTGTAAAGAATTTCAACTCATTCATAAGTTGAAGTCAATGTTGAGCAGTGGTACCATAATCAATGACGATCTGATTAAGTTTATTAATTCATTAACCCAAAATTAAAAACTATTTAACTTCAAAACAGTGGTGTCATTTGTGTTTTAAATAACCTCGCATTTATATCACACGAAAAGATTACTACTCTATCAATTCACTTGGTGTTGTTTACTTGTTCCTTCCTATTGTTATTTAAGACAGCAATTGATCAGTCTCTTGTTGGCATATGTGAATCCTGTGCGGACTGCCTCGACATTGCTTAAAGCCACAAGCTTTATAGTAGTGGAATCCAGGACGCGCGTTCCGTCCCATTCGGGACTCACCAGCTGGATGTACCTGCATCTCATAGTTGATGTTCACTCCGGGATTCGAACCCAGTACCGTACGCTTCAAACACCATCGCATTATCCACTTAACGACTCTCTTATTTCATAAAATATTGGTTGTCACTTTGAATCTTTGAAATCATGACGATATACTTTATTATGCTCAGTGGTATCATAATTATTAATGGATCAATTGTATTGCTAATAGCAACGGTCTGAATTAACTTATTATTGATATTTGTAACTAAATTTTGATTAGTCTGTGATGGTATATATATATATATATATATATCAATCCTGTACGGATTGTCTCGATATAGTCAGTTATTATACGAGTTTTCATTTAGAACTAATGGATTACTGCTGACAGTGTAATCCATGACGTACATTTCGTCCTATATATGACTTGTAAGCTAGGTGTACCTTTATTTCAGTGTCGATATTTATATTAAGACATGGATTCAGTTCCTTATCCTTTAAATTCTAACATTTTATTCACTAAGTCAGTGAGTCGTATATTGTTGAAGAGACTACCACAGAAAGTATGTGCATAAACAAAGGCTGATTTAAATTCAGCTTAAAAGGTTAACAAATGGATAGTTTAACTACGTTACGGTAATTATATAGGCATCATACAGGTTGAGTTCATCACTATATGAATCTAGTAGCTCAGTAAGTAAATCAACTGTGTATTGTTATCATTTTGAATTCCTTCATAGTGTCGTATGAGTATAATAGGTGACAAAGAAACCTTAATTCAAGATTTGAAGTAAGTTGACGCTTATCAGTGGGTACAATAATGGAGCAGGGTGCTTACATACATAGTATGCAATTCCCTTTGAACCTAACACACAACAATAACATCATACACTGTCCCATAATCCTTGACAGATCAGGTAACCTGAAAGCAGCGAAAACATCGAAGCATACGTTAGACTGTTGTCGAGCTGATACAAATGACACTTATCAATAACGTATGTCTACAATTTTAAAAGAAATAATGCTTCTAAAGGGTTATTTCACTGATAGAAATGATAGAAGTCAAAACAAAATTAGTGTTTGCTTAATGATCCATTTGATTTCCTGACAATTACTTTACAAAGCAATATCATCAATGAATAGGTGAATAATCTCTTGAAGATTTCTCATATTTCACTTAACAAGATAAATTTTATCTCTTGATAAAACTTACAATGCATACTCCAGTTTTCTCATCACAAATATCTGAATGTCCATGACATTCACATAGTACACAAACAGGTAATTGTGTCATCATAGTTGAACGCCATAATGATAAAGCTGTTGATGAAGTAAAAGAACTTTGATTAGTTTGTATCGTTGATTGTTTTTGATAATCACGATAATAACCAATTGCACATGATTCACAAGATGATCCCGAATATCCATTTGGACAAATACATTCTTCAATATTTGGTATTCCACCAGTTTCATCACGTAATGCACGACCAAGTGTAACAGACATTAATCTGTAATAAATGAATGAAATTAAAAATAAATACATTGAAATACTCAATAGAGATTGCATTTCATATGATGTATTATTCAAAGTAAATATAAACATTTTAGGGATATGTGTACATATAAGATGGATTTCGTAAGGATCGGTCGTGCACAGACCAGATTGCAACACTACGGATCATCGTCGAACAATCAATTGAGTGGAACTCATCACTATACATCAACTTCATTGATTATGAAAAGGCATTTGACAGTGTAGATAGGAGGACATTATGGAAACTTCTTCGACACTATGGAGTTCCTGAGAAGATTGTCAATATTATCCGGAACTCATATGACGGACTACAGTGCAAGGTCGTGCATGGAGGACAGTTGACAGATGCATTCCAAGTAAGGACCGGAGTCAGACAAGGCTGTTTACTCTCTCCCTTCCTCCTTCTTCTGGTGGTCGACTGGATTATGAAGACCTCAACATCTGAGGGAAAACACGGAATACAATGGACAGCTCAGAATCAATTAGACGATTTGGACTTCGCAGATGACCTAGCCCTCTTACCACATACACATGAACAAATGAAGATAAAGACAGCCAGTGTAGTAGCAGTCTCTGCATCTGTAGGCCTCAGCGTACACAAGGGGAAAACCAAGGTTCTCAACTTTAACACAGAGAACAGCAATCCAATCACTCTTGATGGTGAAACTCTGGAAGATGTAGAATCCTTCACATACCTGGGAAGCATCATCGATGAACAAGGAGGTTCAGATGCAGACGTAAAGGCAAGTATTAGCGAAGCAAGGACAGCATTCCTACAACTGAAGAACATATGGAACTCAAAACAGCTTTCATCCAATATCAAAGTGAGAATCTTTAATACGAGTGTCAAGGTAGTTCTACTGTACGGAGCTGAAACTTAGAGACCTACAACAACCATCATCAAACATGTACAAGTATTCATGAATAGTTGTCTATGCAAGATAATCAACATCCATTGGCCGGATACCATCGGCAACATCTTTCTGTGGGAGAGAACAAACCAGCTTCCAGCTGAAGAGGAAATTAGGAAAAGACGATGGAGATAGATAGGACATACATTATGGAAATCACCAAACTGCATCACGAGACAAACTCTAACTTGGAATCTTGAAGGGAAGCGGAAAAGAAGAAGGCCAAAGAACACAACACGTCGGGAAATAGATGCAAACAATGAAAAAGACGAATAACAACTGGAAAGAGCTGGAAAGGATTACCCAGGACAAGGTTGGATGAAGAATGCTGGTGAGCGGCCTATGTTCCTTCACGAGGAATAACAGGCGTAAATAGGTAAGTAAGTACATATAAGATGAAATGATATATTTTATTAGTTGTCAAGTGTATAAGTAGCTAATACAGAATTTAACTATATTGATTGGGAATAAAGAAAAGCAACAAAGTCGAATGAGAATTGTATACTTGCTTAAAAATGAAGATAAGAAAGAACATGATTGTTTAGTTAGCTAGAGAGAAGAATATATGACCAGTACATCTAAGTGGTAGGTTACTGAAATCCAGAAAATAGGGTTAACTTAACTATGATATACATAAATTTATATTCTGTACTTCATTCATTTGTCATTCAGTATGGAATCAAATTGTGAGCACAAAAATGTTGGGAACTTTTACAGTACTCACTAGTTTTCACAATGAACCCAAACGAAATCAATTTGCAACAAAATCAAACTTTAGATTTTAGTAAAGGATAAATTGATAACTTCAATGAAATCAAATATTGATACTTACTCAGTTGTTGTTTGATCAGTAATATATTTAGCTTTAATCAATAATCTATCTATACTGGATAACACAGTCATTATGTCAGCTATTGTTGCTGGTCGACCAACTCGTTCCAATGTTGATTCATCAAATCTTAATTGATCACCCTGTAACCAACTTATAGGAAAACGATCTAATGGTATAGAGGTTGGCGGTTCAACAATTACACGAAATGATGATTCACTTAATGGAATATTTAAAATCATATGACTTTCACGATAGGATGGTGATAGCATATGAACTAGTCGATAACCATTACCCTGTTTATTTTAGATGATAGGAGAAAAAAAAAGAGACAAACAACATTAGAAGATGAAACAATCAAAGTTTGATTTTAGTAAATCAACGTCTATATGTGCTATAATAACTACTTACTATTTGAAGTGCAAATTTTAATTAAATTTCTAATGGTTTGGATGATCTCATTGTTAATATTTTGACTAAATTTTAGTCTATTCTGGTTGGGAATATGCAGAGCGTGATGATTGTCTTGATATGTCCATCAAGTCACTAGTCTCAAACTTCAGTTAAAATATGAACAACGATATAATTAAACCATTACAAATTCAATTAAATTTATACCTGTTGTACACGTGAGTCACTAAATGAACTCAATGGCATTGGCTTTTGAAGCGAAATGTACTGGATTAGAGTATTTCAGTTAGTATCAATTCTAGGATGTAGTTACATTCATCTGATGAGCCCCAAATAGGACGTAACGCGCGTCTTTGATTTCACTGCTACCTGCATCCCGCTTTAACATTAATCATTCGTTAAAGAAATGATTAACGTAATTATTTTCGGTATTAGATAACACATTAGTTACATAGTTTACATCGACAAACTGACCTTGGTTACGCAGTCAATGAGAAGTAGGAAGCACTTGAATTTTGTTTAGTTCCAATATGAGACTCTACAGTAGTGTGCGTCTACGACTGGACCAGGAACTGAACGGAGAATCTTCACGTTTGATACTAGAGTTTAATTTTTAAACTACTGATCCTGTATCTAATTGTTTACACTCTTAGCTTCAAACCATCTATGATATTATGGAACCATCATTTACTTACATACTGGCTTTTTAATCAGAAGAAAGTGGACAACCGGTATCATAAAGTAAATTTGCTATCTCTCATTATTCGCCTCTTTTCAAAATAACACGTGATCCCTGAACTAACCCATTCTACAAACAACAGTTTTAAGACAGAATTCTCTTAATCTTTAGCAGGACTATTAATAAACATCAACTGATCCATTCCTGGATCAAACTATGCAAACGACTGAGAAACAGAATAGTCATTTTATTTAACATCCTAGATCCTAACAACGACTTGATTCTATCAATGAATACAAAAATGTCAGTCGTTTGGTAGTCAAAAATGGTTGACAGAAGTCTGGGTTTTACGGGAGAAATAGCTCAGTAGCAACAATTCCAACTGTGGTATTAAATGATACGTCGCTCGGGTAACACTATGTATTGAAAATGATAGGAGTTTTATAATACTTCAGTATAAGATATATATATGTGATCTGTATACTAATAAAGATCTAAGTAGCTATCAGTAACTCAGGAGTGAACAGACCCACTGAGTCGATACGATCATTAGGAGACGGATTAAATTAAACAACATGAATCAATAATTAATACTAGTGTTTCTTTTCTAGCACGTTACGCGTCACTGAGTCAATCAATCCATAATCTAACAATCAGAATCTTAATCTAGCAGTTTCCAGTTCTGGAATGCAATACGCAGATATTATATTGGAAGAGTAGGTTTCCCCCAGTAATGAATTTTATGAAAATATATCTATGTACAGTTTTTAATTATTACTAGTATTTAGTTGAGTGATTGAAATCTTCACTTAAACTAATTAAGTGAATTCATGGTTTCTGGTATGTAATTTATGAAATGACCAATAAGATTGAAAAGAAATAGATAATTAACAGTTAAATTTAATAATTGAATTAGTGAGTCAGTTGAAGCTAGATCATCATGGAAAACCTGGAAACACTGGAAGGCCGTTTTGTCCTAGCGTGATACTCCTCATCAGTGCGCATCCACGACCCTGCCCCGCGAGACTCGAACACAGGGCCTCTAGACCACTGAGCCGGCATCCAATGATGTTAAGGTCTAGCCTCAACCAATCCATGAAATTGCTCCACCGTCCACCATTGCCTTAAATGAGTTGGTATTTCATAACAGAGGAGTCCCATACTAGGATGAAATGGCTGTCCAGTGCTTCCAGGTTCTCCATTATGGTCTGGATTTGATTGACTACAATCTCCACAAAACCGCTCTCTGATTATAACACTTATGTATTGGTGAAATTATTAATAAACAGATATTACCTCAATTACAATGTCTGGTTCATGTAGCCACATATAATTTAAGTGATCAGTCATAGCCATCGATAAAGAAAATTGTCTACTGCCTGATATGTCCGTGTTTATTGTTGGTGTACGATATGTTAACATAGTAGGTGAATTAAAACGTAAAATAATATTCAATGTATCACGATAAGCTGTTATTTGATTGCCTAAATATGCTTCTGGTGCAGACCAATAATAACCGCGTATAACTGGTGTTGAAGTAACTGATGAAAGCCAACTTTCAACTGCACGTGTTTGAGCAAATAAAACTTTATCATATTGTACAGATGTTTCTGTCATTGGTATTGTGTAACTTGTATCTGGTGTAGATAAGCTTGGTACAATAATTTTCCAATTCGCTAAAGTGTTGACCTATGAAACAATGAAAAAAATGTCTTGGAAATAATTATGTTAATTAAAAGATTAATAATAAGTATGTAGTATTTGGCAACTTGAAGGATATAAGTGATTTTATTCTATTATGCTACACTTTTAAAATAGAATTGGTAGATAGTTTAATGAAGAAAAAAAAACTATTAATTTACATTCTATTCAGAAGTAGAGATCAAGAATTATCCACTAGTCAGTAATGAATTCATATTTCACATTGCAATTAGTATGAAGTTGGCTAGTTTACTGAACAGCAGGTTTTCTAAATTAAAATAGATGAATTAATTCATAAAACTTAACTAATTAGTTAGTTTAGATCACGAAGGCAAATGTATTAACTGAGAGAATAATAAACTATTTTAATAGTTGAGATCATGAATCAATTGAAGATAGACCACCATGGAAAACTTGGAAGCACTAGATGGTTGTCTCGTCCTATTGTGAGACTCCTCAACAGTGCGCATCGACGATCCCACTTGCAGGATTCTGACGCAGGGCCTTCAGTCTCGCACGCGAACGATTAACCTCTAGAACACTGAGCCGACATCCAACGGTGTTAATGTCCAATCTCAACTAATAAGATAATGGACTAGGAATAACTGTAATAAGAAAAACATGGAACTAGTTTGTAATCCCTCTACTTTCTCATAATTCAGTCAAACCAAGCGTTGGATAATAATACATTAGGCTTCTTAAATTCAACACCGTATTCATCATGTTAATTGGTGACTTACAAGAAAAAAACTTTTGTTTTAAATGATGTTAAGGTAGTTTTACATGAACTCCTATGCGTTCCTCCGAAAATCAGCAAACTTAACACTTATTATATCAAGAAATATGGCATTAATTAGTCCACTGAGTTAGGGAAGTTTAATGCACGTATGATTTCAGTATGATCAAACGACAGTGGTCCAAATGAAATATATATCCTACTTATCTTTGTATTCATCACGTTGATAAATAACTTTGATACAACAAAAATAAACTTCAAACGGTAACTTTATTTAGGATATATGCTTCAGACATAATAATATTGAACGGCATACAAGCGATATAAAATCCAACGAATGTATAAAGCATTGGAGTTTGGTGATCCGTAGACTTAGAAGATTACAAGGTGGTTAAGTTCACATAAGTCAGGTAAGATATGCTGGAAGTTGTAAGACACATACTGTTATACACAAATGTATTAAAAATAACCACGATTACACATAAGAAACTAACATGGTTAAACAAATGTAAGATATAATAACTGGAATGATCAGAACAACTTGTCCCACGCTTTTTTCAACCTTGTTCAAGAGAATAGGTGCATAAGAATGACTGAAAAGAGTGAAATTATTAATCTTTCCAAAAATCAGAACAAATTCCCCACAAAAGTCACGTTTTAGTAACTAATTCATGCTTATCGTTAAAGTGTGTAAATATTGGTTATTAAATAACTGGACTATATGATATGAACTCTGATTACCGACAATATTGAGGTGTCAGAACAAAGAAAGCGTTGATAACAACAGGCTTTAATTGGTGTAAAATTCGTTCAGTATGAAGCGCATAAAGTTTTTAAACAACGAGTATTATATCCATATGAAGGTTTATACTTCATTAATTATATGAACAAGGCTATAGTATTTCTGTTTTGTGGAGGTAAGTCTGATTGATAGCTAACGGGTAAATCACTAGCAATAAACTCAAAAGTTATTGAGAAGAAGAAAGGAATTTAAAAATAATATTCGACAAATATGATGAATGATAACATGTAATGCGTACATTATCCTGGATTCTGTTATTGTAAGTAGCGAAATCTCATTTTACGGAAGTATTGAGTCATAATAATCACAGATTTCGCTTGAAATGTCTAAATATATTTCACACTACTACCTATTTAAAAGTAGTATTTCATAAAACGGAAAAGGAAAACAAGGAGAAAAAGTAATACAAAAATAATAATAACATATTCGACATTAAGATTGCGTTGTATTTTTTCTTGTAACAGAGTAAACCCATCAAACTGAATCCTAACGAAGAGTTTTTTTTTAATGTGTCTCTAAATGAATGATTACTATTTGACAATAAATAACAAATGAGGTTAACGTACTAATCAAGGGGTAAGGAAGAACAAAATTTAAGGGTCAGATAATAGTCCAATTGACAGATATGAAGAAAACGATAAAACAATAAAGGTTATAATAATAAACTGAATGATAATCAAGAAAACTTGTAAAAGGTAATAATAATAAATGATTAAAGTTTAAAGTGCGAAATAGTAATAATAAAAGTGCATTGAAAAAGAAAAAAACACTTAGAAACATACCCATTAAGGGAATTAAGGCCAGGGAAGGATGAGAGGTTGGACAAATCGTTTCTGCACGCAAAGTTCAGGCTTTACTTTGTGGATTGCCAATGCCTCTGCGGTGCATAAAATATTGATTGGCAATCCACAAACTAAAGCCTGAACTTTGCGTGCAGAAACGATTTGTCCAACCTCTCATCGTTCCCTGGCCCTAATTCCCATAATTAGTATGTTTCTAGGTATAACATTTTTATTATTATCGATATTTTTAACTTACTATTTTGCACTTTAAACTCTAATCATTTATTATTATTACCTTTTACAAGTTTTCTTGATTATTATTCAGTCTATTATTATGACCTTTGTTGTTTTGTCGTTTCTTTCTTCATATCTGTCAATTGGACTATTATCTCACCCATAAATTTTGTTCTTCCTTACCCCTTGATTAGTACGTTAACCTCATTTGTTATTTATTGTCGAATCCATTTTTTGTGTGATACAATCCTTTCTATCCTTCTATAGACATACGTTTTCTATATAACTATATATATGATTACTATTTCTTGACCTTTCTTCATTTAAAGACAATAAAAATCTGTCCTTAAGATTAATTCCCATCTTATTATAAACTAGTAAATGTTAGACAGTATAAATGATCAATACGGTTAGGTGTTAAAACGTTGTCCGGTGTCATTGAATGTAAAATTAAATCTATCATAATCTTGTTAATTGAAATCTAAATAGTCCTAATATTTCCTCTGACAATTTTGGTCTCGCGCGCAAGACTGAAGGCCGTGGGTTTGAACCCCGTGGGCTGGATCGTGGATGCGCGCAACCGAGGAACCCCACAATAAGATGAAACGGCCGTCCAGTGCTTCCAGATTTCCAACAGTTGTCCATCATCAATCGTTTCATGATCTCAGTCAAAAAAACTTATTCGAAATTATCAAGTCAAACCTTGGTAGCGATAATTTCTGGTTGATATTAGTTTATAATCATATGAAATTCTCAGAAGAAAGACAAAAACTGAATATTTTATTATCTTTGACTTAATTTTATAAATAAGAGACGAATTCAAGACTGAAAGACAGAGGGTATTATTGAATGAATTCAACCATAAACTGAGTTATAATAAGAATAGATTCAGGATAGATGAATAAAAAAAGTTATGTTACTTACTGGACCAAGTAATCCTTTTCTTTCCAATATCTATATTCATAAAAATGAATAAAATGAGAAAAGAAAAAACAAACAAACATGATATTACTTCAGGAATAGATATTTTCAGGGGTATTTTCATGATAAGCAGAATATGTGTAGATATCATAACAATGTTTGATTTGAATATCACCAATTATGTACCATATTGGATAATCAAAATGATAAACAAAGATAAATATATACTGACTATCATAAGTTATATTGTATTTCGCTTAACGATTTATGATTATTTCCATCTATACTAGATGATTTTGATTCCACAATAAAGTTATGGATATGTACTACTGAGGAATCTCTAATTGAGATGAATCAGATCTCCATTGCTTCCTAGTTCCCAATGGTTATCTAACCAAAGTGAATTCGTGATGTACACTTTAAAATGTCTTGAATAACTAGAAACAATGAGGAATCATAAATATCATTGTCATCTCATGAATAAACTTTCTCAAAAAAATATATACTTTGTATTCTTATTTAACTAGTTTACTCATTCATTAGAAGCATATATCAGTGCATAGTACAGGCAATGCATCATATCTGTCCTAAATAATGAATGTCTATTATTTTCAGCAAATTCACGTGTAATTAACCACAGTATTATGTTTTGTTCAGTTGAATTTACTCATTTTTAATGTCCCCGACTAAAACTAGAACACAAAAACTCAATATTTTAAAACCCCATAGGGGGTGAGTTATGACTATCAACTATTATTTATTTAGTCGATATTGATCCCTTTGATAGTTTACTACCTTCTCTCTATAGATTGATTGAGGGATATTTTCATAAGATTAGTGCATGTACTAATAACTCATTCCTGTTATTCATCACATTTTGATGGTGATCAATATTGAATTGTAGAACATTATCTATCTTAAAAGATAGAGAAGATAAATAATAGATGTTTAACTTATAATTTACACATATTACGATACTATTACTGAGTGAGTTGAGCTGTTAGTTAACAGAGTTTTCGTTATCATGTTAAATAGTATTATCATTATGACTCAATATAACTGGGCAGTATGATCAAACTACTATTAATGACAAAAAAAAACACCGCAAAATCTATTCTATACTCTGTAGTTTTCCAGGTTTTGTACTGTATTATAGTTTTCTAATTCACCGATATTTACGAATGTTTCGTTTATTTAAACAATTTAAACTAATATTGAAACCTTTGTAAGCGAAGATGGATAGTGACTAGCAGCGGAATCCAGAACTCGTGTCTCGTCCTACTTGGGACTCGTCAGCTGGATGTACCTTCATCTAAGTTGATGCTTACTTCAGGACTGGAATCCAGTACCGTTTGTTTCAAACGTCACTGCGTTATCCACTTAGCTACTGAGTCCTGACAGCCACCCTCTGACGAGTCTCAAATAGGACGAAACCCGCATCCTGGATTCCACTGCTAACCGTTATCCATCTTTGCTTATAAAGATTGTGGCTTGAAGCAATATCTAGGCTATCCGCACTGGTTGCTCATATGCCAACAAGAGACTGATCAGTTGCAGTCCTAAACAACAATGAGAATATACAAGTAAACAACACCAAATGAAGTGAATATTGAAATCATTCTTAAAAAATATGACTAAAAATATATAAATATCCCTGTTATGTCCTTATACCCGATTAGTTATATCATGTGATACGACCGCCAATTAGAGACACCAACTTACACGATCAAACTAATAACTTAAAAGCCTGTACGAGTAACCTATAATTTTTATTAGTCTTCCGAAATAGTAGCTTCTCTGCTAATCCAACCGGTTTAGTTCAGAATGCCAATATCAGACTCTACTATACGAATCATATATTTCAAACATACTAGGTTTATATACAAATAAACCACACCTCATCGTACCGTAAAATAGAAAATAACATTTGTACAGGATCAAGTCCAAAAAGTGGCTGTGATTATGAGAGACTGTTACTAATAAATTGGGAATATCTTAAGAGTAGTAAATCATATAATAATAGTCAATAGGTTAAATAAAAGGAATATATATAATATTATTACTCAATAGTTATACAATAAGAATATATATAATAGTTCATGAATAGATCCTAGCAGTTACTACTTATTTATCATTCATCCAAATATAGTAATCCCACATGTCAAATCAATGAATACCATATATGCGTAATACTGAAGAGTTTCGTACTAGGATGAAATGAATATTCAGTACTCCCTAGTATGCAATGGTATCCCAATTAAAATCAATCTATAATGTATTAAATATTAAGTAAATATATATATATATATTTAAACAAACTCGAATTGGAGTAAAGTGTTCAATCACAATAAGTAGATTAGTATTATAGCAAAAATGAAAATGCAAAAAATTGTGTGAATAAAATGCATAGTGTCCGGCCCAGAGCTCCGGCCAGATAGTGGATTGGAGAATGCTGGTCTGTAGCCTATGATCCATTAGGAGTAACAGGAGTAAATAAGTAAGTAAAATGCATAGTAAGAGAATTTAATCTTGTCAAGTGAGATAATAATAATAAGATTGTTGTGTGAATATAATATGTAATAAGGGGGGGTGTTATCAAGGTAATTACGATAAACGAATTGGGAATGATGGATATGAAGATTCAGATAGAGATAATAAAAAATAATGATAATAAGGAATAAATAAATAAATAAATAAAAATAAAAGAAGAGGGTAAGTGGTTTATAATATCCAGTCTAGGTATTCGGTTATCCAGTCGTAGGCCAAGGTAAATATAGAGACCGGATATATTTTATATCGACTAACAGCACCATTCTTTCTCACTTGATAGATAGTGAACATCATATCGAAATAGAGGAAGCTTCCTCTGTTTTATATCAAGTTACAAAATATTTACCTCAAGGAGCTAGATTACGACTGCTTTACATAGCCGAAGCCATCTGGATCAACTCCAAAAGAGAAAATTTATGTATCCAGAAAAAATATATCCAGCCTCTATGTTTACCTTAGCCCACAACTGGATCGCCGGATACCTAAACTGAATATTATAAAAATCTTACCCCTTTCTTTTTTGATTATCTTTACCTTAATTTTCATATCCATCAATCCCAATTCGTTTATCGTAATTACCTTGACAACACCCCCCCCATTATTACATATTACATTCACATAACAATCTTATTATTATTATTATTATCTCACTTGACAAGATTAAATTCTCTTACTATGCATTTTATTCATACAATTTTTTTCATTTTCATTGTTGCTATAGTACTATTATACTTATTGTGACTGAACACTTTACTCCAAATTATCTTGACCTTTCTTGAATGACCTTTCTAATTTGTCAAATAATACAATTTTGAAGGATATAGATATATCAGAAGGGGTTTTGTGGAGATTATAGTAATTTCAATAGTTAAAATCATGAGCCAGTTGAAGCCAGACCACCATGGAAAACCTGGAAGCACTGGACGGCCGTTTCGTCCTTTTGTGAGACTCCTCAGCAGTGCGCATCCGTATATATCGTAACAGATGCAAACATGCACCATTTTTTAACACATAACATTGTTAAATTCATTAATGCCATGCCTTATTTTTGGCCTTTGTAAAAAAATATCATAATTATGAACTTATAACTGTAGAGCCTGATGATAAAGTTATTGAAGAAACAATTGTTCGTTCAAATATTCTTCATTTTTCAAACTTGAATTATTGAACAATGAATTTGAATGAATTCAAATTTTATTCATACATACCATTGCAGTAGATGGTGTAACACCAGTACATTGATCAGTAAGACTAGAACAATAACATGATTGACAACCTTCTGGATTATTAACATCTAAATTGAAAAATCCTTTTTGACATGTATTACAATAAGAATCTGGATCAACATTAATCTATTTATAGAATTTAAAAAAAAAAGATGAAATAAGTTTTATGATAAAAAAAGGAATAGAAATTAAATATAATTACATAATTAATCAATTAATTATTAAGAAATAAATTCGATTTATGATGTAATTCATTTCATTAACTAATGTTGATGAGAAGTTGCACTGCTGAAGAGTCCCACAGTAGGATGAAACGATCGTCCAGTGGTTCTAGGTTTTTTATGGTGATCTAGCTCCATTAATTGATTCATGATCTCGACGAGTAAAATTACTATAATATCCACAAAACCCCCTTCTGATATTAATTAATGTTGTGTTTCGATAACTACCCTGTCTATGTGTAATAACTGAAAGTTGCTACTTATATATTTTGTTATGCAAGATTTGACCGATCAGTTTTATTTATTTATTTTCACACTACATGCTTGTTGCAATTCATTACCTTTATTATTCAATCTGTTCTAAAAAAATATTACTTAGTAGAGATTATTGAGTGGCATACGATGAACTTTATTCTTCCAGATACTCATCATTTAGGTGTGAATATACACTAGTGAATCGCACACGCAACAACAAGCGCAGCAAAAGACGACCAGTGTAGCAGCTGCTTCAGCAGCAGTAGGTCCCAAGATATACAACAGCACGCATCAATCGGATCACACTTGATGGAGAAGCCTTGGAGGATGTAAAAACCTTTACATATTTAGGCAGCGTCATTGATGAACATCGTGGATTTGATGCAGATATGAAAGCGCGGATCGGCAAAACGAAAGTAGCATAACTACAACTGAAGAACATTTGGAACTCAAAACAACCGTCAACTAACACCAAGGTCAGAATCTTGAATACAAATGTCAAGACAGTTCTACTGTATGGCGCGAAAACCTGGAGAACTACGAAAGGCATCATCCGGAAGATACAAGTGTTTATTAACAGCCAGACATGAGAAGAATGAACAACAATTGGATAGAACTAGAAATGAAGGCTTAAGACAGAGTGGATTAGACAATGCTGGTCGGAGGTCTATGCTCCATTGGGGGTAACAAGCTTAAGTAAGTAAATACCCTAGTCAAAGTTGGGCATCATAATCATTGAATTTTTTAAAGCAATTATTATTTTATTCGTAATTCCATTTCCAGTTTTCTAATATAATATTAGGCTAGAAATCCAACAACAATTATTCTCCATAACCTGTTTATTCTATCTCTGATTATCATCTTAAGATAAATACCTAGGAAATCTGACGAAAAGTTCTAGTTTTGAACAAATTTTGTCTTGATCTAATTAAGGTTTCTCATCATTTGAAGGAACGTCACACCACAAACTGACGTTAACTAGAAAAGCTAATAAAAATCAGAGATCTTGCACAGCTATTTCAATCTTTTTTTAGAACTTTTCTACATCTTAGACGTACTACTGTATGAGTATTGACCCCAAAAAGTACATGATATCATTAGATTATGAAATCGGTTGGTCAGTTTGGAATATATAGGGTTGACTCTTAAACTAGAGCAAAACAGCTAACAAGCTCCGTAGTGTCATTGAAATTGACCCACTGGTTCTATCGATCAAGCGTTTACCTCGAAGACTGAAGTTCCTATATTGGACTAATGCTAAGGTTGTGAGTGCATACTGTTGATGAATCATAGATATCCAGTTTTCCTTGATTCTCAATAGTGCACTTAATGAGATAGATCTGTGATGAATACTACTTACAGATTGAATTGTTCTCCATAAAATCTCTTCAAGTAACCATTTATGACTGGGTTTCAACACAATACCAACTTATGATAAGCTTACATTTGTATTATATGAGATTTTCACTTCATCAATTTCAGTTAGAGTAGTTATATATCCATTATTGATTAGGTTCAAAATAGACTTCTTCAAGCTTTAATAATAAGATTTGTGATCCACTAAGATAATTAAATCAGTATTGAAATAAGGTCTTGCTTTATTTCATAAATTTGCTGATTTGTATTAACGTTTATGTATTGTTAGTTAAATCTATCTGTTTCTTGTCAGAATGGGGGAGGGTTTATGGAGATTATAGTAATTTATTAGTTGAATTCATGGGCCGACTAAAGCTAGATCACCCTGGAAAACGTGGAAGCACTGGACGGCCGTTTTGTTCTAATATGGTACTCCTCAGCAATGCGCATCCACGATCTCGGCTGTAGCTCTTCTAGAGTTACTGCCGGTGCGAAGCTCGAGTAAAGGAGGAGGGTTGTGCATGAGGTTGGCAACCCCATCCCGTAGAAAAAATATTGCTTAAAAAACGACAACTCGATTAAATAAATTAAACCATTTAGATCCATAGATGAAAGTTAAATCTCCAGTGATTGAAACCGTAGTTCCTGTCAATATGCGAGCACAATTTAATAATCCAACGTGACAATTTTCAAATTTATAGTACTGGATTATAAATATCTAGCGTATATGTCTGAAATACATTTATTTACAAATTTGTTAGTTCAATATTTAAAACATTTATTATTATTTCTAAGCTCACCTTACAATTACATGGTGGTTCACATTGATATCCTGGACCACGATGACTTCCTCTAATATCACATGTACATGGTATACATAATTGAGGATCAATGTTAGAACGTTGATAGCCTTCAGCACATTCATCACAACGTCTACCTGCATAACCTTCTTTACAGACGCAATCTCCGGGATACTGAACACAAAAAAGTAATACACACAACAGTAAATATTGTTCTTATTAAAATTGTATAAATCTCTGTAAGATTAAAATTTTGATATAATCACAGTGGTGTAAAAACATTTAATAAATAAACTATAATCCAAGCAGTCAAATCTAGCTTTTTTAAGCTATCATAGTGTATTCTATTAATCATATGTTTAAATAACCAAATACAGTTTAGATCTTGAGATGGTGGAGAAGATTTGTAGCTCAGGTGGAGTTTTGCTCTCTCGAGCTGGAGAGAGCAAAACTCCACCGAAAACAGTTTAGATCTAATCTTATACAAACAATGATGGGATAAGAGATCATTGTGATAGGTGTTAACTTTCACCCAATGTGACAGCTTATTTACCTACTTACATCTGTTACTCCAAATGGAGCATAGGCCACCGACCATCATTCTCCAACCCACTCTGTACTGGGCATTCCTTTCTAGTTCTTTCCAATTTCTGTTCATTTTTCTCATGTCTGTATCCATTGCTTGACGTAATGTGTTCTTTGTTCTTTCCCTTTTCCTTTGACCTTGAGGATCCCATGCGATGGCTTGTCTTGTGATGCAGTTGGATGCTTTCGTAATTGCATGTCCTATCCACCTCCAAATCTTCTTTCTGATTTCTTCCTCCACAGGTGTCTGGTTTGTTCTCTCCCACAATAGGTTGCTGCTGATAGTGTCTGTTCAACGGATCCGAAATATTTTATTTAGAAAACTGTTAATAAACACTTGTATCTTGTGGATGATTACTTTCGTAGTTCTCCAGCTTTCCGTCCAATACAAAAGAACTGTCTTGACATTTGTATTGAAAATTCTGACCTTGGTGTTATTTTCAGTTGTTTTGAGTTCCAGATTTTCTTCATTTGTAAATATGTTACTCCTGCCTTGCTGACCCACAAGTGTGACAGCTATATTCTTTAAATTATTCACTGTGCACTATTTATATGTTTTACAGTATCCCTGTGTATCTTTTCATTTATATGATGCTAATTAATCTAATCATTGATGTTATGTAAAATCGGTACAAAAATGAGTGTATTAGACTTTATGATGAAGTAATGTTAGAAGACTTGTTTTGGGATCATGTTTCTAAAGAGTTAATAAACCTTTATAGGACTGGTCTTTATGTTTTTACTTCACGTTGTGGGAATAAAACGGGTTCACATTCGTAAGTAGAAGCAGTGAGACTGCAGATACAACAGAGCCAACATTTACATAACAGGGTCTGTCCAGACATAACACTATGACAATAAGAATAATACAGACGATAATAAATGAGATGTTTTGCAACTGCTGTTGAAATATCTATTTTCAGCTATCTCAGAGATTTTATCCAACGAGCATATAATATCAGTATAATCTAGAGAAATCGATAGTTTTCAGATGAATAATATCATGAAAAATCCTCTTTATTACAATTACTTGATCTGGTTTACTACAATGAGGACTAAATGATGGCTAAGTTCCGAGTTATTGTTGTAAGAATTATCGAAACATATTTTTCAACTGTTCAGTTACCGGACAACTGATTAGCAGTATTGACAGGTCCTTGTTGAAGGTGAAAATTACGTACGGAAAATTTATTAGACTAGTATTACAGCAAAATCACAAACCCACCTAACTTAATTCACCATTAGAAACCTGGAAGCAGTGGACAGCTGTTCCACCCTAGTACAGGATTCCTCACAAGTACTCACCAACGATCCCACGCCCGAGAACCGAATCTAAGAATTTCTGTTTCGCTCACAATTCCTTAACTTCTTAACCACCGTGCAATAGACGTATAAAACGATACTGATAACAACAATGACGACTCACTCGTTCTGGTATTTCAGCATCATTAGATGTACAGTCACCAGTTGAACCAAAAGTACTACATTCACATGGTCTACAAGGATATTGTGAGTCAGGTCGGACATTTAATGGGCGATAATAACCTTGTTTACATTTTTCACAATTTACACCAGTTGTATCTTCCTAAAAAGCAGAAAATATAGAAAAGATTTAATACTGTTTAGAAAGGTAACTATTTTAATTAAATAATATAGAATTAAAAGGTGTTTAATTTGATGAATAGCATAAAGGTTTTCATCTGAGATTATCCGTAATTATTTCAGTTATTATGAAGTGTGTTGTTTCCAACATTTTAGATCATTTATAAGGTTAGTTTAATGACGTAGTGTTGTATATTGAGATGCTATTTTCATTAAAGATCTTATTTCACTGGTTTGGTAATTGCACAAGAAGTGTATATAACTGAATTGGATGGCTTTCATTAAAACGGATAGGTTTTAAGTTGAATTGGTTATCTAAAATGTGTATCTAGAGGTTTCAGTCTACGTGAAGATAACAGTTTACCGTTTTCTTTTACAATTAACAATCTTTATTGAATATTTAATGCTTAAGGTGGACTTGACCCGAATCGATCATTGATTAGATAGTAAAAAGGAGATCATTCTTAATTTTCTCTGAATGAATAATGAATGGTACGTTCGCTTACATTACTAGTGAAATCATTTGCAACAATCTGTCATTATGTGAAAGAAGTATATGAATTTCTCACTTCATAAGTATTTCGTTAAACAACGAAGTTCAATTTGAATATGGATAACTAATACACCCTGGTTAAATAATTATAATTATTTTCAGTGAATTTATATTGAAAAATGCTTTGTAAATTTATAAACTACTTTAACACTTAATCTGGGCATAAATTTTTGATTTATAATGTACTCAAATGGACTAGTCAAGTGTTGTACAATATTCCGAGGATCATTCGATTTATTTTGTTAAAAATTTCAGTATCGAGGAGCTCGGAATACCTATGCCTCAAGCCTACATAAGCCTAGAAGGTTGTACGAAAAGAAAATTGTTAAGGAATCCATAGAATGTCCTAAACGCATGTATTCGTATATAAACTAAACTTGAGTACTGCATACAAGTGGCTAGCCTCTGTTTAAAAAAGACATTGAGCTTTTGGAAAAGGTTCAGAGAATAGCAACTAAGCTGATTCCCGGAATAGTGAAGCTCCCGTATGATGCTCGACTAGCTAAGCTAAACCTATTCCCATTGTCATATCGAAGAACCAGAGGTGACTTGATTACAGTTTTCAAATTACTTAGTCATAAATTTGCACCTGATATGCCCTCATTTTTCTTCTCTTCCAAAATAGAGAATTTACGAGGACACTCCAAAAAGGTTCATAAGCCCAGAACAAATTACTTGTCAGCTGACTATCGACTTTCCCATTGAATAATCAACGAGTGGAATTCATTATCTCAACAAGTGGTTGAGGTTCTATCCATCGACTCTTTCAGAAAAATTTGTATCAACTGAGAGACCGTAATTGCCAGGACTAACACAGGCCATTAAGCCTCCTCTCCTTTCCAAACTGAAACTGAATTATTATCGTTTATAATCAGCAATTAGTTATAACAGTTTGTCACAATATGGATCCAGTTTGAATAAAGCATGAGTCATGTGGTGACCTTTACCAAAGACTGCCTAAACTTGAAAATCTTTTGTAAACGCTTTCTTTTCCTATAAATTCTGTTTAATTAATCAGTACATTTAGTTTCCATCAACAGTATATTGGACAATTTCAATGGTTTGTATTTTTCTATTAATAACATCAGGGATTGTCATTATTCATTTGGTATAGTGATATCACAAAGTGAACATCGAAAATGAAGCGTGGTTATTATCCATCTGATGAGTCCCAAATAGGATAAAACACGCGTCTTGGATTCTATTCTCAGAAACAATCCACATTTATGTTTGCATTGATGATAACTTTCTGCATGTTGCAGTTAATCCCTTTTATTTGAAAAGCATTTTTGAGCTACTTGTAAGTAGTACAAATTAAAAGCATTAAAAGAAGGTATAGAAACGAATTTAAGAAAAGTGGCAATGGTTATATGCTAAGAAGGTAAATATCGTTGAAAAAGTGTTAATTTTTACTATCAAGAAACTTACACGACAGTTTAAGCAGACTCCTCCACCTTCTAGAACACCATCTTTACGCATACTTAAACGAAGATTAGCGACTGTTTGATTATAAATACATTCATCTGCCTTTTGATTACAGTTACACTCTAAAACATTAGAAATATATAGATATCTAATCACAAAGTGATTAATTCAGACGCTTAAACAAGCTGAACCAACATTTGATTCGGTTATAAAGAAAAAGAACTGATTTTTTTCAGATTTTCAAAAGAACAATTTTTTCAGTATGGGATTGTGAAAGTCGTTAAGTTTTTGATTGAGATCATGAATCAATCGATGTTAGACCAGGAGTGAAAAGCCGGAAACACTAGACGGTCGTTTCAACCTAGCATGGGACTCCTAAGCAGTGCGCAAACACGATACCGAAAGTTCTGGGTTCGAATCCCGCTTGTGGTCTCGTGTATGCGCACTGCTGAGGAGTCACATACTAGGTTGAAACAGCCGTACAGTGTTTCCGAGTTTTCACTACTGGTCTAACATCGATTAATTCATAACCCCAGTCTAAAAACTAATCTTTTAACGTTGAGTACCAACGTGAGGCTTTACTCAATTATCATTTGCAGTTTATGGGTAACAAACTATTTCATACTTATATACGACATTAATAAAAGCAGTAGAAGGTGAAAAAGATACCTATATAATACATGTACTTCAATGATTCGTTTAACTTTAAAAAAATCAATTTACTTCCTTGTTTCCACTTGAAGCATAATTTTGAAAAGGATTCTATACTATCTGATTTTAACAAACTAAATAATGAATAACACGAATAACAGTTACATTATCATTTACAAAAATTTCATGCACCATCAACAGGAAGAATTAGGATAAACTCAAAAGTACAGTAATAAACATACTTTTGTACAATTGATTAGACTTTCAAATGGTTAGCTGGACATAGACTGGATTAAAGCATGCTCAATGCACGATTGCTTCGGTGCACGCTGATTGGCTAATTCTTGTCCAATCAGCACTAGTCGATACTTGGAGAACACTCTAGAATCTTCTCGTGTAAAAACTATAAATATACTAACGTTTTTCCTATTGTGCTGCTTACTTGTTTCTTACTTCCATCTAACCTTGTTATTTGGAATATAATCTCTCTTCCTGTTCAACCGTGTTCTGATTTGGGTACTTGTCGAGTGAATCGGTGTCCGAGAATACTAAGCATTAGGAATAGCTGGGTCATAACCGTAAGAAAGAGATTACAACACAAATATTGATGCTTGACCTATGCAAGGATCCATTTCATGTTGATGGATCCTTGACTAGTATTCAGTGTTGTTTCTGTCTTTTCATTCAGGACAATATTCCCAACTCAATAGTCCTGCTACTAATTGTGATATTTTATGATATAGGTCTAAATCCAATGGAACTAGGCATCTGTGGCCAAAGTTCTACTAGATATGAGCTATCATATAATGGCTAAGTTGCAAATCTAGCTTAGTGAATTTGCATTATTCGATGAACACTTTATATGAACATAGATGACCCTTAGATTTTGATTTGATTGTTGATAAAAAACACTAGTAAGGTTGTTTTATAAACCAGTCAGAAATTCCGGTATAAAAACTAAGATAGATCATGGAAAACTTATCAAAGACATCTGAGAACGAAGATTTATTCATAAATATGTTGAATGTCTTTAAGTATTGAACGATTTTATATCATTATTAGTATGAATTTGAATTATCCTTTTGCTAGTACCCTGGACTGGATTTTTATCAGTCTTTGTTGACACATGTAGATCTTGTGAGGATCCCCTAGACACTGATTTTGGATCCCAAATGTGAACATAAACACTTGGACATAGATACATCCATATGACAAACACGTTAGAGGATGAAACGAGCTTCCTGACTTTCACAGGTAACCACTATCCATTCATTTTAAATATCTAAACGTTTAATTTTAATTTTTTTGTGATATTGAATGCATTGTGTTCTAGTTAAGATTGTTTCTCACCATAATCCTAATCAACTTTCAGGATGACTGATTAGGATAACGTAAATATATTCAAATATTTAATTGAACAACATAACTGTTGATTTTTACCTTCACATATTCTTCCTGGACGCCATGGTTGTTGATTGAACAATGGACAACACTTTTCACAATTGTTTCCGCATGTATTATGTTGACAGTCACACACGGCTCGAGGTACACCCTGAGTGAAGAAGTAAATAAATACATAATTTAAAAAAACAATTTCAATCAAGGAATGCTATTGACTGAACAACTCATATCATTATTAGTAAAGAAATAAATGATCAGGTTTTCAATATTCAGGATTGGATTTCAATCAAACTTTATTGATACAAGTACTTTCTGTGAAAATTGATTCGTTGTAGCCGTTTTATCACGCGACTTATAGAATAGATAAATTGTGTTAAAGAAATGATCTCAGTAGGTTAGAATATGGTTAACCTGAATTTGAAGTGAAAGATATTGGGTTTAAACTTCAATGTGAGCGTCAACAATAGGATAAATGTATATCAAGATGATCCCATACACATCATTTCATTGGAACTTCAGAATATGCATCTCGTTTTAAATTTATGAGTAAGGATTCGGCGAAAGAGCATACATTAAACTGACTCCTAATACAAGTGATTGAATGTGAGTATTTTCATAGATTTAAGCTCAGTCATTTTTATTACATGAACTAAAATTATCAGTATAATTTTGGTGAATTAAATAGTAATTTAATATTCTATTTATTCGAATATTGCAGTTCATTATTTTGATCGATAACGCTGTTATTATATGTATATATATATGGGATACAGTGAACAGCTAGGATGCAGCTGGACGATCTAGACTCCGCAGATCATCTGGCCTTTCTATCTCACAAGCAACAACAAATGCAGAAGAAGACGACCAGTGTAGCAGCAGTAGGTCTCAACATACACAAGGAGAAAATCTGGATTCTCCGATACAACACAACATGCACCAATCCAATCACAATTGACGGAGAAGATTTGGAAGATGTAAAAACCTTTACATATATGGTGGATCTGATGCAGATGTGAAGGCGCGGATCGGCAAAGCAAGAGTAGCATATCTACAACTGAAGAACATCTGGAATTCAAAACAACTGTCAACTAACACCAATGTCAGAATTTTCAATACAAAGCTGGAGAGTTACGAAATTCATCATCCGGAAGATACAAGTGTTTATTAACAGTTGCCAGAGACTATCAGCAACAACCTAATGTGAGAGAGCACAAACCAGATACCAGTGGAGGAAGAAATCAAGAAGAAGTGTTGGAAGTAGATATGATACACATTGAGGTATATATATATATACTAGTTCCCTTGTTGAAAGCACAAAGCTGATCGTGCCAAATTCATAAATTCGCAATAGACTTACAAACTAGATTTGAAACTTTACTTATAATCTAGCTGTTATTAAATCATAAACCTTGATATAGTGAAAAATAACTTAAAATGAAAATAAATATCCTAGCTTTGACATCGTCAGGAAAAGTGGTAAGTGAATCGGAATTAAGGAGCATATACCAGAATGCTTGTTGTAAGTGAGTCTTACAAATGATTAGCGATAACACAGTTTCATTGGACTAATCCGTTTTCTTGCCTCCAAGTTTATTAGGGAAAAAAGGAAATGAATAAAACACATTCTCATTAGATTATTTGGTCCTTGTCAAACTTACATCAATTACTTTCTGTTCGCATCGACTGGCATGACTATTACACACACATTTTCCCCCAACTTTAATCGTTCGAATTGAGTAATAATACTGAAATGAAAAGAAAATAATAAATAAACAAAATTTGAAGTATATAATCTGACGAATAAGAGTAAAATTATGTTTGAAATCATCATCCCATATACATAGGTATTCAGATCTATTGTAATATATTTGCTAATTTACTTTAGCCTACTTATGAGTGGTATAATCATTAAAGAAAAGTTAGACAACCGTTGAAAAACAATAATTTTTGGTTAGCTGTTTCATGCTAATATGAAACTACAGCTTCATCAATAAATGAGTGCTAGGTTTGAAGCTATCACAAGTTCACTTAATCTGCGAACGAGAACAAGACTCGGTGACCAAAGACCAGTAAGCTAACTATTGATGCGTCCCAGCCCCGTTAACTAGAGGGAGAAGTTCAAGCTTGGAATGGGAAGTATATTCTGCAAACACTCAGAAACGAGTGAGAACAACAAACACAATTCAAAATGTATATATATACAGTACAAAACTGTCCTTGGGAAGAGTTACCAAAAAGCATACTAAAAGACGCAACGGACCAATAGCATTTAAGATATTTCCCAGTGGGAAATACGACATGAAGGTGACAAGAGCGCCTTTAGCACAAAAACAAAGAAATTCAAAATTTCTAAATAAAACTACAAAATTAGGTTCTCTCCCAACTGAATTCTGGGGATCTGACGTCCTCAACAATAAGCTATTAGCCTTCAGTTATTGTTCTCAATAATGAAAATGTGTTTTCTTTTTTTATTTCCTAGTATCATGTTAATTAATTGACTGTGATATATACCTATCTTATTGCCAATAACGTTTTTAAATTGTCTAAATATCAGCGGAAGAAAATACCAAGAGTTCAGTATATTCTATAAACTTGGATAAACATCAACATATAATTCAAGCAATTAATCAACCAATGATTATCAGCAAAGTAAAGACATTCCTCAAAAAAAAAACCCTAAAAAATTTTAGTTTTTTGTCAAATAATTTAATAATAATTTCAATACTTTATATAAATGAAATTGAGATGGAATTACTACTTTCCATTGACTTTTAATAACAGAATTGGTAATCATAAATCAGTTTATATTTGGAACCAAATTGTTTATTCATTTAGTTACCGAAAATCATTATTATTATTATTATTATTATTATTATTATTAGTAGTAGTAGTAGTAGTAGTAGTAGTAGTAATAGTAGTATCAGTAGTACTGGATAAATGTTAACTGTAAAATGTTTACAACCATATTTATTTGACCTGATTATATATATATTTTTTTCTCACAATTCTTAAACATCCGGTCAATTTCATTATACTAATGATGATCCTAATAACACATTGATGGTATATTTTTATAACCAGCCAATTTATGTATGACATTAAATGTTATTTGAATACATAATTATCTATTCTCTGAATGAGAATTACATTCGTCTATTATTATTACCTATATACCTATACTAATACTTAGACTAATAGTATATATTTATGTAATATCTGATGTGGTAACTTGTCTCAGTTCATAATATTACAAATAATTGTTATTATTGCCAAATCTTAAAATATAAAAATTTAGGGACAATATAAACAATCATTATGGTTAATTGAATATTATCTATCCGATAGTTTATTGTATAATTATGATATAATAAAAGGTTAAATATCATTGAATATATATATTCATTTTTTGAAAAATAAATTATGTCAATATTTAAGATCATGAGTCAATTGAAGCTAGATTACTATGGAAAACGTGGATTCACTGGACGGCCATTTCGTCCTATTATGAAACTCCTTAACAGAGTGCATATCCACGATCCTGCCTCGCAAGATTCGAACCAAGGACCTATCGGTCTCGCATGCAAGAATGCTTAAACTAATACTAATACTACTAATAATAATAATAATCCATCATTTTAATCAAAACTATCATGAATAGAATAATGTGAATTAAAAGAGGGAGAGAATATATATATATATATATATATATATATATATATATATATATATATATATATAGACTCTTCAATAGTGTTCGTCTACGATCCACGATTCGAATCCAGGACCTATCGGTCTCGCACACGCGAATGCTTAAACGTTAGACCACTGAGTAGACCGACATCCAATGATGTTAATGTCTAACTTCAACTAATCCATGAAATTGAATGATACAACTATTGAAATTACTATAATCTATCCACAAAAACTCTTTCTGATACAAATAAATTATTATTAATTTTATATTATAAATAAAACCGGCGGCCTGCTTGAATATCTGGGCTACCTGTTCCTCCGATCTAGATATTTCATCAAGTTATCTGTTTTGTTGTTTGTTTTAGCACATCATTATGTCCATTGTGCGCACAACCTATTCAAGCGTTTATGAAAAGTTTACAACCTTTCGCTATACGTGATAAAAAAAGATACAATCAGCGACATCATGGTGGCTGGCAATATGCATTGAAACGAATGAACAGTAATTAAATGTGGATTACCGAACTCCTAACATCTAACTGGTCATCATTCAAAATTTATCGCCACAATCGATCAAAGTATAAGAAAAGGAAACTTGTTGAAATACTTTATGCTGAGAATTCTATGTTGTACCAAAAATATAATGTTGAATAGAGCTTATAATAATAATAATAATAATAATAATAATAACAATAATATATAATTAATTTGATTAAAATTAACTAATAATAAGAATATTAATACTACTACCACTACTACTTATAATAATAATAATAATAATCCATCGTTTCAATCAATGTGAATTATAAGAGAGAAAATAAATAAATAAATAAATACATTCAATCTACATTGACAATTGAATCTTATTTGAATTGTACAATGTAATTCATAACATTGAATATGTACTTTTGTATGTTTATATATATGGATAATTGTAAGATGTGGAGAGATTAAAATTAATCATAATATGAACACCCTATTAGTATTGATTTATACATCAGTGATATACCGGTACACACATAGAGAGAGAGTGTGTGTGTGTGTGTGTTTTATTTCTAGACAATATGAAAATAAATCATGAAAATGTTTTGTTGTTGTTGTTGTTGTGGTGGTGGTGGTGGTGGTTGTGGTTGTTGTGGTTGCGGTTGTTTAAACTATTGTCATGTTGAGAAAAATAGTGAAATTATTTTCACAATAATTATGTTTTGAGATATATATATATATATATATATATATGTGTAGTTATATGTAAATAGGAATGATATATAAGAATTTCAATTCGATCTTGTTTTAATATTTATGTACAATAATAATAATAATAATAATAATAATAATAATAATAATAATAATAATAATAATACTATTTCAATGGTTGGGATCATGAGTCAATTGAAGTTAGACCACCATGAAAAACCTGGAAGCACTGGAGAGCCGTTTCGTCCCATTGTGGGGCTTCTCCGTGGCAGTGCTCATCCACGATCCCGTCTCACGAGATCCGAACCCAGGACCTATCAGTCTCGCGAGCAAGCGGTTAAACACCAGACCAATGAGCTGGCTGGCATCCAACGGTGTTAACGTCTAACTATTCTTGACTTTATGATTCTGTGTATTCGATATACAATATCAAGTCATTATCATAACGGTACCATTAAACAAAAGTTGGAAATCATTAGATTCTATTCAATTTTATAGGCCGATACATTGATCTTAATAAACAAAAGAAAAACTGAATACAGTTATCTTTTTGTTAATAATGTACTTCAAACTTTTCAGATTACTATTTAATGAGGAAGTATTAAAGGTCCTTCATTTAACTCTATTCATCAGATTGTTAGATAAAGACAAATTTGACACATATATATATATAGTAATTTATTAGTACGATATATAAGTTAATTATGAATTAAAACACATGGTTTATATCATGTCAACATAGTAAATACTACTTAGATCAACTTAAGTATAAATCTTGACTGTGTTTTTTTTATTTCATATCATAACATCAGAATAACCGGAAAAGGGACAAAATGGCTAATAGTAAATATGTGCTTAAGACTCAACACACAATAGTAAGGTTATTTCCAAATATAAACTGAAGGCGATGTTGAACTGTCATGAGTTGAGTTAATTTGAAGTTATTAGAATTTGAAACTTATTGTTTTACATATCAAACGTAGATCATGTTTATAAACTCCTCTGGAATTGTTTACAATTATGTACTTCATAAATTGTGCTCACATTTTATTACAATCTCTTGATATCTTCTAGTTTATTATCTCTTTGGTCAATAGTCTTTCTACCACTGAAGTCATTCCATTTATTTAAGTCAACTCATTTATAGTCAATTAATATTATAACATTTTAAATGATCTAGTCTATTTTTGTAATACAAGTAGAGATAGATGGTGGATAGTAATGGGATCGAAGATGCACGCTTCATTCTATTTGAGACATATTCACTAGATATTTGCGACAGAATGTTAATATTGAAACAATTCATATAGGATATACCAATGACAAAAAGAGGCTGATTATTCGTTGTCCTAAACATCAACTAGACGATTCAAACAACCAATAAATATACAAAGTCATAAAAATTTAAAGTCAGGATCTAAACTTTGAGTCTTCGAAAAAAAGAAGGGGGACAAAAGTCGAAATTCGATTGATTTACTCATTATAGATGACTTCCATTTTGATTCAATATGATGATTACTCAATGTAGTATTTGTTACTGTGATCTCATATGATATTTTATTCTGTCTAACATATGTTATTGTTGTATTAAATTGACATGATCTATGCTCAACATATGATTCGTAGTAACTGAGTATTTTTTTATATATGTGATTTCATCCTAATTATTAATTAAAATGTGTGTACAACCACTATATAGATGAGTGTATTATTGACTAGGGTTGTCGTCGTCGTGTTTTGGGGCGTTAATAAATCTTCACTTATACCAGTCTTTGCGTTCTTACTTCGAATCGTGGGAATTGCGGAGGTCCCTCGTTCTAAGTATAAGTGATAAGCAATTCCGACATAACAATCAGCGACGACCAGATATAAAAACTAGTGTTAAAAGAGCCAAGACAATCAGCATTCAATTCACTAGTTATAAAAAATAGTTTGTTTATCTCAAAAGTTTTACCTAATCTATCATCACAATAAAATTAATATCATATATATCTTCATTAATTTTACTGATAAACATTTAGACTTGACAATCATCAAATACATCTCGGCTTATAATCATATAATACAAATCGAAAATAGTATAGATGGATGAAAAGCGATCGATTATTTGGTTAATTGAATTAAACTACCCAGTAATTATACCTAAGACTTTTTAATAACTAAATCATCTAAACAAGGTATATGTATAAATGGGTAATTAGGACAATGTCAAGTATAAAACTGATTGAAAACTTAGAGAAAACCATTTAAAAAGATCCTATATAAAATGTTTTTTTATTTATTGAGATTATGAATCGATTGATGTTAGACCACTATTGGATGCCGTTTCGTCCCATTGTGGAACTACTCAGCGGTGCGTATATACGGTACCGCTCGAGGGATTTTCTTAAACTTTCCCCGTTATCCATCAGAAGTCAGTTTAAACCATTAACTTATACTACAAACAAGAACTCCTTGCAAAAAATCTTACTAATGACCATTCATTTGTTATTCAGTGATAGCAATACCAGTCATTCACGAATATGGAAAACAGAGAATAACAAAAACTGAGGAATGAAGCGGGAAGAAATAATTTTACACTCATACCCTATTATAAATTGAACTGTCTAATTGATTTGGCATAGCCATCCAATCACCAGAAAGTGTTTGTAATTGTTGAAAACGTAATCGCACAAATCGTGCAGACAAGAAATCCTGGATAAATAAAAGAAATTAAAATTGAAAGAAAAAAAAAACAAAGTGAGAATGATTTTAGGGGAATACAATTTCAAAAAGAAAAGAAAAAACAAATTACAGGAGCATAATAGTTTTAATAGCTGGTTAGATAATTTACTCATCTTTTTAAAGGGGTGATGGGTAAACTGTAGTTCTATTGCTATGTGAAGTTAAATTATTTTTTTTAATATTTTTGTTAGAGTCATCCTTTTTTTGCTAACTATTTCTTAATCATTATGAAATGAAACCTCTGGACAACGGATGAGACATATTATTGAAAGCTTTCGCATTTCAATCATTGATTTATACTAAATTATATTCACCAAATTGTGAAGTATAGTGAATACCTCATTGAACTGTGCTATCAAATCGTCAGATTTAGATCTTATACTACTGGGTCAATGATACTAAACAATTCGAGACCAAACTTGTTTATGAAATATATGTATACATTTGTGAATAATTTATGTAAGGGAATTGTAGGCGAAACATTAATCAGAAGTAATTTCCCTGAATAACAAAAGTTAAAATCTTATTGTTATAATCATTTGTAATTAGTTGTTACAAGAACCATCATTTGGATTATCTTCTGTTAAGATGAAACGACAAAATGAAAAATAGTAAACTTGAGAAGTTGTACAACTGGATGACCATTCAATAGTGAACAATGTCATGTTTATCTAGTTCTTTACCGCTTAAGGAACTTTATCAATCGCGTTGCAATGTGGCTACTGGTTTGAATGACGCGATATCATGTGCACTATGTTAAGCTGTTGTGATGCTAAACGATTAGAGACAGTTGAAATGAAACCGTACTTGACCTAGGCTTCATGTGAATGGTCACTTGTCAGTAATATATACCTATAATTTTGAAAGTACCATATCCTCTTTGTGGGATTCAAACACGTAGTGACTTACATCAGTTACCTTCCGTTAGGATAAAAGGATAAAAGAGGAAATATCAAATTTAGGTAGCTATTTTCTAGTGAAATAGTTAACATGCTTTTTTAATAATTATCTAAAAACTTGTTATTTATTATAGTTTCATCATAATCATAAATGTAAAATGTCTTAAGATCAATCAAGTGTTCCACTCTCTTCTATTGATTATAAACTGCTGTCATTTAACTATGAATTTTTTATTCAATTTAGCATCATAAATGTCCTATCTATGTGCATCTAGTGAGACTGGTAAAATATAGTTCATTCTAGTCTTATATATTTTACATATCTAATGATAAAAAGTGTTTATTACTACTCATCTGAACTCCGCCTGGAGTCCCTCTTGGGGCTACTGCCGGTCCCAAACCCGGATAAAGGAGGAGAGTTGGGCATGGGGTTGGCGACCCCATCCCGTAGAAAACTAACTCACTAAAAAAACGCTAACCAGAAAAAACTACTCGTCTGACTTCTTGATATTGTTCTTAAAGGATAACAGTGATGGAAACTTGTATTGTTAACTGATTATATGACAAATACAGAAACTAAGTTTGAGAATTTATTGCGAATGATGTGATCAAAAGAAAAACACTTTCAAACTATGTATGTCTGATGATAAATATTATATATTACATAACACTATAAACTACGTTATAATTATTGATATTACGTATGAAAGTCTCTAATTCATTGAAATATTTGTTGAATTGTGTATAAAATATACAATCATAACCATGTTTACTACGTAGTTATATAGCAGATCTTAAAATAATAAGTAATAATCAATTCATAAGTCAAACAACAAAATCATTCATCTATACTTACAATTAACTTTGATGATATAGGATTTTCAAGACCCGATTCAGTAGATATGGTACTTTCACGATCTAATGTTAAAGTTACAATAATTTCACCTGATTGTAATGCTTGAGGTTGACTGTAAAATGTTGTACAGTAAACCTTAAGAGATTTTAAAAAAAAAACGTATAATTTATTTATTCATAGTTTTTCAACGATATTTCAGTTAGTCAGCTAATTAAAATCAATCTACAACCTGGTAAGTATCTGGATCCATTCAAGATATCTTATTAAATGAAAGTAAATAGATGACATGATCAGTACAAATACTAAAGGAGTAAAAAAGGTAACGCCCTTAAATGCCAAAGGACTGCATCTTCTAAAGTTGCTCCACTGCCTTGTGAATTAGACCTTTAGGTCGAAGGCTCCGAGTATGGCCTTCTAAGAAAACCACCTGATTCGGTCTGGGCACTCAGGCAGTATCACAGCCCACACATAAATCAAGTGACTTGTGTGAAGCATATGTATTCGGTGCCCCTTTACCAATATTTATGTGTTCAAATAAATAAGAAAGAAAGAAAGGATAACAGTATCAGAGGTAGTAGAGAACATTACGCATAAACAATCGAATTTAAAATCAAAGTATCATGAAAGGCTGTGTGTGAGTATATTATGAAAGTACTGAATGGCGTTTCGTCATAGTATGAGACGCCTCAGTAATGAGCATTCATGAGATTGTATCCACCAACCGAACTTAGGACCTTCAGTCATGCATCAAAAAGCTTAATCTCTAGACTACTGGGCCAGTATTTAATAGAAAATACACATTTCCAATAATCATGAATGGCAAACTATTTCATTTAAATACGCTCTAATGAATGGAAACCATCGGTCTTTCGAATTCATTTTTTGTAACTCTTGCAAGAGATTTATTTTGAAAAGGTGACAACTAAATAATGGATACGAGATAAATAAACTTGACAGAAATCGAGATCAAACCTCCAAAACTATATATTTTTCACTGATGGAAATTTAAGACTACATGATATACACAAGAGTTGGTAGATATTATTTCTTAAAGCTAATTTGAAACGTGATTTGAGAATGTTGGCAAAACCACAGAACAGTCTACAAACATATTACTAACTTCATCATCACCCAAATGCCATGGTCTCGGTCCACTTGTAATAGTTAGTGGTCGATCAATTAACGGTTCGTATAACTTCTTACAGTCATATTCAGTTTTAGCGAAAAATACCCATGGATGATATACTTCACCATCTACTGAACGTTCTAGGATCCAATTAGCTGGCCGAGGACTGTCACCCATACGTAGAAGAACATAGACTATTTGATATACCTTTAAAAATTCACAGAAAAAATGAGATTCAACTTTATACATCTGATAATATGCAATAAACTAATATTTCACAACCCTAACGTTGGATTTATTTAAAGTTTTCTTTGAATTAAGTATTCCATATATACTATTTGGTTCTAGTCGATTATTGGATTAGTTATAGTTTGATCACTAAGTTGAATGACTTAACATTATATAGCATTGTTCTTTAACTCTAGCCAAATAATGGTATACTGGTAAAAACCTGAAAAGATATATTGTTTCAACAATGATGTTAATTCATACCATTAAGTAATCCAGTTAAGCTCAGATCATTGTGGTCACTACACTTAATGATCATCTTCACTGATAAAAGCCATTAATGAGGATGTTTAAATCAATCAGGAATTTCTAACTTCAGTCGTTTAACACAACGGAACATATAATAGTGTTCTCCTACACAGACTGATTGTTTTAATCAGGTGATTTTCATTCATGCAAACAAAACAAAAATGTTGAAAGCTTATTGATGAGTAAACTTTTTAACTCTACTGATTCGAAATGAATTAGTGAACCTCTTGTTTATTTAAAACAGATTCTAAAAATATGTAAATATTGTTTGAGCTCTAACCCGACTTTACTTATTACTTGGAGATTTTCAATACTAAATACCCAAAATTTACAAAAACTTTAAACATTGAAGTTTAGCAAGTAATATTTTCTGTTCTTTCGTTAACCGTATTTCATAGTGAGTCTTTAATAGTCTTCAGTAAGCTGATATTTTATACTTAAGTATGTGTCAGGAATATCAACCGAATATTTAGGCAAAATTAGATGACCCAGGATTCTAAATTGTGGTCTAACGTTTATAAATTGTGTTTCAAATTAATTAACGACTGTCCTATTTAATGTATTACAGTAGTTTCAATGGTTAAGATCATAAGTCAGTTGAAGATAGACCACCATGGAAAACCTGGAAACACCGGACGGCCGTTTCGTCCTATTGTGGGACTCTTCCACAAAACCCGTCTGATATTAGTCAATATATGCTCACTAGTGACTGGCTTCAAGAGGTATATCCTGGAGTTCTAGTGAGAAGTAGTAACCAGTGGAGTTCAACCAGGTCTGTTGTGAGGTAGTAGCTCACTGAAGACAATGGCGGATGTGTCGCCCAATTTCGTGGATTAGTTGAAGTTAGACATTATTTTGATTTTATCTTGTAGCAGTTGGCTACCGTATATATATATATATATATATATATATATATATATATATATATATATATATATATGGATAAATGATTATTTCCAGAATCCAAAGAAAGATTACTTCAGATAATTTATTCTATTCACAAATGCTTTACTGAACTTTTCAGCTGGCTGGTAATATATTATATATTCTCATTGTCTTAGAAAAGCCTTATTGACTGAAAAGTATATAGTGTGAGCATTTTAAATCTGCCCATATAGCCCACTTACTGATAACTATTAGTAGTGTGTATCATACTAAATAAACAGAAAACCTTTCAATAAAACATTAGCACATACAAGAAACACATACCGTTTCTTAGAAAAATAATATTTTCCAAAAATGGGCTGAATATTTTTTTAAAACTTTCATCACAATTGAGCTGGATCTTAGTTTAAAAAACAATTTATAATGCACACAAATTCATGGTTTATCTGTTTGTGTATGGAATGGAAGCTGGAATGTTTTAGCCTTTTCACTTTTTCACTCTTTCCCCCTTTCTTTACTTTCTTATGCGACAAATAAAATGTTCGTTAAATTTCTCTACAAATTCGTCCATTTGTCGCTGATTGATGTAAACATGCTTGTAGGCATGATCACATGGAAGTAAACGTTATTTTAATAATTCCGTTGACCGATTCAGAAATTAATAAACGTACAAATGTTTAGTTGGTTATATTTACTGACGATAACCTGTAATATAATTTTCACACTCATTACAATTGAGATTGTATATTGAAACAGAAATGAGAGAGAATGTGTGTGCTCACGCGAAAAATGAAGTGGTTTAATTTAATGATGATACTGAATGCTGGGAGATGACTTACAAAAACGTTTTAGTTTTTGTTTTATCTCAAATTTTTTTCGCTAACTTAAACTAATACTACATTATGCTTTGCAAACAAATCTAAACTGATTAATCTACGCTGAAAAATAGTTCGTAGTATGGAATGTTAAATAGAAGTGGAAACGTATAGCTGGTGAAAAACATTTCTAACACCGATGGATGATTTTGATGAAGGTTCGTTTGTTCAGCTGGGTGAAGTTTAATTGCGTGTCTTACGATCGAGATCATAAAACGATCAATGTTATGCCACCAGTAAATAACTGGAAGCGCTGAACGGCTGTTTTGTTCTAGTACAAGAATCGTCGCCAGTGCACGCAGGATTCGAACTCAGGACCTTCAGTCTTGTTCGCCAACGCCGAACCTGTAAACCACTGAGTCGGCACCCAACGGTGTATCTTTAAATGCGCCTCTAGGAAACTCTATAAAAAACACATAGGATTGAGTCATTAAAATTTCACCTCATATGACTGACAGCTTCTTCGGTCGATGTAATCAAGATCAAAGTCAATCAAGCAAGCTATTGCTCATATGTGATGAAATCTAAACTACTCACTTCCATCTGTAACTTTTCTTCATGATGTTGTTTCTATGAGAAAGTGAACATTTTCTTCTTTTATTAACCACTGACCGCAATATTTAGGTCTATTAATTTTCCGCCAACTACTGAAATAGTATATATTATGATGGATAATAGCTTCAAATGTCAGCAATTTTATTTCGAAATTGTTCTTAAGCCATATACTTACCTGACGAAAGTCCATAGTGATTGTAACCGCATGGTACTGTAAACCTTGTGCCAAAGATGGACTTTGCCACCACAAATTGGCCTCACCACTGAGAACGTATTCAATCGGATGCCGTAAATTAGGATCTCTATCATCACAATAACCACATTGCACCCATTGCCCACTTGGGTCACGATAAGACTTGGCTTCCTGGCTGTAAGTCAAAACTTCCCTTGGTGTTCGGTGTAGACTTAAGCATTAAAATTATAAAACTTATTTATTAGCAAGCATGAAATCACTAGAAGCTATAAAATTTTTAACAAAAGATGTATGTTTTGTGTTTTGCAAGAATAAACGTTGGTCACTTGGTGCACACTTATCCAATATTATACGAATCCCAGTTTCATAACTGTGACTAAGCTGCTGAAGAAACATCCACCAAAATTATCTTCCTACAATTTAATAGAATCTTTAACCGACCTAACTGGGAAATGTAATGTTCTACTAATTTCGAATAAGATACATGAATAAACTATCGACCTTTAGTTGTTTTGAGTGGTATTAGGCCCCCGACTGAAACTAAAAACCAAATAGTACTAACACGTAAGTCCTTTTGAGGCCCATGTTAGCAAAATTTTCCCTTTTGCTTAAGAGATTAGTAATGAAAACTACTAAAAGCTTATTTTTACTCATAAACTGTTATCCACATCTACGTTTTGCATCCACAACTTGATGTAAAACAAATTAGAAAAGTTTGCTAAAATCTAAAAAAGTAAAGTTACATCTTTCAAAAGAGTTCTATTCGGTAGCTATAAGCCAACTGCATAAAGACAACCTATAGGATACAAAACATTACTATTTAAATGTTTGACAAGCGTTCAAGATGCACTGATAGAAACTACTTAAAAAATAACACATGTATATCATGTTTAATATTAAAAAATTCCAAATAACCAGCCGCCAGGAATTTCTATCTAACATCATTACATATCATATTGAATCAGTTGTACAAAACCCGTCATCCAGTTCAAGCGTGATCAAGTTGAAGTCACCATATTTTCTGGCATTATACAACATCCTGATCTGCACATGATAAACTTTTACAGTTGAAGTGTATGTTCAGTAACATAACACAGAGAGATAAGTGATGTCTTAAAACTTGCCGACTGAAATAAATACTTGTGGAAATGAAATTATGGGTACTGAGAAACATCTGTCAAATAATTATCCCCAAAAGTTAAAATTGCTTTGTGAACAGAATTTTAAACTTTTTTAAAACAACCTTGTCCGATTTACTGATAGTTAATTACAAATACTAAAACATGGCAGTATGTTACTTAATTCTAAAAAAGTAGGGAAGACAAATTTATCAAGCTATTCAAGAAAGAAAACATGTTTTATTTCACAAAACGATCTTACCGACCATCGTATGTCATGAAGCCATCAGCATGTTCAACAAGCCGACAGAAATATTCTTTACGGTTTATACCACATGTGGCATTTGCTGTAATTATAGCGTTCTCTTCCAAAATCGAATCAGGATCCATATCCAGGAAATCTGCTTCATATGGATAACCTGTAAACAACAAGTTAGCTAACATCGAGAAAGCTACCATCATATCTCTGCAAAATCGCTACATTTGCACCAAAAATAATAAGCAATAAGACTAATAAGGTCATTCTCAAGATTTCTAGTCTTTCTGAAGATACATCGTTAACAAAAAAATATTTTCAAAAAAACGCTTATTATATTAAATTATGTGTGATGTAGTAAAACGAAGATGTAGAGCGCTCAAGTTTTGGTTTTTGAAAGTTAAAAAAATTGATTGGTTTTAAATCAACTAGCAATTGATTTCCCATATCTATAAAATCCAATCCTCTGTTTTTGTGACTCAGTTTCTGTCCACTCGAGTAGAAACCCAATTAAGTGGCGAAAATGACGACATATGTTTAACAAGTTAGTGAGGAATATCATGCCGATCCTCTGTGAAAAAACCCATTTATTAGATTAAAATGACCACAGAACCTTTTGATGGGAAATGGTTTGAATAATTCGCTCGTGTTCGCATGGTCAGTAGATTCAGATGAGTCTTCCACGTTAGCCTCTGCCAAAAATACAATGGAACAACACTGGACTCTAGATAGTTGATAATTAAATGAAATATGATGTGCGATAATTCGTTCTGGTCGCTTAACCCTTTAAGAAGATACAATTTTCTCATAACTAACTAATAAGGAAATGAAAATACTCCTCATAGTATCATGAGTAGCAGTAAATAAATCCTAAAATTCATTAGCTTTGTATGTTTTCGATATTCGATGTTGACCAAATTGGTTTTACTGAACTGATATAGCTGAAAGCGTCCGGTCATACGTACGCACAAGATCATGAGGGGGTACGCCGTACTCCACATTTCCTACAACCGCTAGCTAGCTTAGATTGGTCACTTCTCCATATATCGATATTTCATCACATATGAATTCGAACCCTTTCGCTTATGGCTTTTGATATGATTAGGTTGTCACATTTCAATTACAGAAGATGTTACTGGTTAGGGTGTTGTCAAACTCCGAATAATTATGGTGTTTTTACATGCATTCACTTGTACTTAGCACCGACTTCAGAATTCATGAAAAGTCCGTTTTAGTGTCTTTCTTTGAAAAGGAGCAACCTTATTGAAACTAACTGCCATGATATCGTTATATAAGAAATACGAGGTGATGCTTTCTCACTCTGGCAATACGTGGAATGTACTCGGTAAACAATAAAATATAGTCTGAATATTGTGATTTGCCGTTATGATCCTTGTACCATGATGAAACCAGCGAAATCCTTAGAAATTTTTGTCATCAGACCACAATTTCATGCGATGGAAAACCATAATCTTGTGACTAAGTGTACCCCGATGAAACTACTACATTCCGTCATATGGCCTTCAACAGTGATATGAAAAACTTTGACAGCTTTTATTGCCTATCAGCTAATTAGGGATATATGCCGTGAGACAAGCACGGAAGATTCTAGGATTATTTCCACACCAGTATTATAAATGATGAATTTCGTCTCGAAAAGGGCCCAGAGCTACTTTTTGCTTGGCGCACATCACTAGTCACTATCAAACGTCAAGATTACGGATTCCCTATACATAAATGTGTGTAGCGAGCACTCAAAGAAGTAGGACGTTTCAAAAACAAAGACAAACGTTTCATCTTCTCAACGAAGCACTGCTCTTAACAAATCTAAATATTAAGTTTCACGGGGTTAGAATCTATATCAAAGTCATTTAACTCACTGAAACTATCGATAGTGTTCAACTAAACTCGGTCGCTAAGGGACACTCACTACTACCCTCAAAAGTCAAGAGAATCGCGCAATCGACTGCCTATTACCAGCAGTCTGCATCTACGGGGTCTGTTACACAACAACTGGTTAGGAATCTAGTGACCTACTTTAATCGAGAGAACGCGATTGGTTTAATGGAAACAATTTTATAATCAATTGTACCAGTGATTGTTTTACTGTACTTGTTTGTTTAACTGTACTAAAGACTTTCTTCCAACCATTACTAATACTGGTCAGCATTGTGCGTCGTAATAATCGGCGTTCAGACATACGTAACATGCGGATCAACCATCTCAGTCGATGAAAATTCACAACCTCATTAACTGATTTACCATCATTCCCTAATACACTGCATCTAACCTCACTATTACTTACCCGGTGATCCCAGCAGACGCCAGCAATATTTCTAAGGCATATGTGGTCAAATACTAGTAGCTCACGAATATCTTCTACTCCTAATGGCAACGTTTCGCAGCCGTAACTGAAAAAAACACAACGGACTGCCGCGCAGTATACTCGCCCATTTATTGATAGACGAATATATCGCCTTCGCCACAGGTGACGTAAGTTGACAAAAGCCAAACGAGATTTTCGAATCCGTGCTGAAATTTCGTCCGATACCAACCCATTAGGGCTGATCACACTTCCAAGTTAAGTGGAGTTGTCGACGCGTTCGACTACTTCACTCCCTATCCTTAGTTCAGGTGTTGACGCAGACCAGTCCTGAAGCAACGACTCGCATTTAGAGGGAGAGAAACGCATTCCAAACATTCTGGCATTGTTGCTCAGTGCTACCAAGAGATTCTGCATTTTGTCAGCGTCTTCACCAAAAAGGACTATGTCATCTGCGTATTCTAAGTTGATAAGTGGACCTCCTGGAAGGAGATCAATACCCGAGAACTCAGTCGACGAGAAAGCTATTTCCATCAGTAGATCTATGATGAAGTTAAACAAAAATGGGGAAAGTGGACAGCCCTGACCGACACCACTTGAGGTTGCAAAAGTAGATGACAGTTCGCCATAAGCCCTGACTCGACTGGTAGTGTTCGAGTAAAGAGCCTTCACAAGGTTTATGTACTTCTGAGGTACGCCTTTCAATGACAGACACTGCCACGGAATCTCGTGGTCTACGGAATCAAATGCTGCTTTTAATTCAAGAAAGACCACCATTGTCGGACGCCGATTAGCATGCCTGTGTTCTAGAATCTGACGAATAGTGAATATGTGGTCAATGCAGCCACGATCAGGTCTGAAGCCAGCTTGGTTCTCTCGTGTTTGCAGTTCACGAGTCTTAGTTAGGCATCTGATAATTATCGAGGCTAGTATTTTAGATACTATATTGGTAGAACTAATCCCTCTATGGTTTTCACAGGATGATTTTAACCCTCTCTTATATATTGGGACGATAAGTGATTGCGACCAGTCAGATGGAATAACGTCTAACTCCCAGATCTTAGCTAAAATATTAGTCAACCTAGTTGCTAAAATTGGACCACCATCCTTAAAGACCTCTGGGGCTAATCCATCTGGACCAGTTGCCCTTCCTCGTTTCAGATTAACTATAGCCTTTTGAACTTCAGCTAGAGTTGGGGGACCTATTTTAATGTTCCATTCACACTGTCTGGGAATGGAGGGTAGTTGTAGAGTAGCTGAAGTCCAGTTGAACTGTTCTCTGAAATGTTCCAATCTTCGATCTGGGCTGAGAGCAGAAAAGAGTGTCGTCTTCTTGTGAGATAGTATCACTTACACAGAGAATTTCTTCAGCTATGAAGTGTAAAAAACATACGATACACATAGATATATGTCATTTGACGTCTTACAAGATATACAGATCTAAAGACACACCTAATACCAAGTTAAGCTAATATTTAGACATGCTTCCGTTCTCAAGCACTTCAAATACACGATTGTGGTGGTCGGTGTTCGATATAATCCTTAAACTTCGTATACAGTTCGTCTTGGTAACCGTTCTATATAACGCCCCAACGGTATAATAATCAGAAGGTGAATACGAAGCGTTGATTATGTTTACTGCGAAACCACACATATATATCCAAATGTACAGATGAGCTAAACAAGCATAGAAGAGTTGTGCCGAAAGGCAAGCAAGCGAGCGAGAGCCAGAGGAAGAGCGAGACGAGAGTGTGTGTTGAATATGAATAACATGGATATATATATATATGTATAGTGAAATGAATGAGTAATCGAATCAAATAGGCGGTTAGTAGTAAGACTAGCAGAATGAATAAATGCGTAGGCAGTAAGCAATATTCAAGCATGCGTATTTCATACAAGCACAATAAAAATAAGGGTACAATAAATTCCTATAGTGCGGATGACTTTGTCCGCTAAATAAGTTAGCAAAAGGGCTTAACTAAGTTAAATGAGAATAAACTCAATTGCACGTGACTCGCTCTAAGATGACCGTCTTGGGACAAGCCTCTCAATGTCACTGAAGCGAAAAGCGATAAATTTTATTTCAGGTCAGTTTTTATCATTTGCCAGTGGCCCAAACCTTAGTGAGCTACACTCCGTTTCTTGTGCCTACTCATGCCAAAATATTCCTGTAATAACGTCGTTTGTATTGCACCGTCATCAAGGTGGCCAAAGTACCTGTATTCAGCGAAAGATAATTCATGTTTGGTATTACCCATGTGGTATGAATTCAACGTCAGTCCCGTATTACTCGAGTAGACCCTCAATCGTCCACATTATTAATCTGTAGCGTGGTGTCGAGTTGAGATTAACTGTGAACACCGCTACCCAGAAACACGTGCCAGACAAATCAGAAGGCGAGGATCGATCGTAACCAGATTTATTTCGTTGGCGATCTCGTGGTATTGAACGAATACCAAGATCGTGCCAAGGAATGGTACAAGCGGAAGCAGAAGACAGGAGTACGTGCGAACAGTACCAAAAACCGCGGAACAATTATGGAAGGTAATGGAAGCACAAAATGGCCATAATTAGCACAGTTAAACAAAAGCACATTAAAACAAACACTGGTACAGTTGGTTATAATAATAATTGTTTTTATTAAACCAGTCGTGTTCTCGTGATAAACGTGAGTCACTACAAATCCATACACTCTTGGGCACACCGAAAAATATTGAAGCTCAGTCTCGTTTCAAATTTTAGGGGTAAAACTCATAAGTTAGATGCAGAAAACAGAAGAATAGATCAAGCAACTACATTCTATTTTTTATGGGCAGTCATGTTTTGTAATTTGCTACAGGATTACGTGATTCATACTGCTTCTAGAAGTACTTCGATAGGAAACTTGGTACACTCATAAGAAATGAGGAAAGTATTTATTTGTAATTAGCTTTTATTCCTATCTTGGCCATCAAACATGCCTGGGATCATACCTGAAGGTACCAGTGGTTAACTTCTACTAGGTTAGAAACTCTGTTAAGCGAAAACT